TCTTCCGATCTTTTCATTTGAGTACCCACATGCATTTTTTATATATTTTTCATATATACATATATATATAATATATAAATATATAAAATATATGAAAAATTGATGTGGGTACTCAAATGAAAGGTCTTGATGAGTGTAATGTCGGGGTGAGCTTATATCTTTAAAAATATTATTAGTTGACAAGATACAATGTCAATTCTTAATTATTGAGATTTTTTAAAATATAAGCTCATTTTGATGTTACACTCATCAAGAGCTTTCATTTGAGTACCCACATGCATTTTTGATATATTTTTCATATATACATATATATAATATATAAATATATAAAAATTGATGTAGGTACTCAAATGAAAGGTCTCGATGAGTGTAATGTCGGGGTGAGCTTATATCTTTAAAAATATTAATAGTTCACAAGATACAAGGTCACTAAAAAAACCGACTCATATGACTATCCTGGACACAAAATTTCTCTTATTTTCTTAATAATATAGATTAATGTTGAAAAAATTTTTCTTTTAATTAATAAAATGACCTTTTAATTAAAAAAAATAAATAAATTGTACTTCTTAATTTGTACAATTACAATAAATAAATAAATAAATTAATTAATTACTTAAAAAAAAATCAACTAATCATGTAACACCTTAAACTCCACCAAAAAAAATTAATTAATTAATTAATTAATTATTTGCTATTAAAAAAAAAAAAAAAAAAAAAAAAGGACAAATTACATTCAATAATAAAAAAAAAATTTTTTTTAATTTTGTAACTAACATCCTTTTTTATTTTCCAGGCTTCACACACCCTCGCCGCCGTTCCCAAAAGCCGGACTTGGTAGAATACAAATGCGCGAATTTCGCGCAATGTGGAAGCATTTTCACGGACAAGAAAACACTAACGCGCCACATAAAGTACGTATGTGGTCAGCCGCCGAGGTACAAATGCGCTTACTGCGAGTACAAATCACACAATACCGCAAATGTCAAAGTTCACATGGGAAGGATGCACCCCGGCAAGGAGGTCCAGATCGTCGAGATGTACAACCCCTTCGCGAACGCCAGGAGGTACTCCTGCCCCCGAGAAGGCTGCTACAAGAGGTACAAGTACAGACAGGGCCTCACTTATCACCTCAGCAATGAGTGCGGAAAGTCTCCTAGGTTCAAGTGCTTTTACTGTTCTTATCATGCTTATCATAAGGGAAATATTCAGAAACATTCTGCGGCTAAACATCCTGATTTTGAAATCTGTGTTGTTGACTTGAAAGTTAAAAAATAATTATTAAGTATTATTATGATATATAAAATATATTAAACTTTTTTAATTGTTAAGTTGAATGAAATTATTATTATGATTATTTATTTGTAATGTAGCTAGTGAATAAAATTTTAATTAAAATAGTTTGAATGGTAAGTTTTTATAATTGATTTTTTTTTTTCTGAATTTTATATTGTCAAGTGTTTAAATAAAATTGCAATTGTTAATATCAATTATCTATATTATTAAGAAAATAAGAAAAATTTTGTTTCCAGGATAAGTATTTAGGCTGCATTCAAAAATGCTCTATCTCTAGATACATAATTAATAAATTACCTTGTATCTTGCGAATTATTGACAGTTTTAAAGATATAAGCTCATCATGATGTTACACTCATCGAGACCTTTCATTTGAATACCCACATCAATTTTTCATATATTTATATATATTATATATTATATATATGTATATATGAAAAATATATCAAAAATGCATGTGGGTACTCAAATGAAAGCTCTTGATGAGTGTAACATCGGGATGAGCTTATATCTTTAAAAATGTCAATTGTTCTCAAGATACATAATTAAGAAATGACCTTGTATCTCGTGAACTATTGAAAATTTTAAAGATATAAGCTCATCATGATGGTACTCAAATGAAAGGTCTCGATGAGTGTAACATCGGGATGAGCTTATATCTTTAAAAATGTCAATTATTCTCAAGATACATAATTAAGAAATGACCTTGTATCTCGTGAACTATTGAAAATTTTAAAGATATAAGCTCATCATGATGTTACACTCATCGAGACCTTTCATTTGAGTACCCACATCAATTTTTCATATATTTATATATATTATATATTATATATATATGTATATATGAAAAATATATAAAAAATGCAAGTGGGTACTCAAATGAAAGCTCTTGATGAGCATAGCATCGAGATGAGCTTATATCTTTAAAAGCATCATTATTTAAAAATGTACAGAATGTGCAATTCAACAAAAGTCATCATTTAACGAAGCAAAATTTTAATTTATTTTTAGTTCACAAGTCACGGCAGTCACATAGTGACTGCAAGGTTGTTAGTTTATTTTTATTTTATAACTTTTTTGTAATTTTATAATTGAATTATTAATTAAAGAAAACTTTATTTTTCAGCAACAATTATTTCAAATTTTATAATAAAAATTTTTTTCAGACAACATTCAATAATAAGGTGAATTTTCTAAATTACAATTAAAAAATTATTGTTCAATTTAAAAAAAAATTTAGTCATTTAAAATTTTTATTTACAAATCGATAATAAATGTTAAATAAAAATTTTATTATAAAAAAAATTGAATTTTTAATTAAAAAAATGTTTTCTTTTTCAGCGACAACAATTCAAGGCTTCATATCGAACTAAATTATTAAAAAAAAATTTTTTTTTCTAACAAATCCTGAACTTAATTACCAAGGTAAAGTATTGGAAAAAAAATCCAAAATTAAATTAAAAAAAAAGTCGCTGAATTTCGAAAAATTATTCAAAAATTTAGACAAACTTTAAAATTAAAAAATTTTATTTATTTTTTGTCTTTAGAGCATGAAAAAATGTCAAGTAGGAATACCAAATAATTGAGCAGTATTTTCATAAAAGAAAACTTTATTTTCCAGGCTACCCAGGAGCTTTCCTATCAAAGTACCGGCGGTTCTCCTTGCCTGTAGTCTCGTCAGTGCAGAGAAGTTCAAAGACCCTGAAGTTCACATGTCCAAACCGGGACTGCAACCGCGTCTTCAAGGAGCAGCGGTACCTGAGGAAGCACATGAACTACCACTGCGGAAAGCCTCCCAGGTACAAGTGTCCCTTCTGCGAGTACCGCTCGATCTGGAAGTACGGCGTCAAGTCCCACATGGAGCACAACCACTCCGGTCAAAACGCTCGCATAATCGAAATGTACAAGCTCTCCTCCAAGGTACAGTAGTCTTGTCGGTGTTTCTTGACCGCTAGTCTACTGAACATTTACTTGCAAATTATTCCATTAAAAAAAAAATCTTCCTTCCTTTTGTTTTGTTGGAAATTGAAATTTTATTTTTTTTCATTGATTTTTTAAAATTATTTTCTTTTTTGCAGAGTTTGAGCCCAAGAGTATTCGGCGTTGCGCAATAAATCAATTTTTTCAAGTGTATTTATGAAATATTGAATGCCAAAAAGTGTATTTATTTATTTTAACAATCAGTAAGACTGTTTGTTGACCAAGAAGCTATGAGCGAATATAATATTTGTCAGGATAAGATAAATTAGGGTACTGAGAAATTTTTTAAATATATATAAAAAAAAAAATGGTGAATTTTTAAAGCTTATAGTGGAAATTTTTTTGATAAATTTAAGTTAACTATTATAATTGTTAATTTTTGATTTGAAAATTATTTTGTAATTTCTACAAAAAATTTATTTTTTAATTTTTTGATACTAAATTTAACACTGAAAGTTTTTTTAATTTTCATAATTAAAAAAAATTGTTTTTTATTTTGGACCATTTTTTTATAGTTAAATTTTTATAAAAATTAAAAAAATTTTTAGATATTTATTTCTATCAAAATTTACGCTATAAACTGTAAAAATTCAACTTTTTCTCAGTCAGGTACCTTAATTAATTACAAAGACTTCCAATATCACTATTTCAATGTCTACGGAAAATTATATACCAATATATTTATAAAAAATTAATATCATCTTATATAAAAGATATATCAATTGTTCTGTTATTAATTACAAATATTTTTATTTTATATTTTTAATTTTCATAATTAAAAAAAATTGTTTTTTATTTTGGACCATTTTTTTATAGTTAAATTTTTATAAAAATTAAAAAAATTTTTAGATATTTATTTCTATCAAAATTTACGCTATAAACTGTAAAAATTCAACTTTTTCTCAGTCAGGTACCTTAATTAATTACAAAGACTTCCAATATCACTATTTCAATGTCTACGGAAAATTATATACCAATATATTTATAAAAAATTAATATCATCTTATATAAAAGATATATCAATTGTTCTGTTATTAATTACAAATATTTTTATTTTATATTTTAGTTTATAAAAAAAAAACTAGCTTATTTACTCAATAAAAAATTTCTTTTTATTGCGTCAAAAAAAATTTAATTAAAATTTTTTTGTAAGTTTATTTAATGTAATTTCATCAAACTAACGCACAAAATAATTTTAACCCTAAAAATTGTTTAATAAATTTTTTTTGCCACAAAAATAGTTAATTTTTTTGTCTGAAGTAAAAAAATTAAAAAATTTTATTGAATTTTAAAATTTGTTAATTATTAAAAATTAATTAAATTAATTTCTAAAATTTGTCTCAATAATTTATCAAATTTTAAAATAAAAAATAATTTGTACTCAAATTTACAATAAAAAACTTTCAAAAAAAAAAAAAAGAAATCTAATTTTTTTGTCTAAAAAATTCCTTCTAAAAAAATGACGAATTTTGTAAATCTTTTCTAACAAAATTTCTTTTTTATTTTCCAGCGAGCTCCATAAAATCCGTTTCAGAGTTACAAAAGAAAATCCCGCGAATTTACATCTGCCAGGTCTGCGTAGCGGTTCACCCTCAAAATTTCCAATGTCCCGCAATAAAGAGTCAGAACATCGACACCAGTGACCAAAAGCTGCCGGGTCGCCCCTTTGCTTGTCCGAATGAAAATTGCTACAAGAGTTACCAGAAGAAGTGGCGCCTTATGAAACACCTGAAATTCGAGTGCGGAAAGCGCCCACGGTACAAATGTTACTACTGCAACTTCTGCAGTTGCTATGAAGATGGGATAAAAAGTCATTGCTTAAAAAGTCATGTGAACCGCGCTTTCAAAACGATTGATCTGCGCGATAGTTAATTATTTATTTGATTTCTTCTTTTGTAATAAAAATTTTCAATTTTCTATGTGATTAATAAAATTTAAAATTAATATTAGAAATTAATAAATTAATTATTTGTTTCATTAAATGTTTCATTTTTTGCATTATTCACTGCATTTTTGGTGTACATTGTAATGTTCGTTCATGCTTAATTAATTTTCCTGATTCATTAATATAATTTTTATTTTATTCTCCACGCCTGTTTGGGTGTGCTCATTTTTATAAACATTTTTTTATGAATTTTATTTTGGTGTGTTGAATGTATAAAGAGTACAAAAGTCTTTTTGTGTTTTTCAGACAGCAAAATTCCTTTACTTTTGTTTGATTGTATTAAAACAGAAGGCCCGGTTTTGAGGTCAACGATAAAACGGGAAAAAGAAGATACTATGTTTGTGTGTTACAATCGCGCCTGCGATCGAACTTTCAGCAACAAGAGTCAGCTTAAATATCATATGAAATTTGAATGTGGTGAGATTTCATTTTTTTTTAATTTCAATTAATTTATGTATAATAATAACAAATAGACAATTTTTATATTATTTAACATAATTAAGAAATGATCTTGTATCTAGTGAGCTATTGATATTTTTAAAGATATAAGCTCACCCTGACATTACACTCATCGAGAGCTTTCATTTGAATACCCACATCAATTTTTCATATATTTATATATTTCATATATATTATATATATGTATATATGAAAAATATATCAAAAGTGCATGTGGGTACTCAAATGAAAGCTCTTGATGAGTGTAACGTCAGGATGAGCTTATATCTTTAAAATATATATTATATATATGTATATATGAAAAATATATCAAAAATGCATGTGGATACTCAAGTGAAAGCTCTTGATAAGTGTAACATCGGGATGAGCTTATATCTTTAAAAATGTCAATATTTAAGAAAGTACCGTGTAATTTAACAACAGTAATTATTAAGTAAAGCAGAATTTTATTTATTTATAGTTCACAAGTCACATAGTGAGTGCAAGGTTGCTAGTTTAAAATAATTAAACTTTACAATTATTTTTTTTTATTAAAATTTTTTCTTTTAAATTAGATTATTTGTTTTTTTCAATAAAAATTCATGCTGTTAATTCGCTAATTAAAAAAAAAAAATTGAATAATTAATAAAGAAAGAATTTTTAATCTAGAAAATTTGATAATTAAAAAAATTTAATTATCATTTTTAATTATTAAAAAAAGTTCTTTGAAGTAAATCTTTATTTTTAATCTAAAAATTGAAAATTTCAAATTTCCAGCGTCCAAAGTGAAGAAAAAGAAGCCAATAAAGCAAGAAACCATCGACCTGGAAGATCCCCAAGAACCAGCCCCTCCCGAAGATATAGAAATCGAGTCCGAGAAGTATAAGTGCCCTAACGAGAACTGTCAGATTGTATTTACACGCAGAGCGGCTCTGACATTCCATATCAAGCACCAGTGCATCACGCCGCGATTCCGATGTTCCGCGTGTGATTACCGATCAAAAAGCCGTCGGGGGGTTAAACAACACGCGACCCGCAAGCACGGTGACCTTGATTGCCGCGTTATCGAGCTGTACTCTTTAAAAGACCCCGGGAAGGTCACCTGCTTCTATAAGGGCTGTGGGAAGAGTTTTAGGTCTTCCTCGGGGCTCAATTATCACCTTCGCTCTCACGTCAAAACCGAGACCAAATAATTTTTTTATTTTCTTTCAAAGTTTATTAAATATTTTTAAATAATTAAAGTTTATTATATTAATATTAAGAAAAAATTTTTGCGCTTAAAAAAAAGAAATTAAATTTATTCAAGAAATATTTTTGAATCAAAAAAATTATTTTAAGAATTTTGTCTGAATTTAAATGAAAAAAAATTTTTTTTTGATCCAAAAACTGTTTTTTTAATTAAATTAATTTTTTTTTTTTTTTCCCAGTGTATGTATCTTTAAAAGTTACAAATTTCCAAAGTATAAAATACTTTTTTTTTTTTTCTATTAACATAAAATAATTTTCCTCATTGATAATTTTGAATTATTATAAAAAAAAAAAGAAAAATTGGAAAATTTGATATTTTTTTTTTTTCTCAAAATAAATTTCCAATATTTTTATAATAGTTTAAATTATACTTATAATAAAAAGAACATTTTTTTTTATAAAACTTATAATTTGCCAAAGAAATTTTGGTTATTTTTTTTCTAAGACTTTATTATTATTTTTTTTATTTAAACAAATTCAAGATTTCAAAAATCTTTTTTCAGAATTGAGTTAATTACTTTTTTTTTTTTTACTGACAAAACAATTTTGAATTATTATAAAAAAGAACAAAAAATTGGAAAATTTAATCATTTTTTTTTTCTCATATTTTCCAATATTTTTATAATAATTTAAATTATACTAATAAAAATAACATATATTTTTTTTTTAAAACATTATTTGCCAAAGAAAATTTGGCTATTTTTTTTCTAAGACTTTATAATTGTTTCCTTTATAAAAATTTAAATAAAAATAAATATATAAATTTTTCTTAAACTTTCAGCTGTAAATTGTGTAAAAAATCCCGACCAAAAAATGTTATTTTTTTTTAAATAATTTAAATTTAATTTAATTAATTTATTGTAATTTGGTACTGACACAATTTTGAATTTTTTTTCAGGCTTCACTTACTCAGCCTACATGATCCCGGGGCCGGGGAACTTCACAGGAGTTTCACAACTTCCCAAGGAACCTCTGCAGGTGAAAGGAAAAAAGTACGCATGCCCGAACCCGAACTGTTCCAGTGTGTTCAAGGAGCGGCGCCATCTAGGAACCCACATCAGATACCACTGCGGAAAACCGCCGAGGTACAAGTGCTTCTACTGTCCTTACAAGTCCACCTGGAGAGGCTCCATCAAGTCTCATATTAAAAAAGTTCACCGCGAAAAAGAAGTTCATGTTGTTGAACTATATCAGGCTCAGCCGAAAGTTATTAATTACATTTGTCCGAATGATAATTGTAAGAAAACTTTCAAGTGGAAGAGCAGCCTCAGGCATCATATTAAAAATCGGTGCAAAGCTAATGATGGAAGGATTGATTAATATATCAATTTTTCATTAATTATTATGACTTATTTTTTCTATGCAATTAATTGCAGATCTGTAATGAATTTTAATAAAAATTTAAGTCAATAAGGGCTCGAATTTTTTTTTATTTGGGTTTTTTGATAATTTATTTTATTTATTGATTTTTCCAGATGAAATTTTGGAAATTTTTGTAAAAAATTTGCAATTTGATATTTAATTTTACTTTTTATTTTTCAGAAGGAGTTTCTGGAACGTTGGAATCAAATTTCAAGCTTTTTAATAGGAATTAAAAAAAATTTTATTAAAATTTTTGTCCAAATAATTCTTTTTTAGGTCGCTTGTAAGTTTTTTCTGGTCCTTGGGTTTTTTTTTTCATCTATTTTCTTTTTTATTCAAAAACTTGCAAGCGAGATTTTTTAAATTTATTTTGTATTTATTTATAATTTTTTAATCATTTAAAAATTTGAAATTTTTATTTACAAAATTCAATAAATAAAAAATTTCTTCATTTTTTAAGTTCATTAAAATTCTAATTCTTGATAAAAAATTCAAAAATTTTAATTTTTTTACAAAAAAATGGCTTTTTTTTTACTTAAAAAAAATTGATATTTTTGAATTTAAAAAAAAAGTAACAAAAAATTTTTGGAAAATAGTTTGGTTAAAAAAAATTTTTAAAATGGTCAAATAACTGCTAACTTTAATATCATAAAAAAATGCAAAATAAATCAATTTTTAAGGCGCGCAGTAGCCTATCGGATCCGGCCCTTGTTACCAAAGCATTGGACCGGGTTCAAATCCGGCGTACACTAATGAATATTTTCAATATTTAAGTGTATTATTCTGCTCAGCCCAAGAAATACAAACGAGTTCCAATCTTAAAAGTTTACCCCCTACCGTAGTCGCTCATGATCTTCGTAGTTTATGCGACTTTAAACAAAATATTTTCAATATTTAAGTGTATTATTCTGCTCAGCCCAAGAAATACAAACGAGTTCCAATCTTAAAAGTTTACCCCCTACCGTAGTCGCTCATGATCTTCGTAGTTTATGCGACTTTAAACAAATTAAAAAAAATAAAAAAAAAAAAAAAAACTCAATTTTTGATTATTGTAATATTTAAAAAAAAATTTTAAAATTCCACAAAATAATTTTCTCTTTAAAAACTTACAAAATAAGTAAAAAAAAAAAAACAAATTTCAACGATCCAGAACTAAATCTTCAACTTAAGCCTTATAACACCAACCCGGAGCCTAAACTAAGTAATTTCTCTCTAATCGTCTTAGCGAAGCTTATCAAACTCTCTTACTAACTTTCCAAATTTCTAATTTTCCAGATTACGACTACAACGCAATGCTGTTCTCAAAAGACGGTGAGCCTGCAAAGTACTACTGCCCTACAGTGAACTGCAAGAGGTCCTTCAAGCACAAGAACCAGCTGCAGTTCCACCTTCGGAACCAGTGCGGGAAACCCCCCAGGTACAAATGTCCCTACTGCGGGTACCAGTCCCAGTGGAAGCAGCATGCCCGCGTCCACATCCAGCGCGTCCACCCCGAACAGCTTCCCGAGGTCATAGACACCTACAAGCCATTCCGCTCGTTGAAATACTAGAAAGGCTAGACTAGACTAGAATAAGTTCGCTGTAAATTTTTTTAATAAACTTGGAAAAACTATTCTTCCTTTATTCATTCATCAGCTTCCCAATTTTTAATTTTTATTCCAAATTTTACAGCAATTTTTATTTTTTTTTTTTTTGAATTTTTACTTTGTAGAGGCTTTGAACTAATTCTGTTATTTTTTTTCAGATTTTTCAGCACTCCTGCAGCCAAAGTACCACTGCCCGAACTGCACAAGCAGGTACAAGCAGAAGGCCAGTCTGACAAGGCATCTGCGGTACGAGTGCGGGCAGGAACCCAGATTCAAGTGCCCCTACTGCAATTACCGGAGCAAGAAAACCTCTCATATTTATTTACATATACGGACAAAGCATATCAATTGTCAAATTTACGTCTTAGATATTAACAAAATGAAATAAAATTGTTGACTAATTATGCTCGTGTTTTTTGTTCGCTAATTTTATGTTTTTTTGTTGAGGGAATTGGTGTTGATTCATTTTTTTTTTTTGGTTTGGATTTTTTTTTGGACTTTAGATTGTAAAATTTGAGAAATTTTAATTTTGATGCAAATTTAATTTAATTTTTTTTAATTTTTTAGACTTAGATTTTTTTTTTATTGAGAAAATTTTTGGAAAAATTGAATTTTTCACAATTTACAGTATGTAATTTCAATTGTTAGAAATTTCAAGTAAAAAATTGCAGATTTAAGTAAAATTTTTTTAATTTTTTACAAAAATTTTATTTTAAAATTGAAATTTTTAACTATGAAAATTTATACTAAAAAATGTAAAAATTTTGATAAATTTGAATTTTAATTATTATTTAAGGATATTTTATCTAAAATTTCAATAAAAAAAATTTTTTATTAGGATAATTTTTGGAAAAAATTGAATTTTTTACAATTTATAATGTTGATTTTAATTTTTAGGAATTTTAGATTAAAAATTAGGAAAAATTACAGATTTAAGTAAAATTTTTTACAAAAATTTCATTTTAAAATTGTAATTTTTCAAGTTTTTTTTTATTGAAACTTCTAACTATAAAAATTTATACTAAAAACTCTAAAAATTTGAATTTTAATCTTCATTTAAGGATAACAAATATTTATTGAATCTAAAAAGTCTAAAAAAATTCTAGATTTTTTCCCTCATAATTAAAAAAATTATTCTAATTAATTTATTAAAAATTTCTTAAATTTCCAAGCAATCTAAAGTACTTAAAAAAAAAAAATTCAAACCTACAATTAAAAAAAATCCAAAAAATTTCACCCAAATTAATTATAATTAAAATTTAATAAAAAAATTAATAATATATATGTTTCAGAATTTCTAAACCGCCGGGATGGCTGGTTTAACTATTGCCCATGGACCGAGAAGCCGTATCAATGTCGGGGTTGCTGTTACAGCTACTCGACGAAGGACTTGCTAAAAAGGCACATCCGTCGAGCTTGCGGGGGCAAAGAGCCGCGAGTCGGGTGTCCTTATTGTTCTTACAAATCGCGGTACAATTCCGACGTGTACAAGCACTGCAAGCGGAGGCATTCTTCCGCTGCAGTCTTCGCGATAGACTTAGAAACGTTCCAGCGGTGCTTTCCGCGGGACCCTTTCGCGGAAAATTAATAATATTGTAAATAAATAAAGGGAAATTTTCGTTAATTTTCATTTCAATTTTCCTAACACTTGTCATTAAATTAAATAAATTATAAAATAAAAAATTATTGATAAGACTTTTTAAATATCGGACAGAGTTTAACAATCTGTTTGTTTTTCAGCGTATCTTCACATGCAGTCGATGAATTGGTACGCGCAGAAGTCTCTGAGAAGGGACTACGGAAGTGGGAAATTTATTACCAAAAACTCCGAGAGATATCTGTGTCCGAGGTGTCGGAAGAGCTACTCATCAAAGAGCGCTGTTACTGCCCACTATAAGTATGATTGTGACAAACCTCCGAGGTTCGAGTGCCCTTACTGCGGAAAGTTGAGCAAGAAGAAGTTCAATATTCAGGATCATATTAGGAGGAAACATCCTGCTCAGCCTGTCACTTGTAATATTTTGAACGAAAGGAAACCTTTTATTTGATAATTAATTTTAAAAAAATTTTTACTGAAATTTACGGACATTTGAAAATTTCCATGGAAAAAAAATTTTTTTAGGGAAATTTTTTACTTGTTTTTTATTTATTTGTTAACAAAATATCAAATGTACGTCGATTTTAGGTTTGTAAGTTGTTATATACTTTGTACTGTTGACTGAAAGATAAGACTAAGAATACATTACAAATAAATAATGTTATATTTCTATGAGTTTTATATAATGTTTTTTTTATAAAATTGAGTTTTAGGAAAGTGAAATTTATATTCAATAATTATTGAATTTATTATAATAATTATTTAGGCTGCATTCGAAAATTCACTATCTTTACATAATTAAGAAATGAACTTGTATCTTGTGAACTATTGACATTTTTAAAGATATAAGCTCATTCCGATGTTACACTCATCGAGATCTCTCATTTGAGTACCCACATCAATTTTTCATATATACTTATATATTTATATATATGACTATATATATATATATGAAAAATTTATTAAAAATGCATGTGGGTACTCAAATGAAAGCTCTTGATGAGTGTAACATCAAAATGAGCTTATATCTTTAAAAACGTCAATATTCAAAAAAGTACAGTGCAATAATAATTATTTGAATTATAAAAAGAAAGTTTAATTCTCCAATAATAAAATTTAATTACTTTTTTTTTTCAGATTTTTTTTCATCAAATGTGAAGTATAATTTTATATTAATTTAATAAAAATTACCACACTAATTTTTAAAGATAAGAATTTTAAATAAATTATTTCCAGATAAAAATTTCAAGGACTCGAAAATTTCACAAGCCAAAAAAACTTCAAGTGTCTTAAAAAAAATTATTATAAATTTTTCTATTAAAAATAATGTTTATCTTAGCTTGAAAATTTTTTCTAACAAAACTAAAATTGTTTTCAGAGTTTCCGGGCCCTGGATCGTCATACCAACAGCAGTCGCTTCAAAAAAGCCAAACAGAAAAAAAGTTCCAGTGTCCAAAGTGCAATAAAAGATTCTCTCAAAGTTACTCAATGTACCGGCACTATCGATACGAGTGCGACTCTCAGCCGCGGTACCAATGCCCGTACTGCCGGTACGTGAGCAAGTGGAGCCACGCGATTTACAATCACATCAGAAAAATCCACCCCGGGCTCCAGGTTGCTGTGAACCGCCGTTACTAAATAAATTAATGCTTAATAAGAAAAAAAATAATAAACAAAACTGGGATTTTATTTCGCATGCTTCTAGAGTAAGCTCTAGAGTTACTTCCGATCCATCTTTATTTAGTTAATAATTTATTTTTGTGTTAATTAAGGGTTTGATTTTTTATTTGCAGGGTACTCCTATCGGTGGTCGCACAAAAAGGACGACAGAAAAATACCGAAATTTAATTGCCCGAGGTGCCTGAGGCGGTTCTTTTCCCACAGCGGGATGAACCGACACTACCGGCTTGAGTGTGGAGACGTTCCTAGGTTTAAGTGTCCTTACTGCGAGATGAGGACTAAGTACACGCAAGCGGTCTACAGGCACGTCAGGACTAAGCACCGAGGGATGACTCCTGCTTTTTTGAGGCTTTTTTAATTTTTTTTTTGCCTTGATTTTATTGTTCAAAAAATTTTTAAACTAAAGCAGGAATTTTTTTTTTAAGTAAATTTTGTTTAATTTAGGAAAAATGTTCAGGAATTTTTTTTTACTGTTTAAAATTTAATGAAAATTTTGAAAAATTATTTAAAGGAAAAACAGATAAAAAATTAATTTTTGGTTTAGTTAACTAAAAAAGGTTAAAAATAAAGAAGTTTACTGAAAAAATGAAGAAAAAAAATTTTTTTAAGCAAAAATAAGGGCGGAAATTGATAAAAAAAAATTAATTTAATTCAAAAGAAAAATTTTTGAGTAAAAAAATAATTTTGAAGAGTTTGATGAATTAATTAAGTGGAAAAATTGTTGAATTAAAAAGTTGATTTTTAGTTTAAGTAAATTAAGAATTTTTCTACTTTAAAAAAAAATCAAAATCTTTGAAATTTTGTTCTTGGTTAAAGATTTTTTCTCTTGAATTTGATTAATTGTTTTGTCAGTTTTTATTAAAAAAAAAAAGATTTTATGATTTATTTTGTAATTTTTCGCTGATAAAATTAAATTTCTGCGGGTAGGAATATTTAAAATTCAATAAATTATTTTAAATAGATTTTTAAAAATGAAACTTAACTAAAATTTCGATTTTTCGGTAAGTTTTCTTTAAAAAATTAAATTTTTTTTATGCAAAAGTTATAAATGTTTAATTTTTGGAGCGAATATTTGAAAAAAAATTTTTTTTTTCATTTTTTTTAATAAATTTTTACATTTTTAACTTGAATTTATTAAAATAAAACAATAAATTCCCTTTTAAGAGCGCAAATTTTTGTTAATTAAACGCAAATATCTAAAACAATAAAATTTTCTTAATTTTCCAAAAAATTAGAAATTTTATTGAAAAAAATTGACAATTTTTTTATTTTCAAAAACAAACTAAAAAATTATTAATTTTATATATAAAAAAATGTAAAATTTTTCAATCCTGTTGATAATTTTAAATTAAAAAATTTTTTAAATAAACTTTTAATTCACAATAAAAAGAAACTTTCAGCTGTTATTTAAAAACAAATTTTGTGAATTAAAAGCCCGAAAAAAATTTGTAAAAAATTTCTAATCGTCGAGAGCGATAGAAAGAACTTGTAAAAAAATATAAAAACTGAACTATTAAAAAAAAACTTGTTTATTTTTTCGCATGTGGGGCTTTGTGTTGTTTAAATGAAATGTCATTCCTCATTATCAAAAATAATAATAATTAATAAATAAAAAAATAACAAATTTCTATTTTCAGATAAATAAAAAAAAACGAGAAAAATAAAAAAGAATAGAACTAACAGCCTGTCGATTTTTTACAGGACATTCAGAGAAGACAGAAGGATGGTACCCGTGTCCGCGTTGCACGCACAGCTTCCTGTCCAAGAGCTGCATGATGAGGCACTACCAGTCACACTGCGGGGTTCACGAAACGCGCTTTCGGTGTACTTATTGCGATTACGGATCTAAGTACAGTTCTAATATTTACAAGCACATGCGCCGTGTGCATAAACAGATGCCTTGCTTTAAACCCGACCGAATTTTCGTGAAACAATAACTAAGGTTTTTACTTTCATTTTATCAATAGTTAATCTGTAAATTTATAAATAAATATTGTAAATCATCATTGAAGATTATCATCAAGATATTAAATATTTATCTTGTATATTATTGAATAAATAGCAATTGCTTGTTACCACCGGTATTAAATAATTTTATTTAAAATATTTTTTTATTATCTAACACTGAAGATCTACTTGAAGATCAACTATGAAGATCTAATTATAAGAATTAATATTAATTTGTTGATCAGTATTTTTTTATTGTTAATTTTGTAAGAATTTTTGTACTGAGAATGTAATGTGCCAAAATATTTTGTGCCAAATTTATATGATTTATTTGTGGGTGAAATATTGGAAATATAAAAAAATTATAAGATTTTTTTTGTAGAAAATTGTATTTTCTACAAAAATAAGTTTTTTATACGTTTTTTCATATCTTGTATCCTTTAGCCAGAATTCTAAAAAAAAAGTTTAATAAAAGTTTTAATTAGAAAACTTTTTTATTTAATTTCAAAAGGTCCTCAATTATTTCTTATTTTTTAGTTAATATTACAATAAAAAAGCTAAAGAAATTTTTATTAAACTTAAAACTAAGAAATTTTATTAATTAAATTTTAAAATCAAAATTTTAGGCTAAATATCAAAAATATAAAAAAATGATGACCTTTTTTATAGGAAATCCATAAAAAAGGTAATCAATTTTTTCTTATTTATTATTTTTTAGCTAAAATTACAATAAACAGGTTCTAAAAAAAATTTTTAATTAAATTTAAAACTAGAAATTGTATTAATAAAATTTCAAAATTAAAATTTTAGGCTAGATATTAAAAATATTCTCTAGTAATAATTCACCAAAAATATTCGCCAGTGGTTAATTTCCCACAAAACTAAGTACGATTTTTTTTTTATTTTAAATTCATTACATTAAAAAAAATTTTCATACCTAAACTAACTAAAAAATTTTTTATTTTTCAGATCCCGCGACAAAAAAGTCTTTCTTTTGCCCGAAATGCAACAGCGGATTTACCTTAGAAGCGAATATGAATTTTCACTACCGACATTTGTGTGGTCAGGAACCGCGATATAGATGTCCGTATTGTACCCTAAAGACCAAACGAACTTATAATATTTATAGACACATAGACCGTTATCACTATGGTGAAAAAAAGTATGCTCTTAAGTTATAAATTAACAAAAATAAAATTGTAAGGATCAATAAAGCAAGACTTAAAATTAATAAAAAACTAACAAAAAATTTTTTTTTGCAGAAATTGGTTTTTTTCTAATCTTTAAAAAAACTTTTGTGAATTTTTTTACTAACAAAAAAATTTTGCTGTACAGGTTTCGATTTTGAGGGCCCGAAATTCCCGAGACTCGTCGCTTACACGGAAGAAGACCGCGAGGATGCTTGGTACCCGGGGAAGATGGCGTACCATTGTCCGAGGTGTAACGCGGGGTATACCTACAAAAAGACTCTCAAGACCCACCTGAAGTACGACTGCGGGAAAGAGCCCAGGTTCAAGTGTCCCTATTGTAACAAGAAGGACAAGTGCTCATCGAATATTTACAAACATGTTCGGCTTAGGCACGACGGGCTGCCTGTTACTGTTATTAAAAATTAAATTTTATTATTATGCTGTTAAAAAAATTCATTTTGTTCAAGAGAATAATTTTTTTTTCTTGAATGAAATTCATTTTTTTTATCAGTGTAAATTTTACACTGATATAAGGATTTATTAACTGTTAATAATTTAATTTATTTGAAGACAATTATTTAATTTATTAAATTTTGATAAATAATCACTTTTGGTAAATCCTACTGTACTTTCTTAAATATTGACGTTTTTAAAGATATAAGCTCATTCCGATGTTACACTCATCAAGAGCTTTCATTTGAGTACCCACATGTGTTTTATATATGTTTTTCATATATACATATATATAATATATATTTTAAAGATATAAGCTCGTCCCGATGTTACACTCATCAAGAGCTTTCATTTGAGTACCCACATGTGTTTTTGATATATTTTTCAAATATACATATATATAATATATAATATATATAAATATATGAAAAATTGATGTGGGTATTCAAATGAAAGGTCTTGATGAGTGTAACATCTAAATGAGCTTATATCTTGAAAAATGTCAATAGTTCTCAAGATACAAGGTCATTTCTTAATTATGTATCTAGAGATAGAGAATTTTTAAATGCTATGTTAAAAAATCATTTATTAAAATTTAATAAACCTTATTAAATATAAACAAATCCTTCTATCAGTGTACAGTTTAAAATTTACAATTTTTTTGTTTTTTATTTTTTTCATTGTAATTGTACAAATTTATCGATTGATCATGAACAATAATAAATAATAAATTATTATATTAATAAATGGTGGATAAATATTTTAGAAAAAAAATTTCTATCAGTGCATGATTTCTAGAGTGCATGTTTTATATATTTTTAAATAAAATGTTAAATATTATTAAACTTTCTTTTTTAGGATTTGTGTGAAATTTTTAGGGACTTAAAAATATAATTTTAGGCTTGGAAATTTATTTTTTTCTATTTTAATATAAAAAAATTCTATTTTATTGTAAATTTTTAAGAAACTAATCCTTAAAATTTCAATTTAAAAATTAATAAATTTTTTTATTGAATTTCCAAGTTCAAAATTTAAAAATAACAATCATATAAATATACTTGTAAGTATTTTTGTTAAAAATTTAGCTTTCAATTTTCCAAAAAAAAAACATTTTTCCACCCCAAAAAAAACAATAAAAAAAAGAAAAACTAACAAATAAAATTGTTTTTTCAGATCAGACCAGAAGATGGTCAACAGGAGTCTCAAGTTACGTATGTGGAAAATGCAACGCGGGATTTCGGACCTCGTGGTACCTGATAAGACATAAGTGCGGCCAGGCGATGAAATTCGCGTGTCCTTACTGTCTAAAAAAAGACAACTCGTCGTCAAATGTGTACAGACATATCCGCCGCTGGCATCCTACGTCTCCAGTTGTTGTCAATAAATTGTTTTAAAATAAATAAAATATTATAATAAACAATCCGAGTTTCTGTGCTTTTAATTAATTAATTTAAGTAATTAATTGATTATTCTTTTAATTTAATTAACTCGGTAATTTTTATGATTGCAGATTTTAAACCGAACTTGAGCCCGCTCAAGTGTATACAGTGCAAGAGTGAATTCAAGGGCCCAGATGAGCTTCTGGATCACATAAAGTATCACTGCGCAGCTCCTTTGAGCATTCAGTGCCCGTATTGCGATTCGCGGTTCCGATATGTTCCTAATGTTGAGTTGCATATCAGAACTCAGCACCGCGGAATGCCGGTTTATTATGTCGATACTATGTGGTTGACTTAATTTAATAATAATAATAATTAATAAATTAATAATATTTTATTGTTATTATTAATTAATTAATAATTGATAATTAGAATAATAAATTGTACTGCTTTTTTACTTACTCATCGCTGTGAAGAACTGGATCTGAAACAAATATTGTTTTTTGTTAATTAATTTTATTATTAATTTTTATTATTAATTATTATTGTTAATTTTATTATTATTATTAATTTTTTATATTAATTTTCTTTATACCTCGGCTAAAGTACGTCTTACTGTCTTGAATTCGCGGTAGAAAGTCCAACTGTCACTTTTGTACCGCGCTAGGAGTAGACTCATGTGCTATCTACAACCGCGGATCGAAACAAAATGGCGGCGCGACGACTGAGTTTTATTTATTTACTGTGGACACTCGACGCTGTCACTTTTGAGCTTGCATCATGCTATAAAAATGTGAAGTTGGTGAGTGTGAAGTGAGTCAATAGTCGAAGCTTGCAAAAAAAAATGGAACCTGATTCCTTATTGGTTGAAATTAAAGCGCGCGCGTAGCGCGCTATTCAAATTTCGAATATAACCTTAAATATGATTTTTTTCAAAGGCCTCAATGTTTTTATTCAAGAAAATATTTTATGTGAATAAATTATTTTAATAATAATATAAAGTTAGCCGACATTTTAAATTTTTTGTTCTTTTTTTTTAAATTAAATTAGAACGAAAAAATATTTTTTTAAAATTGCACTTACAGTTTTTAAAGTTTTTGACAAGTGAAAATTTTTTTTTATTTTTTCGTAATCATTTTTTCAATAAAAAAACATTTAAAAAATTTTTAAATGTCGGCTAACTTAATTTTTATTTTTAAATGACTAAAAAACTATATAATCTTTAAGAAAAATCGGAAAAATTAGACAAAAATATTTTTTAACCTTGTTATAAATTATCTATTTTATTTTAAAAATGATTACTCGCTTCTTTCGTGCCGCAAATGTCGGGACATGCATCAGTTTTTTTTTCAATACAATTTTTTCCGTACTTTCGACCAGGTATAAAGATAACTAATATACATTACAAGGACATAAATTGAAGATTCCTGCTCTAGTAGTGTAATATACTATTAGTAGACTTTAAATTATTATTTTTTTCTTATAAAAAAAAACTCATTATATATTTTTTTAGAATATTCAAAATTTTCTAGTCAAAATTTTTCTTTATAAAATATTAAATTTCAATCTACAAATTTTTTATTTGATATTTTTTATACTAATTTATAAATATTTTTATTAAACTTAAAATTTGTAATATTAATTTTATCATTACAAAATTTTGTATAAAATTTTGATCAAACTTAAAATTAATTTTAAAAAAATAATTAAATTTATTAATAAAAAAAAAATACTAGTCATAAAATAATTGTGAAAAATCTAAATTGTACTAATATATAATCATAAAAATAAAAAACTTTCTCTTAGACTTGCTTGGCTTTCAATGTACCAAAATATAACAAGAGATGTTCACAAAAAAGCCCCGAAAAATCAACTAATAAATAAACTATCTATTAAATGTTTCAGAGTGGGCAAAATGGGACCTTTCGCGGCAAATTTTCCACCAAGAAGATTCTGAAAATGCTGGAAATTTTCGGCACCAGTGCCCGAAGTGTTACCGCAGTTACAAGCACCGTAGCCACATGATTCGCCACTGCAAATACGAGTGCGGAATCCCCCAAAGATTCGAGTGTCCTTATTGCAAACATCACTTGCGCCAGCGGACTCACGTATGGGCACACATACGCCGCTTCCACCCCAATAATGAATTTTACTGTACCGATATCGCGACTAACACTCGGCTCTATAAAAAAGACCTTTAATTCAAAATAATAATAATTAAAATTGTACAAATTGTAAATTTGTAAATATTAATAAAAATTAGGATTTTTTTTTAAATTAAAATTTTATTTTAAATCATTCAATTAACTTGTTAATTAATTAATTCATTTTTTTTTTTATAATTCCAGGCTTTCAATTCGAGGCTGACAAAGTACCGAAAAATCGCGTGGGAATCTATCAGTGTCCAAACTGCGGAAATTTCTACAAGTGGAAAAATTCTCTGCTAGCTCACTTTAGAAATTACTGCCGGAAACAACCGCGGTTCGAGTGCGCGCACTGCGATGTTAAAAATTATCAGAAAATTCATATTATTCGACACTTTAAGCGACACCATCCCGGAATTGCGCTCAAATATTTTGATAACAAATTTAATAATTTTTGTTTTAGTTAAATTAGAAAAAAATTATATTTAATAGAAAGATTTTTTTTATTTATTTAGTTGTAAGTTATAATTATTATTAAAGAATTTATTTTTTTTTTTTTTGTAAAATTAAATTCATGATAATTTTTAATTAATTTTTTTTTTAATTTTGAGCGCTAAGTACCTGGCGAGTAATAAGGATTAAATAGAGATATTTATAATTAATAATTAAACATTTATAAAATTTAATGTTAAATTTTGGAAAAATTTTTTTTTTATTCAATTAAATTTTTTAAAATTAAGTTTTAATTTCTAATAAAATAAATACTTTTGTGAATATTAATAAAATTTAGGCTAATAAAATTTTATAAAAAGAAATTTGTAATTAAAAAACTATTTTGCATTAATAAACAAAGCTTCTGTTGAAATAAATTAGCACTCAATTGCACGGAAGTCACAAAAATATAATTATTGTAAAAAATAAAATTTTATTAAAAAAATTAACTAACTTATTGCTGAATTTTAGTTACAGGTTTCTACGGAGTTAACGTGATACCTTACATGGGACCTTCCCAGGAGATAAGCTTTGGATTTCGACCGAAAAAAGAGATCTTCTCCTGCCCAAAATGCCTGCGTGGGTTCAGCCGCAAGAGCAACCGGAACCGGCACTTTAAGTACGAATGTGGACATGAACCGAGGTTCAAATGTCCTTACTGCGACGTGAGGAGCAAACAGACTTCAAGAGTTTATCTTCATATTCGCGAAAAACATCGAGGAGAAAAAGTTTTTTATGTTGATCTCAAGGCTTAGAATTTTTATTATCTTTAAATTAAAAAATTATATTAAATTGATATCCTATAAATTATTAAATGTAGAAAATTATATTAATATATTATTGTAATGTTATTAAAAAAATTTTAATTATTATATCTTTTTTTTTTTATTTAATTGAAAAAAAATTTTATAAAAATCACGAATTTTAATTAAAGAAAAAACAAAATTTTTTACTAACCAAAATTTGTTTTATTTTATTTCAGGTCTCCAAAATTACACCAAATAAAAATATTTGGAGAATATCAAGATGGTCAAAAATATATTCAAGAGCTTCCAGCGAGACTTTGAACCAACTAAAATTTCAAAAAGTGTTTTTTAATCTTTTTTTTAAGTATAACTAGCAATTTTGCAGTTACTATGTGTCTGCCGTGACTTGTCAATTATAAATAATTAAAATTTTGGTTTATTAAATAATGACTTTTGTTAAATTACACTGTACTTTCTTAAATATTGACGTTTTTAAGAATATAAACTCATTTTGATGCTCTATTCATCCAGAGCTTTCATTTGTGCATCCACATGAATTTTTGATATATTTTTCATATATACATATATATAATATATAATATATATATATATATAAATATATGAAAAATTGATGTGGGTACTCAAATGATAGATCTCTATGAGTGTAACATCGAGATGAGCTTATATCTTTAAAAATGTCAATATTTCACAAGATAAAAGGTCATTTCTCAATTATGTATTAATACACAAATTTTAATATAGATAATCCAAAGCTTAGTTTATTCAAAAAATATTCTAAGAAAAAAATTTTTATTTTCCAGCTTATAAATTAAAAAATCTCGGCTTTTATTTCTAAAATTAACACCTCACTAAAAATTACAGTTCTAATAATCAGTAATTAAAAAAAAAACTCCAAGCTTGAAAGTAGAAAAAATTTTTTAATAAAAAATTTATTTTTCAGACCCCCTGGAGCCGGACGAGAGTTCAGAAGTTTCTAGCCGACCTTCCGGTAAAAAATTTGTAGCCACCTGTCCAAATTGCCAGAAGGGCTACCAACGCGCGGCGTCTCTGAGACGACACTTGAAATACGAGTGCGGACAAGCGCCAAAGTTCAAGTGTCCTTATTGCGATTTGCGCACCAAGCAAGCGTCTCCTATTTACACCCACGTTAGGAGAAAACACCCCGGCTTGCCTGTTAATTATGTCTACCTCGAAATTTGAATAATAAATATACATTTTTTTTGAAACATCATCGCATTTTTGTACTAATTGCATGCTACATTAATTAATTAATTAATTAATCATAAAATTGTCAAAATAATTTAACAGCTGCCCGCTTTTGATAAGATATTTATTTTTTTTTCACAATTTTAACTAACAGATTTTTGAAATTATTTTTTAGACTTCCAACTGGAGTTTAAGACGGCCTGGAGCGCGGTTTTTGAAGACACTAAGCCCTTTCCTAATCCGAACGCTGAGGCGGAAAGAGAAATTAGTTTATTTACTTGCAAAAGTTGTTTTAAGAGTTACCACTACTACCAATCGTTGAAGCGGCACTTGAAGTTTGAATGTGGAATGAAGCCCGGGTTTAAATGTCCTTACTGTGAATACTGTAGCAAGCACAAGTCTTCGCTTTATAATCACATCAAGCACAAACATCCTGGCCAAAAAATTGCACATATTTTGTTGAATAAATAGTTTTATTAATTAATTCACTTGTATATTTATTTTTTATACTTTTTTTTCAGAATTTTTGGGTTTTTTTTTAAACAAAAAAATTTAATATTGACTTGATGATAAGAGATACAAAAAAAATGATAAGGACTTTTCAAGAGAATTCAATTTTCTATGAAAAAAAGTCTCTTATAATTTTTTTATATTTTTATTTTTAAATTTTATAAGAAAATTTTTGGCTTAATTTCAATTGAAATTAAAAAAAAAAAATTTTTTTTTTGATATTCTGAATAAATAAAATAAGATAGAGGAAAGTGGATAAGGACCTTTCTTATGAAAATTTAATTTTCTATAAAAAAGGTCTATATTTTTTTTATATTTTTGATTTTTAAATCAAAATTTTAATTTTTTAATTTTATAAGAAATTTTTTGCCTTGATTTTAATTGAAATTTTTTTTGAAAACTTTTTTTTGATATTCTTAATAAAATAAATAACAGAAGATTTTCAATATTTAACCTAGAGTTTTAATTATAAAATTTTATAAAAAAAAATTTTAAAGTTAAATCAAAATTTCTTTCAGACTTTTTTTTTTGTATTCTGGTTGAAGGGTAAGAGATAGGGTAAAATTAATAAGGACTTTTTTTTATAGAAAATTAAACTTTCTATAAAAAAGCTCTTTAAATTTTTATAAGTTTATTTTCAATATTTAACCCAGAATTAATTTCTTACTAATAATATCTAACAATTTGCAATTTTTAAAGTATTTTTTTTATTAAAAAAAATTCTAACAAATTTTTTTTATATTTTCCAGATCTATCAAGGCCTTCAAATTTATTTTACGAAGAACGGAGTGAAAAAAAAAAAGACTTTACATGCCAAAGATGCTTCAAGTCTTACTTGTACTTAAAAACCTTAAACCGGCATTTGAAGTACGAGTGCGGACATCAACCGAGGTTCAAGTGTCCTTACTGTGACCTACAGACCAAAAGAACTTCACCTATATACATTCACATTAGGAACAAGCACCCCGGACGTCCTGTCTACTATAATTACTTATATTAATAAATTTGTACTGAAAAATATTTTATAAAATTCGACCCGATATAAATTAAACTTTTTTAATCTATTTTAAATTTTGCCTGGATTTTTTATGTTGAGTTTTTTTTTCTAATTAATTCTATCTTACTCTCTAATAAAATTAAAAAATAAATCTAAGGACTGGAATAATTTTTAATTTATTTTTTCAGATAGTTGGCTGAACTTTGAAGAGTTCCCGGGGATGAAGAGCGAAGACAAGGAGGTAACAGAAATGGGGGCAAACAATGGGACGGGGATGGAAATCCCAGTAGCAGACTTCACGACGTATGAGCAGCTGCAACCCCAGAGAGGTCGCAAGAGATCCCTTTATAAAAATCACGTTTGTCCGAAGTGCTATCGCAGTTACAAACGCGGTAGCCATTTAAATCGTCACATGCGATTCGAATGTGGACAAGGCCCGAGGTTCAGGTGCCCCTACTGCGATTTTTTGAGCAAACAGTCACCGAATATTTATAAGCATATTAGAAAAAGTCATCCAGGATTTGAAATTGGATATGTTGATATGCGAGCTTAAAAATTTTTATTACTTTGCATGAAAAGTCAATAAGGAAAATTTTTTATTAATTTACTTTAATAAACAATGAAGATTAAATAAATACATTTTAAAAGAAACATTAATCTAATTAATTGAATTAATTTTTTAATATAATAATTAATTAATAATAGTTAAAATTTTTTTTACAGCTGGCTAAATTTTACTTGAAATATACTTTTTTATTATTAAAAAATTCAAATTTTGGCTAAATAAAGACCTTTTTTGTAATGAATTTAATTTTCTATAAAAAAGGTATAATTTTTTTATATTTTTAATTTTTAACCCAAAATTTTGATTTTAAAATTTTATAAAAAAAGCTTTTGTTTTAATTTTAATTAAAATTCTTTTAAAAATTTTTTTTTTTTGATATTCTGACTTTTATTATAGAGAATTTAATTTTCTATAAAAAAGATTTATCATTTTTTCATATTTTTGATATTTAATCCAAAATTTTAATTTTTTAATTTTATAAAAAAAAATTTTTAAGTTACAATTTTAATGAAAATTTTTTTCAGACTTTTTTTTTAATATTCTGGCTAAAGGATAAAAGGATGAAATTTCCTATAAAAATTTTTATTTTAAGCTTGTTCAAACAAATATTCAGCACTTGTAATTAAATTTTCAGTAAAAAAAAAAAATAAACAAGTATAACTACTAACACAAATACTAAAAATTTTTTTCAGACTCTTGGGACCAACAAGCAACCTCATCAGTATCATTATTAGTGCGATCAAGACGTGCCAAAAGAACACAAGACCTCCTGAGTGTACAATATTACGCCTGTACGACGTGTTTTAAGAAATACACACGAAACGCGGATCTACTGAGACATGTGCGTAATGAGTGCGGTCAATCTCCGCCCTTTAAGTGTCCGCACTGTCAGTACTTAAGCAAGCAATTTTCTAAAATTTACGCCCATATCCGAGCCAAACATCCTGGGAGATCTAAAGGCTACATCGATTTGAGAGATAATACTATTCATACGCCTTGAAATTTTATTTATATTAATATATATTATATATTTATTTATTTTATCAATAATAACAATAACAATCATTTTTTATGCTTAATTAATTGATATTTAATCCAGAATTTTAATTTTTATTTAATTAGCCCAGAACGTCGATTTTAAGTTAGTTATATAAGAATTAATAAATGTACAAATTAAAAATTAAAATTTTCCAGTAAAAAAATTTTTTTAAGCAAGTATAACCACTAATACAGGTACTAAAAATTTTTTTCAGGCTCACCGTGGAACCAACAAGCAACCTCAACAGTAGCTTTAGGACAATCGAAGCCTGTCAGAAGAAAACAAGACCACCTGAAAGTAAAACTCCACGGCTGTCCTAGGTGCTTTAGGAAGTACAAGCGAAACGCGGATCTAAGAAGACATATGTTTAACGAGTGTGGTCAATCTCCGCGCTTCAAATGTCCGTATTGTCCCAATAGAAGCAAGCAATTTTCTCAAATTTACGTCCATATTCGCGCCAAACATCCTGGACAAATTAGGGGATACATAGACTTGAAAACTAATATTATTTACACGCCTTAAAATTTTATTGTATTTTTTTTTTCTTATAAATAATAACAATAACAATTATTTTAATTAATTGCCTTTTTTATACTTGATCTAATCATTTATTTCAGTAAAAAAATTTTTCTATTCAAATTTCAGATCCTGAATTATTTTCAGACAAATTTAAAAATTTCAAATTTTATAAAAAAGTTTGATTAAATTTCAATTAAAATTTTTCTAAGATTTTTTAAAAATTCTATCTAAAGGACGTACGGGAAGTATAGAAAAATTAATGAAGACCTTTCTTATAAAGAGTAATTGTCTATAAAAAAAGTTTTTTATCCTGTTTTCATATTTTCAATATTTAATTCAGAATTTTAATTATTAAATTTTATAAAAAAATTTGGTTTAATTTCAATCAAAATTTCTCTTAAATTTTTTTTGAAATTCTGGCTAAAGAACAAGATATATCGAAAAATTGATGACTTTTCTTGTAGAGGATTAAATTTCCTTTAAAAAATGGTCATAATTTTTCTCTATTTATTAATATTTAACTCAGAATTTCAATTTTAAGTTAAAAATACCTTGAAGATAAAAAAAGATTCAAAAGAAAATATTTTTTTCCAATAAATTAACAGATAATTTTTTTCTTTTCAGATAAAATAATTCCCCTGGAACAAGAATGGCCGATGATTTTCAAAGAAGAAGTCGAGCTGAGTGTAAGAACCCAAGAAAGAGTGATTCGTCCGCGAATATTCAGAATTTTGAAGAAACAGAAACAGAAGCTGATGAAGAATAAAAGAATCCCGGACAACGTTTCCTGCTCAAAGTGTCACAAAGTTTATAAGTACTCGAGGAATTTGCAAAGACACTTGAAGTTCGAGTGCGGATTGAACCCGAGGTTCAAGTGTCCCTACTGCAATTACTGCTCTAAGCAGTACACGCCGATTTATTCTCACATCCGCAGACGACATTTAGGACAAGAAGTCCGTTACATTGATCTAAAAGCTTAATTTTGTAAAAAAAAATTTAAATAATAAAATTAATAAATAAATAATTAAGTAATTGATATTTTTCTTGGGCTTGTAGTTTTTTTGCAATGATTTTTTGATTATTTTTACTAACAAAGTGGTTTGTAATTTCAGGTACGAGGTTCGCGGACCCAGCGTACTCTGGTCTGGAGAAGATGAGGATCTTCAAGAGGGATAAACTGATGAAGAGTTACTACTGTCCTAATTGTGGGAAGAGTTACTCCCGAAAGTGGCTGCTGAAGAGACACGTTTCTTTTGAGTGCAACAAGGAGCCAAGGTTCAAGTGTCCCTATTGCGATTACAAGGCCAAGCAGTCTCCTAATGTTTATCCTCATGTCAGGAAAATGCATCCTGGATTTAATGTTTTTTTTGTTGATCTCAAAAAGTGAAGTGGAATTTTTCTGAGGACAATTTATCTCAATTTTTAGTAAAAAAATTAATGGTACAGATTTTTAAAATTTTCTTATCTTTTTAGATTTTTTGGGAAAATTATTGGGAAGAAAATTTAGTTGACAATTCAATTAATAGTAATTTAAAAAAAAAATTATTAATTTTTTATAAGAAATTATTGTTGAAAAAATTCTAGTTGCAAAAATTATGATTAAGAATTTTTTTATAATAATTCAAAAAATTATACTTAACTAAAAAAAAATTCAGATGTACACACCTGTTCTTTAAACATATTTCTTCATAGGAAGAAATGAAAGAATAAAAAAATTTTTTTTTATCAATAAATTAAAATTTTTCTTTAATAATAAATTTAAATTAGTTTTATTAATTTCTTCTCAATAATTATTTAATTTACTTATTACTTCCCAATAAAGACTTGAAATTAATAATTAATTTTTACAACTTTTTTATTCATTATAATTAATAATAAATTATTCAAATATAAAGATTAATAGTCCTCAGACTCTATAGGTTATGTTCTCTGTAAATATTTATTGAAATACATAAAACTTAAATTATTATTCTTCTTAAATCTTACAAATTTTTAAACTAAAAAAAGTATTTTTAAAGTATTACAAGCAAACAATTTCCATTTTATTAATAAGAAAAATTTTTTTCTATAAAAAAATATACAAAAAGAATCCAAGAATTCTTTTTGACATTTTTCATAAAAATTTAAGTGACAGGTGTTTATTAATTTTTTAAAGAAATAAATTACTGCCAAAAAAATTGACATCTAAAAATTAAAAATGCAATTTTTTAGAACAAATTTGTTTTTTAAATAAAATTAACAAATTGTTAAATAACAGCTGACTTTAATGCCATAAATTTTTATTAATTAATGATACTGAAGTTTCAATTTAAAAAATTTTTTTAACTAATTAATTACAATAAGAAAATGTTCACTTGAAATTTTATTAATTTTCAAACGTGGAACTTTTTAATTAATTATTTAATTGCCATAAAATTATCAAAAAATTTTGAACTTCTGTCAACTTCAGTTTGATATTAATTAATGTTAATTCTTGTATTAATTATTATTATTATTATAAAAATAATAAAATTTAAATTTGATGGTACTTACAGGTTTGCGCTTGGTGGTCGGTAGATGAAGTAATGCTTGCAGGTGTTTACATGAAGCGAAAATATGACAGAGGGTATATAATATAAGCAGCAAGCTTTAAGCGAAAGTTTTCGTGCAGTATACTTCTATATATATATATATATATAGATACGGCGGGCTTCTATTATATTCAGGTGGAAAAGGGTCGGCAGAGAGGGGAGCCTTGTTCAGGTAACTAGTAGCTTCTATTGATATTCTTCTCGAGTTTTGTTCGTACACGCCTGTCGTATTTATAACGTATCACGTGTTTTTACAATTTTAATTTTTTTAACGTTAATAATATATGTAATGTTCATAATTATTTGTTTTTATTATTGTTGAGTGATAATATTTGTGTGAGTGTAAAAAGTTTTAGTTATTATCGCCGATAAAACAAGAGAATTGAATTGCATTGTAAGTATTTATTTTTGGAGGTTACGTTTTTAAAAATATATGGTTTCTCTATACTATAAACATGATGATTTTTGTTTATGTTTTGTTGAATTTATTTTTAATCAAAATTTATTTAATAGATGTTTTATAATTAAAATATATTTTTTAACAAATAAATTATTGTAAAATAAAATTGACAAGTAGAAATTAAAAAAAATTAATAATGCAATTTTTTAAAAATCATTTTTTTGAAAAAAATTTTTGTCATTTACTTTTAAATAATAATAATAATAATAATAATAAATAACAATAATAATAATAATAATTATTGTTATTGTTGTTTTTAAAAAATTAGAGGCTAAAATTTGTTTTTAATAATTTAATTGATTTATTTATTTCTCATAAAATTTTTTTTTTTTTATAAAATTGTTATTTTTATTAATTTGAATATTTTACTAATGAATTTTTTTTTATTTTTCAGGTATGACTTGGAGAATTTTTTTTTTGTGAAGAAGAGGAAATGTACAGTGGAAACAAAGTGATAAAAAAAAGTTGAGTTTAAGTGAAAATTTAATTTGAGTGAATTAAAAAAGATAGAAAATTTTTTTTTAAATTAAAAAAAAATGGTTTAAATTAAAATTTTAATTTTGATAGTATTAATTTTTTTTTTTTTTTTTTTTTTAGTAAATTTGACATTAATTTATTTTTAACAAATTAATTATATAAAAAATATTTTATACTAAAAATTTTTATTTGGAAAAAGTTTAAGAGATTAAATTTGCAATTATTTTTTAAAAAAGCTCAAATCAACAAACAACATGATTTGGCTTGACGTATATAACAGCCTAGCTGGAGAAATATGGAAAAAAAATTTCATTTTATTTATATTTATTTACACATGCGTCTTTTTTTCATTAATTTTTTGTATTATACTTTGGTTATCATTAAAATTTATAAAAATTTCCAGATATTTGATAGTCTAAATAACATTTTTTAATAAAATTTATATTTGAAAATAATCTTATCTAAATTCAAAGTAGCATTAAATAAAAAATAATTAAATGAATTATAAACACTTATTTAAAAAATTCTCTGTACAGATTTTTCTAATTTTTAACAACTAAAATTTAAGCCATTTTCCTTTTAATAAACAAAAACTTAATTTTTAAAAGTGTTGTGTTATTAAAAGTTTTTAATTTTTACAAGTGAAAAATTGTGAAAATAAACAAATTGACTTGAATTTTGGATATTTGTCACCTGCTTCCAAAATTTCACCTGAGAAATAGAAAATAGATCATCAAATGGGTATCGTTATTTTTCTTTAATTTTAAAAATATTAAATAAAAATTTTTTATTTATAAATTGTATGCTTTGTATTTTTTTTTTTTTTTTTCAGTCTTTCAAATTTAATTTTTTTTTCAGCGAAAATTTTAATAATTTAGGAACCAAAAATCAAAACAATATTCCTTAATAAATTATTAACTCAAAAATAATTGATCGTTTCACCGAGCTTAGCTTTATGAATAAAACTTAATAAAAAAATTTTATGCTTTGCAGGAAAATCATGAATGCTTAATCGTTCCCTAAAAAAAATAACCCAAGGTGTTTGAAATTTTTAACAGAAAAATTAATCAATAACAAAATGATCCCTTGAAGAGAATTAATTAAAAATAATTAACTAACAATTTCCGTTGTTTATCAATTTTAGAGTCGCGGGTGATAAAGTCTCAGCGGGATCTGTGCTCGGTGATAATCAAGGAGGAGGTAGAAGTAGCGGAGCTTCAGTTCCCGAACCCCCTGACGCTCCGGAACAGGGGAGAGACGTTGATGCAACAGTTGAAGACTCACACGTGTCCCAGGTGCTTTAAAAGCTACATGCATGCGTGGCACCTCAAGCGACACATCAGGTTCGAGTGTGGCCAGGAGCCAAAGGTCCAGTGTCCCTACTGCATGGTCAAGATGAAGCAAAGAGGTCACGTCTACCGACACATCCGGCGGTGTCACAGGGGACAAAATGTTTACGTCATCGATCTCAATTAATGTTACTACTCGCGGGTTATTTTCTCGATAATTCGCGGAGTTTATTTTTAAGGATAAGACAATTATTATTTGGTATATTTATTAGTGCCGTGATTGGAAAAATTGATGATACTTGTTTTATGGTATTATTATTTATTAATTTACAATCACTGTAATTAAGGCTAAGATTAAAAATTATTAAAATTTAACTTTTACAGATTTTATTTATTTAATTGGGTTTTTACGTCGCATTATGGAAAATATTTTTTTATCTTTGTGAAAAATGGAGGTATGAAAAAGTGATAAGGACCTTTTTTATAGAGGATTAAATTTTCTACATAAAATGTTTCCTATTAATTTTTTTTATCTTTGATAATTAGGTTAAAAATTTCAAGAAGCAATTTTAAAGTTTTATTTTTAATAAAAGTTTCTTTCAGATTTTGACTTGATATTCTGGCTAAATAATTATCTCTGATTATAATCAGAGATATAAAAAAATTGATAAAGACCTTTTTTATAAAGAATTTAATTTCCTATAAAAAGGTATCATCATTTTTTCATATTTATAATATTTATCCCAGAATTGTGAATTTAAAATTTTATTATTAAATATTTTGAACTTTTTAAATTAAATTAAAATTTTTATAAAATTTTATTGTTTAAATTCTGGGTTGAATTTTAAAAATATGAGAAAGTGATGACCTTTTTTTATAGAGGATTAAATTTTCTACAAAAAAAATGTTTCCTATTAATTTTTTGTATTTTTGATAATTAGGTTAAAAATTTAATTTAAAAATTTTAAAACACAATTTTTAAGTTTTATTTTTAATAAAAGATTCTTTTAGATTTTGACTTGATATTCTGGCTAAATAATCACAGATATGAAAAAAGTGATGACCTTTTTTGTAGAGAATTTAATTCCTTATAAAAAAGGTATGATTTTTTCATATTTCTAATGTTTATTCCAGAATTTTATATTTAAAACTTCATTATTAAATTTTCAATTTTTTAAATTAAAATTAAAACTTCTATAGAATTTTATTATTTAAATTCTGGGTTAAATATTAAAAATATTAAAAAATTATTAGAGACCTTTTTTTGCAGAGAATTAAATTTTTTACAAAAAAGGTTTCTTATCATTTTTTTTTTCGTTATCTTTGATATTAAACCCAGAATTTTAATTTTCCAAAAAAAAAATTCAGTTTTTCGAATAAATATTAGCCCTAATAATAATAATTAATATTTTATTTTTTCTAGCCTAGTATCTGTAACGCGATGTAAGGTAATGCTTAAATTAGTTCCTTAGTTTTAAAGCGCATGCTTCGCTTAGAAAATAAAATAAAAACCTAGCGATATAAAAATAATTATTAATTAAAATAGCGACGATCAAAAACCTAGCAGCCAGCCTAGCAGATAAGAGTGTAATTCACCGCAGATCAAGAAACTCAAATAAAAAAGAGTAGCCCTTGTCCTATCCCCGCTGAAAGATGCTAGCGACCATCGAGAATAACGGGATATTTTTGTCTGACCCTTGCACAGATTTCCAGCCCCAGTCGATGCTCCTCGGGAAGCAGGGTGCTTGTGGGTACTCGGTGCTGCCTTTGATGAAGAACTTGGCGACGATGTGGCTGGCGAAACAGCGGACCCAGTTCTCGTACCGGTGCGACCGATGCGGGAAGGGATACCAGCACCGCGCCACCCTCGTCAGACACACCAGACACGAGTGTGGCAAAGACCCCAAGTTCAAGTGCCCCTACTGTGTCCACCGGACTAAGCAGAGGGGCAATCTCTACCAGCACATTCGCACTAATCATCCAGGAAAAAATGTTTTCACTAGTACTCTTTAAATTTTTATCAGCTGTTATTAATTATTAATTAAAATTAAAATTAATTTTTGTAGTAAATTAAATTACTTGTAAGATAATTTTATTTATAGATTTTTTTGTTTTAAACAATAAAAATCAAGTAAGAAGTTACTTAAATTAATTATTAATTAATTATTCCTCATGAATTATTGAATTAAATATTGTCAAGAAAATAGCAAGATTGTAAGAGCAGTTACTGATGAACGGGTGGTTATTTTCAGGACTGTGGGCGAACTACCCCTCGCAGGAGTTCCCGCGAGCGGAGAGCTACTCGACGCACCTGGGCAGCATGAGGATGATGCGAAGCTCCCGACGATCGATGACCCACCAGGTGTGCCTCGACAAGAGACCCGGGTGCTACTACTGCCCGAAGTGCGGCAAGGGCTACCGGTGGCTCAGGAACATGAAGAACCACCTGAAGATCGAGTGCGGGAAGGAGCCCACCGAGTTCTGTCCGTACTGCCCCCACAAGACCAGATACAAGCGCAGCCTCCAGAAGCACATCCTCAGAATTCATTCCTCATAATAACTAAAGTCTCTCCTTTAAAATTTTTTTTGTTACAATAAATTTATTATCTTCTGCTTTAAGATAATGTTTTATTATTACACACAAGCATTCATTTATAATCCTCAGTTCCAATCAATTTTTTTTATCATCGCTCATTTATTTCCTCTCTGTTAAAGCTACTGTATCAATGCTTCGTACTTTCATTTATATATTGCCCCAAAGTTTACACTTATCCGGCGGGTTGTTTTTTTGACTACTTATTAATTCATTTTTTTTTAGTTCCAGGCAACGTGAAAAAGAAGAAATTTTATTTTGCACTGGAAATAATTATTGGGGTAAATAAATAATTTTATTAATGAGATATTTATTTTGTTTTTAGGAGCCAGCAGGTGTGAATACTGTGGCCGAGAATTTATTTGGGAGTCAAGTCTGCGTCTTCACAAAAAAATGGCCTGTGGAAAGCCCCCGAATTTTTTCTGCTCGCTGTGCACTTACAAATCTAATTTTAAGGGTAATCTAAAGCGACATATGTTCAACGTCCACAAAATAGTCCTGTAAAATACTAAATAATATTTTTGTACGACTGAAAATAATATTAATAATAATAAATACAACTATTAGTTTATCGGTTTTCAATAAAATAAATAATTATTGACCTTAGGTGGGTTTTGCGCTTGATGTCGCGTAATTTAAAAATCTTATTTATTTCAGACGCCGGTTTTAGTTGTTTTTAAAAATATTTCCAGCGGTAGACCCGGAGCTGAGAGAGAGAGAGAGAAAGAGAGAGAGTGAGCCCTTTAAGTATTCTGGTAAATAATAATTGTTGTTTATTTAAAAATGCCGAGGCATGCGCTTGGATGTTAGATGGTAGCCGTACTGCCGGTAATTATCACAACCAAAAGTATTGTTTTACCGATTTAGTAATCCCGACTCGTAAACTCTGTGTGCTAAGTTAATAATAAAACCTTTAAGACACTTACAGTTGTGTTAATACAATAATAATAACTGGTGAGGCTGATGACAATTAAATCGGGTATTTTATTGCAGACCCCCGGCTATTTCCTATCGTCAAGCCCCGGCTCCACGTGTGTCCTCACTGCGGGCAGATGTACTCCTGGGCATCGAACCTCAGGAAGCACCTCAAAATGGGCTGCAGCATGCTCACCCAAGACACTCACTTTTCCTGCCGCTACTGCCCCTACAGATCCAGAATCCAGGCCAGCTTCTTCAAGCACCTCCTCTCTGTGCACAACATCAAGTGAACTGCCATCAGTTAATTATTTAATCAGTCTAATCACGTTTAATTATTTAAATACCAAAGATTAATCAAGATACCTTTTTTTTTATAATTGTAAGCTTGCAGTTTTTTTAACCAAAGACTTTATTTCTAGTATTCAGTCTGTACTTATTTAAAAATAAACTTGTGTACATAAATCTCATCCTACATTTCATTTTCAATTAATTAATTTTCATTATCATTGTTAGGGTCTTTGTTTTTTCCTCATACTAATTATCTAAATTTCTGTTTCAGTTTGGTACATCCCTGAGACAGTGCTCGCCAGGCCTAAAAAAGCCTCAAAAGCACCTAGAGCCTCTAAGCGCAAGATCAAGAAGTCAAACTACGAGTTCACCTGCTCCGCTTGCAAAAAAACATTCCCGACCTCGGCGAATCTGCGCGACCACATTAGACGGTACTGCGGTGTCGACAAGAACATCATATGTCGGTACTGCAGCCACAGGTCCAAGCGGCTTTGGGACATGAGGGTCCATCTTGAGCGCGTTCATCATATCTCGAAAGATCACTTTACTCTGCACCGGGATGTTATTAAAATTCGCTCTTAATTAAACGTGAAATTTTGATGAAAATATTTGTCTGGTGAAAAAAGTTTTTTTTAATTTCATTTTCTACAAAAAATCTCTCTCATTTTTTTACACGACCAATATTTTCGCCGTAATTCCACAATTATAATTCATAATTAATTAGCAACCTTGCAGTCACTAATTTAAATAATGACTTTTGTTAAATTGCACTGTACTTTCTTAAATATTGACGTTTTTAAAGATATAAGCTCATCCCGATGTTACACTCATCAAGAGCTTTCATTTGAGTACCCACATGCATTTTTCATATATTTTTCATATATACATATATATATATATATATATATATAATATATATTTTGAAGTTATAAGCTCATCCTGATGATACACTCATCAAGAGCTTTCATTTGAGTACCCACATGCATTTTTGATATATTTTTCATATATACATATATATATAATATATATAAATATATAAAATATATGAAAAATTGATGTGGGTATTCAAATGAAAGGTCTCGATGAGTGTAACATCGGGATGAGCTTATATCTTTAAAAATGTCAATAGTTCACGAGATACAAGGTCATTTCTTGATTATTGATATTCTATTCTGGATGATTAAATTTTTTTTTTGTATTTTAAACACCTTAATTTTGAAATTCCGGCTTATTTATTGGTTTTATCAAAAAATTATAAGACATTTTTTTTTAGATAATTAAATTTTGAACAATTTTTGTTCCAAAACTTTTTTTTACGACCAATATTTCCGCCGTAATATAAAAAAATTGATACCATTTAATTATTAATTGTTATTTTGAAATTAAGAAAAAAAATCCTGGTTCTATTAATAATTTTTTACTAACATTAATATCAAATGTTAAATTAAATAAATTACCCAATGGTGTAATTAACTCATACTTGTTTGTAATTTTTCATAAATTTGTACATATTTTTTTTCAGTTTAAAAATTTCAGTAGAGCGCTAATTTAAAAAAACTAAATAAAGATTTTTTACTAACAAAATTAATTTATGTTCCAGGAGCGAGGGTCCAGTGGAAAAGCGTCCAAGACAGAAGCTTCCGCCGATCTACAAGCTCGACTAGACGCGCTAATAATAAGAAGATGGAGTGCTGTCCATTTTGTGATTACACAAGCGACAGAAGGTGGAACGTCAAGTCGCATATTAAAAGAATTCATACCACCTCTTGACGTTGACTTTTCTCAAGTTTTTATAATTGTTAATTATTATTAAAAATTGGTTTTCAATTATTGATAAATAAAATATTTTTTACTCAACTGAAAGTTTGACTCTCAAGAGTAATTTTGTATTGTAGATTTTTGTGTGTGTAATTGATGGCAATTAACGAATTTTGAGAAGAATTTGTTTTTTATTTCCTTACTGATTTTATTAATTTTTTTTTTTGGTTTCAGAGATGCCGAGGAGAAGGTACACCAAAGTTAGAGACCAAAAACAGTTACAGTGGGCGATGGACGCAGTTGTTCAAGGCGTGATGTCGCTCAGATCCGCTGAAAGGACTTTTAATATTCCTAGAACTACGCTTCAGAGATATATTAAGCAGGGGATTCCTTCTTTTCAGTTCAAAAAAATGGAGTATGATTTCCATTGAGGGTTTTTTATTTTTAACCCGATCTAAAAATTTTTTTAGACTCAATCTTTATTTTTTAAATTGTTTTTAACTAGAATTTTTTATTTATCTTCTTGAAAAATGAAGATATAGAAAATGATAAGGACCTTTTTCTTGTAGGGAATTAAATTTTCTAAAAAAAATGTCAACAATTTTTAAAATTTTTGATTTTCAGCTCAAAATTTTGAATTTTAAATTTTAATAAACAAATTTTTTCTATTATTTTTTATTCAGATTTGAAATTGATATTTCAGCTACATTATCAGAGTTATAGAAAAATTGATAAGAATTTTTTTTATAGAAATTTAAATTTTCTAAAAAAAATGTCTATTATCAATTTTAAAAATTTTTTATTTTTAGTCCGGTTCCATGATTCTTGATCCTCCGACAAAATATCCCCAAAATAAATATCTCTTAAAATTTTTCATATCTTTAATACTTAATTTAATCCAGAATTTTCTTTTTGATATTAAAATTTAATGATTGAAATTTTCAGTTTAAAAATTCCCCAAATTTTTTAAAAAAATTCAAAAATATTTAAAAAATTTAGTAAATTGTAATTTAAAATAAACAAAACCAAATACCAACCCCGTCTTTTTATTAACCTTCCCACAAAATTAAAAAAACCAAAAACTAATCCGCTGTTTTATGTTCCAGATCTGCGGTACTAAAAAATCTTTGACCTAAACTATCACCTAAACTGTTCTCCTAAAAAAAAACCTCAGTCTAACAATAAAACTTTGGCCTGTTCGCAGACATGGAGATCTTCCGCTTAGTAAACTACCCGAAGACGATGTACCCCTGCAGAAACTGCAACAAAGTCTACAGCTACCACTCGAGTCTCGCGCGGCACCTTAAACACGAGTGTGGGGTCGATCCAAAATTCCACTGCCCGCTCTGTTCCTACAGGACCAAGCACAGGTCCAGCTTGAACACGCATCTCAATAATAGACACATCAAACCCGCGGATCGGGACTTTACCAAGCCTAGTCGGACTTCCAACGATGGAGAATAATTTTTTATCCAAATAATTATTAAAAAAAAAATAATGTATATTGTGATATTTCTTTAGTTGATAATTTAATTAATTAGAAATTATTTAATTAATTAATAAAAAAAAATTGTTTTAATTACGGGCCTTTTTTTAAAGGAACCCTTTAATTTTTTTTTTTTTTTTATTTTTTTTTTACAAGTAAAAAAATTTTTTTTCAATTATTGTGAAAATTTTTACTAATTTTTTTTTTTTTCAGGTGCAGATTTTTCAAGAAAAAAAAATGAAGTTTCATCAAATTAAAGAAGAAATAAAAAATAATGAAAATTTGTAAATAAAATAAAAATTGAAAATTTAGTTGAATGTAAAAAAATAAAAAAAAATTGGAATAGTTAACTAACAAGTTCCAAAAATGTTCCAGGTTCCAGCCGCGGCAGGCGTTCTGATCAGCGCAGACTCCGCGGACAAGGATGGTACTTCTGCGATAATTGTGGGAGAAGATACCACCAGGCGAAGAACCTGAGAAGACATGTATTAAAAGAGTGTGGCAAGCAGCCGAGCTATCAGTGCTCTTACTGCCCTTATCGCGCTACTTATAAGTCCTATTTGGACATTCATATGACCAAACACTGCCGCGGGGACTTTACTCCGCGCGTGTCCGTGATCAGTAGTTTCGACAATCCTCATTAGATTTAGTTGTTAAGGAGATATTTTTTAGATTGTTAATTATAGTTATGTACACAAAGATTACTAATATTTATCATTTTATTTAAATTAACTATAGTGAGAATAAATTAATTTTGTGAGGAGGATTTGTGGTTTTTTCTTTTTACAGGCGGTCGGTTGATAATTTTTGACCTTGGATTTTTTTGAGTCTTGCAAGGGTGAAAGATTTTTTTTTTTTAATTTTTGAGAGGTTAATTTACAAATTTTGAAGTTTGGAATTGGAGTTTTATTATTTTGCTTGTTTATATGAAGTAAAATAATGAAATTTTTTTAGGAAAAACCAAATTTTTGGAGTTTTAATTGTCAACTTTTAATTAATGTTAAAAAATTTGTTTATTTTTTTTTTATTCAAAATTTAAATTTTTCAATGAAAAATTTCAATTTTTGATTCTTGAGTTCAAATTTTGAGTTTTAACAGATCAAAAATTTTTATTTTGAATATTTTGAGAAAAAATAATCAAATTTTAATTTCTTAAGTTCAAAATTTGAATTTTGAAATTAAAAATTTTATTATTTTAAACCTCAATTTCACATTTTTAATTCCAAAAATTTTAATTTTTAATAAAAAAAAATGTTTTTCCAAAACTTCAAAATTTGTAAATTAATAAAAATAAATTCAAGACTCCCCAGGGTGAAAAAAAAAAATTATTTTTAATCCAAATCTTCAAAAATTACAAACTGACAAAAAAAAAAATTCTTCCCTAATTTCAAAACTAAACATCTCTAAGGGCGTCTTTTTTCCCCAAAAAATCTATTGGTGTTTTTCATACTTTGTAACCTTCTAAGCTAAACTCTACTAAAATAACAATAAATAAAAAAAAAGCCACCATTGAAAAAAAAAACAAACTAACCCAAAAAAATTATCGTTACAGAAAAAAACTGGAGCTCATCAAACTGGACACTGCCAACATTGCCATCAACTTCAGGAAAAGACCCGACCTCAACCCGACGCTTGCGATCCACGACCTACGGCGATGACGGGTTTTACGCGACAAAGGGCCGCGTCCACCGTTTGGGTCCCAGAAAATATTTGTGCAGAGACTGCGGGGACACTTTTACCCTAAAAGCCTCTCTGACTCGGCACCAGGCCTTGGAATGTCGCGACCAGATGCTCGCAAAGAAGGCCATGAAGGTAAAAGCCATGATGGGAGTGAAAACCTTGAAATCAGGAGTCAGAGGAAGACCCAGAACAATCCGACCCAAGATGAAGACCACTATGCCTCTTAAGACCATAAAAACCATCCCCGCAAAGTCTACGACTGTCGTGAACTTGGCTTCGTTGAAGTCGATGCCCATCGAGGAGCTCCAGCAGTATCTGAAGCCTGACCCAGACGGTCCTCCAGATGCCAAGCAAGGAATTTTGGCCTTTGGAACCAAGCCTGGAGATCAGCCGCCCAAAAAGAAAAAGAAACACACTTGCAAACGCTGCGGAAGAATTTATGCCTTTTACACTTCTTTGTGGCGACACTTGCACTATGAGTGCGGAATGGAACCCAAGTTCTCCTGCGAGGCTTGTCCTCTTAGGTTCGCTCAGAAGAGCAACCTGGAGAGACACTTCAAGAACATGCATACTCCTCATCCTCATAATATTACTATTTAATCTTTTGATTAATGTGTGAGTATTTTTTTTTCTTTTTTTTAATTGAATATTTTTTAATTTTTAATTTAAGACTAGAGAACATTTTTTTGGGAATTAATTTTTGAAATTTTTAATAGTTCAGTTAATTTATTTTTTTTAATACTACACTGAAAAAAAAAATTTTTTTTTCCACTTAAAATACTGTTCTTTATTGGAGTTTTCTTAATTTAAAAAAACTGTTTTTTTTTTTTAAGCTAAAAATACCACGTTTTATTATAAGGCTAGTTTTTTGACAATTAGAAAACTATCGCATTTTAATCATAAGAATACCAATTTTTTATTCATAAAGAAAAATTTCCTGGGTAGAAAAAAATTTTTTTTTCAGTGTAATAAAAAAATTAACTTGACTCAAGAGCCAAAATCTTGAACCATTTTGAAGAAAATGATTTTCTTGAGTCAAGAAATTATTTTTGATTTAAGTAAATTTTTCTTGACTCAAGATTTTTTTCAAAATGGTATTCTTGGTTCAAAATTTTGGCTCTTGATTCAAGTTAATTTTTTTATAATTTTAATGAAAATATTTTAGATGGAAAATTATCAGATATTTTGAAAAGAAGAAATTGAGAAATTGAAGGGTTAAGATTGATAATTTGAAATTAAATTATTACTTTATTTAGAGAAGAGATACGAAAAAAATTTAAAGGACCTTTTTTAATATTTAACTCAAAAATTCAATTTTGAATATTAGAAAATTTAGATAAAATTTTTGGGAATTAAAATTGATGCTTTGAAATAAAATTATTACCTCGTTTAGAGACGAGATACGAAAAAAGTAAAAAGGAACTTTTATTTTATAGAAAATTAAATTTTCTATAAAAAATTATTCTAATGATTTTGTCGTATCTTTAATATTTAACTGAAAAATCTAATATTGAAAATTAGATGTAGATAAAATTTTGGAGATTTAAAAAGTAAAATTGATGATTTTAAATAAAATTATTACGTCGTTTAAAGACGAGGTACGAAAAAAGTGAAGATAATTTTTTTTTTTATAGGAAATTAAAATTTCCAATTTAAAATTGAAAAGAACAAAAATGAGTAATACGAAAATTTTTTTTTTATCAAAATTGATTTATTAATCAAACAATAATTGACTTTAGACTAATTAAATAAATTTTGTTGATTATTCGTTGCATGAAATGGGTTTGAATGTCAAAATTGTAATAGTCTTGTTCGTTGTTTCCCAAAAATAAAAAAAATAAAAATCCCCAAAACAATAAATACAAATTAATAAGATAAAAATATTTTAAATTGTTATAGTAAAAGATATTTCAAAGCAACGTGTACACAAAAGAAGATCAAGACCTCTGAACGATTTAAGTTACGAGTTAACAAACTTCAAGTGTCCACAGTGCGGCAAATTGTACAAAGCGAAGACAACACTTCTGACCCACATGAAACTCGAGTGTGGCGGCCAGAAAATAATTTCCTGCAGCATTTGTCCTACCAAATTTTCACAAACCATTGAATTGCGTCGACATATTAAGCATCTGCACAGTATTTACCTCCCGCCTAAATTTCTTGTTCCCAAAAGAATTTTTTGTATCTGACTAATTAATTTTTAACACTTGATTAATATTCAATTAATAATTAACAATTAATGTAACACCTCCCGTTTAACAGCAAAAATTTATTTTTAGATTCCAAATTAAGTTTCTGCATATGAAGACGTTTGTACAAATAATTTCCAACATTTAATTTTTCACTATTATTTTCTTTAATTATTTTCTTATTATAACTATAATAATAATAATAATCACCATTATTATTATTATTATTAAAATTATTAGAATTAAAAAAAAAAACTATAATAACAATTAGCTCTTAAATATGACGCTAAATTTTTTATCATGTTTCAATTTTAAGTAATTATTAATTATAAGACAGTTTTGATCTTTTTTATTTGTCATTTGAATTAAACATTGAAATGCTATGTAATTGTATGCCATAAAATTTATAATAAAGTTCAATTAACGTAGAAATTTTTCTAATTATTTATTTTTAAATATTTTTTGTTATTTTTTTTTATGTAAAAATAAAAAGTATTTCTTCTTACAATTTTTTCAAGCTAATATTAAATAATTATTTTAATTTTCCAGGTTTTCCAGCGCAATCCAGAGGATTTTGTTGTTCTACTTGCGGAAAGTGCTACAGATTGAAAACCGGGCTTTATAAACACGTACATTACGAATGCGGAGGCCAGAAAAAATTTTGTTGTTCTGTCTGTTGGAGGAAATTCACACAGAAGCACAGTTTGAAACGCCATTTGTTTCTTGTTCATAATATTACAATTTAAAATTTTTATATTTATTGAAAAATATGGTAATTATTTATACTTGTGGTCTAACAATTTAATTTTAATTTTTTTTTAGTGAAATTTTAATTGTTATATATTTTTTTCTTAGAAAAATACATAAAAAAATGAAGAGTTGAAAAAAAAAAATTTATTACCACAATTTTAACAAATTTATAAATTTTTTTAAAAATTGTGATATTTTTTTTTTAAATTTTTTTTTCCAACTTTTGAAGACAAAAAAGTATTTAAATCTTGATTTTTTTATTTTTTTACGACATTTTTTATTATAAATGCGCCGTAAAAAAAAAAAAAGAATGAAAAAAAATAAAAAAATATCAATTTTTCGCCTAAATATGGCCGAAAATACATTTGACCCGACTTGTAAATAATTACCAAAAATATTCATCGAATATTCTTCAAAAAAATTGCCAAAAAAAAAATTTGCAAGTTAAAAATTTGTGACTTTTTAACTTAAAAAAATTATTTTGTACATACCGACAAAATGGCGCCTCGCGCAACTTTAAAATTTTACACTGTACATTTAAAATAAAAATTTAATTTATTATAAAAAAGTGTTTTTAATATTTTTCCTTCATTATTAAATAAAAAAAAAAAAAAAAAAAACATTTAAAATAATTTCTAACAAATAAAAAATTTTTGTTCGCAGATTTCGAGGGCCGGTGGGTTTGTCCAAGGTGCAACCGCGCTTATACTCTTCGCTGCAATTTAGGAAGACATATGAGGTACGAATGCGGAGGAAAGCGGCCATTTGCTTGTCGCTATTGCAATTATTCGTTCACTCAAAAATCGAGCTTGCAACGACATATGTCTGCAATTCACAAAGTGGACCTTAACCCCGTTCCCGTACTCGACTCAATGTTTATGTAAATTAATACCCCTTTAAATAAAAAACTATTTTTCCAAAAAATAAAAATAAAAAATTCTATTTAAACTTCTAGGTTTGTAAAATTAGTTTGCAAAATTTTAATTCAAAAATTAGGAACAGAAATTACAATTTATATTTTTTTGTTCCAGAAGTTCCAAGCTGGGACGTCTACGGTTCCTTCGTTCCGGTTCCAGCGAAGACAGCCGAGCCGAGCTTCACTCCAGTGAATGCTGCACCTTACAGAAGGTTCTGGTGCAAAACTTGCAGGAAGATATTCCCGTCAAAGTACCTGCTGAAGCGACACATGAAACTTGGGTGCAAAATGGAACCGCGAGCGTCGCAATACGCGTGTAATCTTTGTCCCTACAAGAGCACTTACAAAGCGAACATGGACCGACATGTTAGGAACGTCCACGAGAGCGCTGCCGCTTTGCGGTACCGCTGCGACCTCTGTGGCTTTTACAGCAACTATCGGTTCTGCGTGCGCCGCCATCTTAAATCTGTTCACAGAATTACTGGTGATAGCAATATTAAAAAAGACGCGTAATTATTTTTACCAGAAAAATGTTTGTAATTTTTTTTTTTTTTTTAGAAATAAATAAATTATTTTTAGTTCCTTATAATTTTTTATGTGACTATTTTAATTGTAATTAATAAATTTATTGAAAAAAAAAAATAGTTTTTTAATTATTTCTTCTTCCTTTCTTGCTTGGATCTAACTCTAAAAAAACTTTCAACGCTAATATTTATTCTTTGGGCTATTAATTTAATTTAACTTTAAAATTTAGTACTGAACATATATTTTAATGGTGCTTTTGTTTGTTCTAGGTCCGGAAGAGAAGCAGCTAAAGGCGCAAAAGAAGAAAGATACCGAGTCAGAGCCTGAGTTTATAAATGAGGAGTCTCTGGAGGAAGTTTACGAGGAAGTTTATGAGGAAGAAATGATAACCTATGAAGTTGTTGAAGAAATAGAAGTTGAGGATGCAGTGGAAGGGGAAAAAAGTTATGACATGGAAGAAATAGTCGAGGAAGAAATAGTTGAAGAAGCAGAAAAGAAAAATGAAGAAGAAATGATTGTTGAGAAGAAAGAAAAAAAGGTTGCAGTTAAAAAAGAAGCTACTAAGAAGAAGAACAAGAAGAAATACAAGCGCAGGTCTAAGATGTGTCAGTGCGAATATTGCGGAAATATTTATGCTTGGTCAACATCTTTAGCCCGACATTTAAGAGAGTGTCGCAAGCGGAAGGACAATAAAATGGTGAACGATGAGCCGAAGGAAAATGTTGAAATCAAGGATGAAGAGTCTGTAAAGAAGCCGGTGGTTAAATCAGTGAAAATTTTAAGATCCGGAGCTCCTGAAAAGAAGAGTTCCAAGCAGTACGAGCATGAAATGAAGAAGTACAAGTCCGCGGATGGGATGTACACTTGTTGGGGCTGCGGAAGGAAGTACCACTGGGCTTCTTCTTTGTCCAGACACCGGACTATCCATTGTGGTCCGAGGAACAAGATGAAGTACGTGTGCAAGCTCTGCTCTTACAAGAGCGGGTACCGCGGGAACTTCTTGAGACACTTGAAGACTCCCAGGCACAAGAGGAATGCCAGATTCAAGAAGATGCAGAAGATAATGGAGGAGGCCATTCGGAATGAAGATGAAGAAGAAGAAGAGTTTGAAGAAGAATATGATATATGAATAATCAAGAATTGTCTTTTATAATACATGTGTGGAATTATAATTTTTTGGAATATTTTAATTTAGAGATCAATAAAGATGACATAAGTAATAAATAGTAGATTTATCAAATAAGAGTTTCCTTTCAGCGGAGTCCTGGACAGTGAGTTTAATATGTAGAGTTGAGTGGCTTGGCTAAAAACAAATAAATGCTTGATCGAGTGGCGTGTGAGGAATGGACAGTTTTTTTTATTTATTCATTATGATAGTTGATGTTTGTTGTCGAGATTGGCGAGCTTTGGCTGGGAATACCCAGCACCTGCCGATAGCGTTATAATTAACCGGCGATCTCCGGGAGAGATTCCTCCAAAGATTAACTCTGTTTGTTTTTTTTTCTGGTTCCAGAGTACCGGAAGATGTACATGGGCGATCAATTGCTCGGGTACACTTGCACCAAGTGCAGCAAGTTCTACAAGATGTGGAGCAACTACTTGAAACACAAATGCGAACCGCCCCAGTACAAGTGCTCACTCTGTCCGTTCGCAGCCTTCAAGGCGTTCATACTCCAGGCGCATCAGGCCGAGCAGCATTTTAAAATTCCCTCCTCCACCCACTAATTAATCCTCCCCTCGGGCTGGCCCTTGGCCTAAAACTTATTTTCAGGGGCTCGTTAGTTATTTGAGTGAGTAGTCACCTGGACACTTGTCTCTTCCCGGGAAGTATCTACCGCCTGGCCTTTTTACTTGTCTTTATGTTTATAACTACTCGGAGGATCTCTCGTTAGTGCTAATTAATCACTTATTTTTCACCCCTACCCCCCTACTCTGCAGTTATTTTATTAAACAATATTAATGATGATAATCATTTTATAACAATCCATGTTTTATTCTCGCATTTGTAAACTATGTATTTTCGTAAGTGCGTTAATAAATAAATAAAATTGTAATTAATTTTATTTTTTTTTTCTATGTAAATATTTTTATCCTTGGATTGTTTTTTTTTTTTTTTTTTTTTTAATAATTTACTAACAAGCTAATTATTTTGTTTCAGAATTCTGCTACCGGTGCGCTAACTGCACCAAGACTTTCAAGACGAGCAAATCTTTGCAGCGGCACGTCCGAGAAGAGTGCGGAAAAAATCCCTTCGCGTGTCCTTGGTGTCCTAATTTATTTAACCTTAAGTGTAGCTTGATAAGACACATGAGACTTAAACATGATCAGGATCTTAGAACTCGCAGAAACGACAAGTACCGCGTTAAAATTCAAAGAAGACGATGATTGTTTTATGAAATGAATTTTTAATAAATTAATTGGTAATTTTAAAACTGGCTCATTGCTTTTGGTGTTTCTTCATTGTTATTCATTATTTATTTTTTTTTGTTTGATTTTTGTAATTTGATTAAACTTCAAGGGAATTTTTTTTTAAATTAAATTAATTACTTCGCTTTGGTTACAGGTTCATACAATTGCAGCGAGTGCGGAACTACTTTCATGTCGAGGGTCGCGCTTAATCGACACGTTCGGAAACAGTGCGGGAGACTGTTGTACCGGTGTCCGCTTTGTCAGATCATTATTCCCATGAAATTTAATCTGATTAATCATTTGAGAGCTGAACATAAGCAAATTGCTTGAATAAATATATTCTTCTTTGTTAATTTATTTTTATTTATTTTTTTTTTTTTCACCGTTTTGGTAATTTAAATTTATTATTGAGGAGAAATTTTATTAACCAATCATTTGATTTTTTTTTTTTCAGGAACACAAGGGGGACAAATTTATTTTTTGCCAAGAAGAATGTGTCAATTCATTAAAGAAGAAAATAAATCCAAGATTTATTGATTTTTTTTTTTAATTTAATATTTAAAAAAAATTTTTTTTTTATTTTTTCAGGTGAAGTTTTGGTAAAAATAAATTTTCCAATAAAAGATTTTAATAACTTTTAAAAAACTAACTTTTTTTTTTTTATTAGTTTGTTTTTTTTTTTTGGTACTGAAATTAACAGGTGTCTGATAATTTTTGGAAATTTTAAAAAATAATTAAAAAGAATTTTTTTTTTTAATAATTTTGATCTAGAAGCTTGTAATAAAGCTTTTATTTTATATTTTTTAACAAAAAAATGCGATTCAAAATTTTAAAAAATTGCTGGATTACTATTTTTTTAATTTTAGAAATTAAAAATGAAAGAAATTTTTTTTTTTAAGAAAGTAATCAAATTTTTTTTCTATCTTAATTAATTTTTGAATTATATTTTTTTTTTTTTAATAAATTTGGTTTAAAATAATTAAAAATAAAAAATAATTATTACTCAAAAACTAATAAAGATGAAAAAAAATTGATTAATTTTATCTAAAAATAATTTATTTAATTAGAAAAAAATCTTTTTCTTTTTTAAATTCCAAAATTTAAAAAAAAAATTCAGGAATTTTTTTGAAATTTTGACGCATTTTTTTTGTTAAAAAATACAAAATAAAAATAAACGCTTTATTACCGGCTTCTGGATTAAAATTTCTTATAAAAAAAAAAAATTTTGAAGAATTTTTAAAATTATTTTCCAAAATTAAGGAAAAATTTGGCGCTTGCTAAGTTCAGTACTTTTTTGTGTTAATTTTGAAAAAATGACTAATTTTGTCATTTCGCAGAAAATTTGAAGCGTCCCCACTAAAAAAAATTAATTTCTTCCTTCTGAAATTTAATTAAAAAAATTTTCAAAATTTTTCTCTGCATGTTTTTTTGTTTTTTTGTTTTTCAATTCTACAAAATTCTAACACTTTTTTTTCCACTAAATAAAATAAAAATAAATTAACAAAGCGAATAATTTTACTAAAAACCTATCTAAAAAATTGAATTTGGTTATTATTTTACAGAAAACTGGACGAACACGTGTCTGGCATGCTCAAAGTCGTATAAATGGAAGAAATCGCTGCACCGCCACGTCAGAGAGTCTCCAGAATGTTGGCCGATTCTTTTTACCATCGGGAACCAAGAGTTCATTAAGCAAATTCAGTTCAAACTTATCGCGGACTCCAGCCGTCCCTAGAGTCGCTTTTAAAGAGAATTAACCGCTGATATTGTACAAATCCCGTTTGAATAAAATAAATCTGTTATTTTGATTTTAATGCACCTACTTATTATTTATATCTATATTAATGTAGGGTTTGTCGTAGATTTATTTTATCTAGACTAGACTGTTGACTTTATTTTATAGAAAGTAGCTAGTGTAGCTGTTTTTTCATTTTTATTAATAATTTAAATTATCTTTTTCAGGAAGAAGAAGGAGGCGAGCCAGTGCAATGAATTTTATCAACGAACCGGGATATGTTTGTTACAAGTGCGAGAAAATGTACTCGAGTTCCTCGTCGTTGAGGCGCCATTTGAAATTAGAGTGCGGTCAGCCACCCCAGTTTCATTGTCCCTACTGTCGGTTTAGTTCTAAAAGGAAGTTTAATCTTCATGGTCATATTTTTACTAAACATAAATTATAATTTTATTTTATTTTTATTAAAATTGTTTTTTTTTTTTTTTTTTTTCAGATTTTTAATTAAAAAAATTTCTAAATTTTTTTTTTTTGTTAAATACCTTTAAGATTTTTTTTTTTTTAGATAATTTTCAACTAAAAAAAATTTCTTTTTTAATTCACTGAAAATTTTGGTTAAAATTTTTAAATTTCATTATTTTTATTAAAAAGAAATTCTTTTTATTTAACTCATTAAAAATTCTTAAGTGTCATTATAATGAATTGAAAAAATTGATTTTTAATTAAAAAAAAATTTTTTTATTAAAATTATGACTAAATTTATAAAATTTTTAAGTCTTATTACCAATCAATTTTCTTGTTTAACTTTTTGTCATTTAATAAATTATCAATAATCATGATACTAAAATAAAAGTATCATTATTTACAAGTACAAATACGAATTTATTTATTCAATGTACAGAGATAAAAATATTGACAAAGAATCAAGTTGCCAAACTTATTAAAAAATACATTCACTAACATTTATATTTTATATTATTATATAATTAGAAGTTAGAAATAGGTGGTTCCTCATAAAATAAGTAACTAAATAAAAGAATTATATATTTAGAATAGTAATTGTCTATCAAGTGACAGTAAATCCAAAAAATCAAATTATGTGTGAAAAAAATTTTCAATTTTAAATTGTACTTGAATTTTCTCTGCAATTTTTTAATTATTCAAAAATAAATTTATAAATATTAATTATGATTTTTTTCTTGATCAAAAACTCTTTTTAGATAAAATATTTGAATTTTTTTCAAAAGAAAAATTTTTAAGTCTAAAGGAAAGTATCAATTAAAAATAAAAATTATTTAATGGGACAGTTACTAACAATTCTTTTTATTTTGTTTCAGGTACCGTTGGCTCAATTTTCATGGTCCAAAAAAACAATTAAAAAAAAAATATGTATATAAAATTTTATCCAAACAAAAAAAGTTCTTCAAGAAAAAAATACAAAAAATTGCAGATTAAAAAAAAAAATTTGAAATGAAGAAAGATTAAAATAGAAAATTTTAATCAAGAAAATTAACCTCTGAGCTGAAGAATAAATTTTTATCAGTGTAAAGAAAAATATCACCCGCTCTTTTCATTCTCTCTCTCTAAAACTTTATCACAAAGGGTAAAAAAATTTCATGGGTACATAAAACATGCACATCTCCGGGTTATGGCTGAATCATTTGTGTTGGGTTGGTTATGGGTTTTTATTATTATTATTATTATTATTATTATTATTTAAATAATTACCATTGCAATTTACAATCTCCAAACAATTTTTTTTTATTTAAAAAAAAAAAGCCCCGTGTAAAATATAAAACAACCTGCGCTTAATAATTGGGCCCGAAAATTTTTAAGCAAGTGTTCCCCAACAAAAAACTTGCTCAGTTCCTCAAATTAAGGCCCAAAAAACCGATTTTATTTTTTTATTTTTATTTATTATTTTTTGTTTCCGCGGCAATTGTTACAGGAATGGGGGCGCTGATATCCCTGCTGAGGTCGGAGTACAGCGGAAGCAGGAGCAAATTTGGGCTGAAGAAAAGCCGCTCGACAACCGGAGGCGAGCCGCGGGCCAGGTCCGCGGATGGCAGCGTCAGCGAGAGCGGGGCCCGCGAGCGGTCCCGCGAGGTAGTTTTTCCAGAGTCCTTCGAGGTTTTGCCGCAGCCGCGCGACCTTACTTACGTAGGGCTGCCTCACGAACAGCAGCGCAAGTTCCGGTGCCGGTTCTGCGGCAAGGGCTACCGGTGGAAGAGCACGATGCGCAGACACGAGACAGTAGAGTGCGGGGGCAAGCCGCCCGCCTTTCAGTGTCCAGAATGCCCCTACAAGGCCCGCCAGCGCGGAAACCTCACCGTCCATTACAAGAGACACCACCTGAAGATGCCTTTTGATGAAGTTTCTCAGGGATCGCGTGATTGAAGCTTTCATTCTTAGACTCGCTGTTACTTTTTTTAAAAACTTTTTTTTATTGCCTCTTAAATGACTCTAAATACCGCACCGTCCACGAAAATAGATTTTATCTGGCTGAAAAAGAAGAGAGTACGGGACTTGATACCGTTATTCTAAAATAGCTTCACTTAACGCACCTACCTCATTTATGGTTTGTTATTTTATTTATTTATTACTAAATTTAATTATTACTAAAATGGTTCTTTTGTTAAAAAGCTCAGACGCAATACTCGGGCCAGAATTTTTCTATTTTTATTTTTTTTTATAGTATTTAGAGTTATTTTGAAGTTTGGAAAAAAATTGTTAGATTTTTTGGTAATTATTTACAAGTTGGGTCAAATTGATCTTAAATGTGCTTTTAAAAAAAAAAAAAATACTTCAAAAAAAGATAAAATAGAAATTTTATCCAAAAATATGAAAGCCAAAATTTTTTCCAACTTTTAAAGGTAAAAAAACTATCGAAATCTTTATTTTTTTCTTCCAGAAAAAAAGCAGAATAAAAAAAAATTGAAAATGTTAATTTTTCACCTAGTTATTTCCCAAAATTTTGGGACAAGAAAATTTTACTTCAGACTATAGATAAATTTTTTTTAGAGAAAATTAATTTTGTAACTACTAAATTATTAAATGAATTTTTAAAACTTTCATTTTTAAAAGCTCTAAAAAATTAAAAATGTAATTTTTTTACAATAATTTTTCAAGAAAAATCTAAAAATTTTGTATCAATTGAATTACTAAATTAATTTTTTTAAATTTCATTTTTAAAAGCTCTAAAAAATTAAAAATGTAATTTTTTTACAATAATTTTTCAAACTTAGTTTATTTTAAAAAAAAAATCTAAAAATTTTCAAATGTCTGCGACTTTTAGTGTCATAATTTTTAAAATCAATAATTAATTTAAGTCAGCTGAAAAATTATTAATAATTTTATTTTGTAACTTGAATTTTTTCAATTGTGTTTTCAGAACCAAAAATTTAACTATTTTTTTTTCCGTGCAAAAAGAACAAAAAAAAATATTCTTGAATTTTTAAATTATCTAAAAAAAAAAATAAAAAATTTTATTTTATTAAAATTAATTCAACAATCAACTCGTTTGATCAATTATTAAATAATTATAAAAATTGTACTTATATTTTTTTAAATTGTCTATAAATCAATTTTTTTATTATATTATTTATAATAAATAAATTAAAAAGTCCAAAAATAGTCTTCTAGGTAAAACAAGTAACAGTGAGTCAAAAAAATTATTTAAAAAAAATATCTCGATAATAACCGAGTAAATTTGGACAATTGGGTATGTAAAAATATTTTTTTATAAATATTTGTGTAAAAGGTGCTTATAATTCTTATTTAGCGAATTGAAGCGTCAAGAAAAATATGAAGAATATTTTAAAGTTTGAAGGAGCGAATTTACATTAAAATACTGCGAATATTTTTTGAAACTATTGATATTTGAACAAGGGGCCTTATTGTTAGAAGTTTATAAATAGTGCGTGAATGTGTGAGAAAAAGATTAAAGAGAGCATTTTTTGTTACATTAATATTTATATATTGGGATATACAAATGATATATTTTAGATACTCCGGCTTTGTGAGAATTTTTCTCATCGACAATCGACAAATAAAATAAGCAATAATTATTATTATTATTATTAATAATTATTATGCGGTAGTTTATAGTAATTTTTATTTACTATTACTGTTATACAGAGACGCTGGGTTTTTTAGGCGTCAGTATTTTTGATATCAGTATTTTAGCGAGTTAGTCGCCATTTACTTTTGTGCCTGCTGAAAAAATTTTTAGGGATTTCTTTTGTAATTTTTTTTCACTTCTTTTTTATTTTTTAATAAGTATGCAATCATTTTTTTTTTAATTAAATAAATTTGAATAATTTTTTTTTTTAATAATTATAATAAAAATTACTAAAAAAAAAAAAATGATTACATATTAATTAAAAATTTTGCTTACAATTGGCTTGATAATTAATTTTAATTTTTAATTAATTCCTTCTTAAAAAAATGCTCTATAATTTTTTTTTCTAATCCCGTTAAAATACTTTGAATGTATTTTTATTATTTTATTTATTACTATTATTATTATTATTATTACAATAATTAATATTATTATTACAATTATAAATATTTTTTTTCAACATAAAGTGAGGCTTAATTTATTTCTTCAAAAAATCATTTTTTCAATTGTGTTTTCAGAACCAAAAATTTAACTATTTTTTTTTCCGTGCAAAAAGAACAAAAAAAAATATTCTTGAATTTTTAAATTATCTAAAAAAAAAAATAAAAAATTTTATTTTATTAAAATTAATTCAACAATCAACTCGTTTGATCAATTATTAAATAATTATAAAAATTGTACTTATATTTTTTTAAATTGTCTATAAATCAATTTTTTTATTATATTATTTATAATAAATAAATTAAAAAGTCCAAAAATAGTCTTCTAGGTAAAACAAGTAACAGTGAGTCAAAAAAATTATTTAAAAAAAATATCTCGATAATAACCGAGTAAATTTGGACAATTGGGTATGTAAAAATATTTTTTTATAAATATTTGTGTAAAAGGTGCTTATAATTCTTATTTAGCGAATTGAAGCGTCAAGAAAAATATGAAGAATATTTTAAAGTTTGAAGGAGCGAATTTACATTAAAATACTGCGAATATTTTTTGAAACTATTGATATTTGAACAAGGGGCCTTATTGTTAGAAGTTTATAAATAGTGCGTGAATGTGTGAGAAAAAGATTAAAGAGAGCATTTTTTGTTACATTAATATTTATATATTGGGATATACAAATGATATATTTTAGATACTCCGGCTTTGTGAGAATTTTTCTCATCGACAATCGACAAATAAAATAAGCAATAATTATTATTATTATTATTAATAATTATTATGCGGTAGTTTATAGTAATTTTTATTTACTATTACTGTTATACAGAGACGCTGGGTTTTTTAGGCGTCAGTATTTTTGATATCAGTATTTTAGCGAGTTAGTCGCCATTTACTTTTGTGCCTGCTGAAAAAATTTTTAGGGATTTCTTTTGTAATTTTTTTTCACTTCTTTTTTATTTTTTAATAAGTATGCAATCATTTTTTTTTTAATTAAATAAATTTGAATAATTTTTTTTTTTTAATAATTATAATAAAAATTACTAAAAAAAAAAAAAAATGATTACATATTAATTAAAAATTTTGCTTACAATTGGCTTGATAATTAATTTTAATTTTTAATTAATTCCTTCTTAAAAAAATGCTCTATAATTTTTTTTTCTAATCCCGTTAAAATACTTTGAATGTATTTTTATTATTTTATTTATTACTATTATTATTATTATTATTACAATAATTAATATTATTATTACAATTATAAATATTTTTTTTCAACATAAAGTGAGGCTTAATTTATTTCTTCAAAAAATAAAAAAAAAAAACAAAAAAGAAATTTAAGGAGAGTAAAATTAAAAATCTCCGACATTCCAATAATAATAAATAAAGTCTTGCTTGTATTTAAAATACTATTTTACTCGAATAATAAAAATGGGTTAAAATTACGGCTATGTGATTTAAAAAAAAAAAAAAAAAAAAGTATACGAAACAATCCTGCGAGATTGTATTTAATTATAATAATAATTACGGCGTAAAGATTTAAAAAAAAAATTAATTATAAATATTTATCTTATATATTTTATTTTAATTATAATTTAGCATGGAATTATGGTACGTAGTATATATGTAAAATTAATTAACCAGATGTAAAAGTAATTGTCTCTCTTACTCTAAGCTATTTTAAAGTAGGATCATTCCACGATATTTATAATTTTTTGGAAAGGTTTATGTTATTTTAATAATTAATTATTAATAAAAAAGAAACTTGTTGAGGGTTATTTTCTAAAAACAAGTGTGTATTATTGATTTAATAAACCCCCGAGTCCTTGAATTAGAAGCGAAGAGGGAAAATTAAAGTAATTAAAGTAATTGGTGGACTAATTAAAGGATTTTGTTTTTCCAGCAGAGGAGCAGCGAGGGCAGAGTGAGGATGAGGAGGAGGAGAGGAGGAAAGTGTTTGGGTGCGAGGTCTGCGGGCGTCGTTACAGGAGAGTAATATCGCTCCAGCGGCACAAGAGACTCGAGTGCGGAAAGGAGGCCCAATTTGAGTGCATTATTTGCCACAGCAAGTTCAAGCACAAGCACAGTCTGCTGAGGCACTACCGGGTCCACCTCTCGTTCGCTAATCCCGACAATAAATTAGAGCCGGAGGTCCACCAGCACCCCGGCGACTGATAACCGCCCAGAGAGTCTTCTTAGACCGTTCTCTCTCATTAAATTAATAATAATCCTCCTCCGAGACCAGACGCTCTTCTCTCAGAACAATTGTTGTTGTTGTCGCTCTAGTTGTTGTCTTTATTTTTGTAATGCCAAATCTGATAAATACACACCGAGGTTCGAATAATAAGCGAGTAATTGTATTTATTGGGTTTACCCCAAAGCTGGAGTAATAATTATAAAGTAACCCAAGATCTAATGACCCCAAGGGTGATTTATTGAGTCTCTTGTTTGGACAGCTGCTTCATTAATTTATTTATTTTTCAGGTCCTTGGTCCGGGGAAGAGTATCAGTTTGTCCCGAAGTTCAACCCCCACTTGGTTAATTCAGGGGAAAGGTGGCGAACACACGCGGGTCCTCTCAATCTACCGGTGGTGGGACAGACCTTGGCCATTCCTGGAGCCCCGAATCGAGCTCGGTCCTCCTACAGGTGTCAGAACTGCGGACGCGTCTACTCAAGCACCAGTACCCTTCGACGACACGAGAAACTGGAGTGTGGCAAGGCCCCCGGGTACCAGTGTCAGATTTGCAAAAAAAAATACACTCACAAACACAACCTTGCCGCTCACATGAAACTACACTACGAGGAGCCTAAATACGCTTGTCTCAATTGCGATAAAAAATTCTACCGCCGCGACAGGCTCGCGAAACATGCCGCGTCGCATTAATTGCACGTATCATAATTTTATTTTACAGATCTATTTTACATACTTATACAATTTTTTTTTAATAAAATTTATTGCACTGTATTGCATCGTTCCAATGTGTGAAAAATTTTTTTTTTCTCCCTTGAAAATATTTTTTATACCAAGTTTTAAATTAAAAAAAATATTTATTTAATTTAAGTAATTAAATTTTGTTACTAAAAGAATTATAAACTTTTTTTTTCAGATGAATACCCGAGGTTAAAAGACTACAAAAAAAAATTCATCTGCGGAGTCTGTCAGCGGGCGTACAAAACCTTGCAAGCTCTTCAATTTCACCGAAGAATCGACTGCAACCGCGAGCCGCAATTTAAGTGTATCTATTGCACGTATAAAACCGTGAGGAAGACAAATCTAAAGCGACATATGATTACTCATCAACCTACAATTATTAATGTTCAAAGTCTTTTGTAAATTTTTTTATTCAAATAATTTTAATTTAATAATTATTAATTTTTATTTTAATAATTATTAATTTTTATTTTATTATTACAATAAAAATTAATAATTAAAAATTAATTTTATTTTAATAATTCTTATTCAAATAATTTTAATTGTAAAATTCAATCGATTTTAATTAATTTACTTTGATAATTTTTTTAATAGATTTTTTCTGACTATTTTGGTGATTTAAAAAATAAAAAATAGAAAATAAAAATAATTTAATTGAAAAAAATTTTAAGAAAGAAGATTTAAAATCCGCATGTGACCTGTTCTGTCTGAAAATCCTTCTGGTGTGTTTGAGTTTGCACGAGCAAATACTTCTGGAGGAAGTAAAGGTCGCCGGTGGTGGGGAACAAGATTGAGAATTTTTAAATTAACCCCCAGGAAAATTTTTTTCAGATTTAACCGCGATCATGCAGAATTACGAGATGTTGGCGCATTGGGCGCGCAGGGAGATTCAAGCGGTGACCAAATTACCCACCGGAAGTTCCCAAATTGTAAATCAGGAGAAAAACCCGCGACCCTTTTCCTGCCTGCAGTGCGGGAGGAATTACATGCGCAAGGACTCGCTGATGCGACACATTAAGTGGGAGTGCGGCAAGGACCCGCTTTTCCAGTGCCCGTTTTGCCCCCACAGGTGCAAGAGGAAGCCCCACTGGCTCAGACACATCCGTAGGCAGCATAAAGATTCTATTGGGGATATGGAGAACTATCTTCACTCCTACAAGCCGCTTCCACAGTCCAAATAATTTTTTTAATTAATTAATTTTTTTTTTTTTTTTTGATTAATTTCAGCGTTGTAGTGTCTGTGTGTTTTAATAAATAATCATTTTTTTGCTTATTTATTTTGTTTTTATTTATTTTTCTTTTTTTGACAGTAAGTATTTTATAGAAGAAACTTGGAGATTTTTTTTAATTATTTTTGAACACTTCTAAAGCGTTTTTTATTTTTTAGGTGGCGGAACGAGCGGAAATTTACTCAGAAGATTTTGAGAAACAAGAGGATTATCTTAAAGGCTAATTCAAGATATAATTCATGAGATACGAGGATTATTTATCGACAATCATCAATATAGATTAGAAAAAAATTGATGGTGAAATTAATAGACATTTGATTGATTTTAGAATTTTTTTTAACAATTTTTTTATTGAAAAAAAATTTTTTTTTTAATTTAACATGTAGAAATTTTTAAAATTAAAAAAATTGAAACAATGAAAATTTTATAGTTAAAAAAAATTGACAATTTTATAAAATTTTTATTTTATTTGAAATAAAATAAAAATTTTATAAAATTAGAGAAAAAAAATTTGATGTAAGAAATTTTTTTTACTCAAAAATTTTCTTTAAATTTTTTATTAAAAAAATTTTTTAATTTTGATTATTGATTTTTTTATTAAATAAATTATCTAAAAAAAATCTACATGTAAAAAATTTTAATAAATTACAATTATAATTTTTTAAAAACTATTTTTTAATAGAAAAAAAAAAAATGATCAAATGTCTGATAATTTTATTTAAAAAAAAAAAAAAAAATGTAAAACCGCTGATCCTTTAAAAAAAAAATAGTAATCCCTGCACACTTAGCTCCTTACACGAGTGAAAAAAAAAAAAGTTATCTAATTCTCTCATCTTCATTTATTCTCGTTCATGCTCATTATTATTTCTCTCTATCACTGAAGGATTGGCATGCGCACTAACTAAAAATTATAAGAATTAAATTTAAAGCCCTGGAAATGAAAATTAGTTATAAATATTTTGTAAATGATTTCCTGAACCAGCCACTGCTTACCGTAAGAAGCAATTGACATTAAAAAAAATTATTTAAAAAAATGTCAGATGTTTCTTTCGCAAAAAAACGTTTGCTCTTCTGAAAAAATTCATAGCTAGCTGCTTGGGGCTCGAGAGTAAGGATCTAACCTTTTTGTAATTTAAATTTAAATAAAATTAAAAAAAAAAAATTGTAAGCTTTAAAAAAATTCCAGTTCACTCTCGAGGCGACGTTTTAGAAAACCGAGTCGAGGAAGTAAAGAACAAAAAAGATTTGAAGAAAAAAATAGATGATTAAAATAAGAGCAGATAGTAATTAATTCGACTGTGTGTTCTAGCCGAGGACCTGAGCATCACGGGGCTGAAGTGGGCAGCAGCTTGGCAGCGCTGGAGTGTCCCCTCAATAATGTGGCGGTCTGGAGGTGGCCTGGGGAAAGGATTCGGCGGAAGCGCCACCGGAAATCCGGAGGGGTTCAATTGTCCGGCTTGCGGGCGCGTCTACAAGCTGAAGAGCAGCCTGAGGAACCACCAGAAGTGGGAGTGCGGAAAGGAGCCTCAGTTCCAGTGTCCCCACTGCGTCTACCGCGCCAAGCAGAAGATGCACATCGCGAGGCACATGGAGCGGATGCACAAGGAGAAGATCTTCAAGCAGGAGCTCGTCTAGTGGTTTAAAATCGGCTGAGCCGGTGGCTGGTCTTCCGGGTCCCTCTACGAAGCCCGAGTCGTCATCGAGGATTGCTAGTTGCAGATTCCAGGTTAAAAAAACGCGCATGGTACCAGTTAAACTTTAAATTTAAAAAAATTCATTTTTTAAATTAGAATTATTGGTTAATAATTTTAGGATAATTTTTTAACGGAGAAGAAAGTGATAAATTTTTATTAATAATTGCCGGAGTCATTTTTAAATTCATAAAACACATTGTCTGATTTAATGAGTTTAAAATCGGGAAGGCTTACAAAAGACGTATAATATTAATATTAATATTAATATTGTTTTTTAAAATCAGTAAGTGTAATTACTAATTAGGGTTTAGTGGTCCGATTGTATGATGCCTGAGAGTTTCCGCGACTCCTTCCATCAAATGTCGTTTTGTTGATCCTTCTCTTTCCCTTTAATTAACAATCCTAACAACAACAACAGCAACAACAATTACCCTGAAAGATAAATCACCAGTATCACATTATTTAAAAGACACAAGACTGATATAGTTAGCCAACAGAATAAACAACCCAGCACACAATTGTCGCAATAATCTTTTAATAAAAGTACCCTTTATTATTTATTGTACCAGTTGAGATTGTTCTGAAGCGAGAGAAGAATTAACTCAATGATAATTGATGTTTGTCATATAGAGCCGTCTCGCGGTAAACTAATCAAACAAAAGCCTCATTGCTGACACGCGACAAGTATTATCTTTAAATTTAAACAAACAATTTATCGTGTACAGTATAATAACTATATATGTAAATGTTAATAATAATGGTTATATAAATAAATAAATGTCTAGTTGATAAGTTTGTGTTGCGGTAGTCGGGTCTCGGGCATTTAGCGGGTGATCAGTGAGTACACAAATTTACATGTATAGTTGTAGAATTGAAGTTAACGGAAACAGTTTAATTTATTGAAATAAACTCCTGTTCGCCTTCAAGCCACGTGTTTTCCAGGTCACGGATGTCCGGTTCCATTTAACTGTAGACAATATTTATGACAAAAAAAATATTGAATAACTCAATACAATAAAATAGCATTTAAATATGTCTTATACTCATAACACATAAGTGAGAGCGTTTAAACGCGACAAATAGTTATTAATAAATTTTTTAATTATTTTTATTTTTACTTCAAATAGTTTTTAGTTTTATAATTCTATAAATACTAAAAAGAGTGCTTGGTAGTACACGCGGACTCTCAATTTTCAATTAAATTTATACTGAAAAATTTTAATGAAAAAATTTTTATAAATTATTAAAATTAATATAATATAGCACAATATGTGGCCTTGAATTATTTCGCATGTTTATCGTTGTTTAAATCAACCAGAGTCTATTACAAAATTATATCTATATATATTTATAACTAAAAAATACATATTAAATTTTTTCTGTATCCGCAGTCAAGTGCAAAATGCCTCAATATTTTTTTTTGACTATTTAAATAGTTGATTTTGAAGATAATTAATAATTGTAGGCGGTAACTACTCAGAGTAAGACTTTTAAAGTCTATCAATTAATAATATAATAAAAAAATTTGAAGTAATTAGATTTAAGAGATAACTTTTTAAGGCAAAAGTAATTTTACTGCCCTTGAGGCCTTAACGGTGATTAAACAATTATATTGGATATATTTACGCCGTTTAATAATAACTGATAAAAAAAACAATCTGGAGATTACTAGATTTAGAATTTTCAAGGAATAGATTATAAGGAATATAAATTAATTAACTTTTATATAAAAAAATATTTTAGTCGTGCCGAATGCGTGGAAAATTAACGTTACAGATTTATTTTTGGGCCACAATACGGTAAATATTTTTTTTTTAATTATTCTGACTCTGAAAAAAGTGCGGGATTGTTTTGACAAATGAATTTTAGGCTTCTTAACAATTTTATTTTAGTTGATTATTATTTTGTTGAGGATTTAGGGGTTGCATTGATGCCTAACTGGTTAATAATTGGTTATTTCATTTGATATTGATTATATAATTGGCTAATATAATTTTAGTATTAGTTTTTAGTCTAAAAAAAGAGATAATAACTTCGATTGCCTATTGGCTGCTAATTTTTTTCGTAATTAAGGTTTTATTGATTGGATAATAAGAGAAAGAAGAAAAAAAAAAAGCCCTAGCGGTTAATTATTATTGCTACAGAATAATTATTGTCTGAAAGTGCCTTTAAGATGTGTAGTAATAGTAATTTGAAAAGAGATCACCGGAAAAGAGTCGGGTGATCGGGATCACCGGGAACGAGATCACCCTTGACCGCTCGAGGGGAAATTATAAAAAATAACAAACAAAAAAAGCGAAAAAAGAAGGGAGAGACGTTTTTTTGGGGATTTAAGTCGAGATTTAAGCGCTAATAAATGTTTTGGAGATTACTAACGTGGTAAATAATTATTTTAATTTGGTTATCGATTCCCGCGGGTTCGCGTATTTTTAAAATTCACCGACCGCGTTATTATTATATATATATATAAATATATTTATATATTAATTTGGTTGCTCTAAGCTTAATTCTTTGCCTTTTGGTGGTGATATAAAATATTCACAATAATGGCTTTTTTATTATTATTATTATTATATTCTTATTAATATTATAACAATATTTTTTTGCGTATATTATTGGGCTAATTTTTTGAATTTATATATATTTAATATTAGGCATTTAAATAAATATTTTACTCCCTATATTTTATTATTATTTTTTTAAAATTACGACGGGTCGTCTCATATAATATTTTACGTTGATTTTAAAATAAAATAAAATTATTATTATGTTAAATTTATTGATTTTAATCGTTCTCCAGGTGACGGGTTTTTTTTTTTTTTTTATATAGAAAAATTCTAAACGAACGTAATTATTAAATTACTTTTTAAAATAATAAAATGAGACGATGCGCGGTCAAGCATCATTTTCATTTATTATTATTATGATTTTTTTAAAATAAAATGTGGCATGCGGTCATTGATATTGATTTGTCAATAAAAAATTTTTTTTTATAAAAAAATTTAATAACATTCTTATGAAAGCCAAGTCTTTCACTGAAAATTTTTGGACTTTTTCGGCTGATAAATTTTTTAAAATAAATTATTATTATTAATATCTATTTAAAAAATTAATTGTGTTTTTTTGAAACACAATGTGATATTTAGACACTAAATTTATTTTTTTTTTAAATATTCATTTAATTAATGAATTTTGGAATAAATTATTTGGATTATTTAATTAAAGACTCGAAAAAAAAAAAAATACCTTCCAGGTGTATAATAAATTAATTAAAGCTTGACTTGTTTATTTTTTTATAATAAATTTCTTATAAAATTTATAAGATTATAAAAAATTTTAAGCAAAAATTTATTTTTTAAGCGTTCCCAGTTACGATTTATGCAAACAGCTTAAGGGTTGCTTTAAAAAAACCAGAAAACCGGTTTAATTATGAAATTAAGACCTGAATAATCTGTGTGATAAATCTGAAAATGATAAAAAGTGAATGTGTTGGTATGATGGCTAGGAAAAAATTAAACAATTTAAATTTTACGTATAGAAAAAAAAAATGAATTTTTTTTTGTATTTTTTCGGCCGACTGCGAGCAGTTTGAGCTTTTTGTTAAAAAAAAAAAAAAATGAAAATTGATATTTTTTTAGGCTAGAAGTTAAAATTAATTAGGCTTTTTTTAATTTATATGAGTGAAATTTATATTATGGAAATTGTAAGAGATTTTGAATTTGATATTGCTGCGATTGTTTGATTATTGGTAGTGAGTTATAAGTAAGGTATGAATAGTAACTGTGAGTTATTTTTAAAAATTATTTTTCACCAATATTTATTTAATAATTAAAAATGTTTTTTTTAAATTAAAACCGCGACCGCAACAAAAAAAATTTTTTATGGGAAATTTATAAAATTGTGACACCTCCCCACAGAAAATAAATAAATTATACTGCTCTGTGTCAATAAATTGAAGTAAAGCGCTAGAATTTAAAATAGATGGTTAATATTTTGCGTTAGGAGAAAAAAGTTGATGAATAAAAAAGGTGAAAAAAAAAAAAAGAAAAAGAAAATAAAATAAAATAAAAAAGAAGTACTCTAAAATGGCGAGAGCTTGCAGGCAGTTAGGTACTGATACAACTTATCCAAGTTTGGCGAATAAAAAAATTCTAAACAAACGGATGAAAGTTTTAACGAATAAAGTTAATAGAGTTGAATGTGTTTATCAAGTGGAACAAAATCCGAGGCACTGTTTAAGCCGATTTATAAATAATAAATAACAGAATGTAGTTTTTAAATATTGAGAGCCTTGTGTTAAGTGCCTTCAAGTACGATTTAGATTTTAGACTAGAGAACAACTCACTAAAATAAGAGGCGCTGAGCTTTTAAACCTCTGAGCGCTTTTTTAAGGTATTATATTTACTGGATAATTATACAAGTATTCAAAGAAGCTCAATCGTTATATTATTTATCTCATTATCAATCTCTATTTTAACTTTTTCGATTTTATTCTTGAAATAATTTATTTTACAAGTTGCCTACAATTTCTGGACACACTGATAGAAGGATTTATTAAATATTAATAATTTAATTTATTTGAAGACAATTATTTAATTTATTAAATTTTAATAATTATTTTTTAGCATTCAATAAATATTTATTTGGGAAAAAAAGTGCATTTATTAACAGTTAAATATTTATTAACATTTAATAAATTGTATTGAATAAATAGTTTACTAACTTAATAAATATTTATTAAATCCTCTTTTAAAAAAATTATTTATTAATATTTAATAAATATTAAATATAAAAAATCCTTCTACCAGCTTAGTGCTGAAAATTATTTGGTTCAACTAAAAAATTTTTCCAATAAATTCTATTAAACTAGCGAGTTCGAGTCACTAAATCTCTACTATGTGCAATCTCTGTCTCGATTTACAGATAATAAATTATTTAAATGTCTATAGTCGACCAAATAAACTAACAAATAAATCTCTGTCCGGTAGATCCGGTAAACTAGCGATAAGGCCGAGCAGGTTTTCGGTTATTCGCTCGTTCGGCTGTGCCATCTATTTTTTTACAAGAAATTCCCGTGACTCAAATTCGCTTCTTAATTTTTTATTTGAAAAAAAAAAACTGCAATACAAAAAATTAATTTAAATAATAACACGATAATCTTCAAATTAATTTATCCACCGGTGATATTTTAATAATAATTATTATTTATTACAACAATTGTAATCTCAATTAACTGCTCCTATTTTTTTCTTTTCTCATTAGTCTTAATAAATCACTGCCGTATTTATTTTTATTATTTCTTCTTTAATATTTTTTATCAGTACAATTAGTTTTAGTTCGAGTTTAAAATTGTCGTTTTATAAAAAAGAAAATTAAATAAATAAAATAAATAATAAACGATAATTTTAATCTCTAAGCATGATACTCTAGTACAACAAAAAAAAGTCAACAACCCGCTCAGCGCCTCATTAAAAAAATAAACAAATTAAATTAACAAAAAAAGAGAAAAAAATAAAAATATAAATAAAGAGTTACGTAATCATAATTATTTCGCCATGTATTTGCCAACGAATGATTATTATTATTATCATTAATAATTACTATTATGAATTATGATTTTTCTTCATTTATAATAAATATTATTTAGAAAAAAAAAAAAAGTAATAATTGAACGATTAATCAATTAATTAATTATAGAATAAAAAATGAATATCTTTCTAGATAAAATTTATTTTTGCTTTTTAAAAAAATAAAAATTGTACTCGACACGACAAATAATTTTGCGCATACCGGCTTATTAAAGAATACTGTAATTAATAAAATAATTGTAATTTTTTTTTTAATTAATTATTGAATTATTCTATTGGCTTGGTTATATCCGAACGGGTTGCTTCATTTATAATTTGTTTGTTTAATATTGTATAACTAAACTATACATTTACATTAATTAATTGTATCCATTATAAAATAATTATTTATGATAAATAACTAAATAGTGACTTCTATTCTGTTTGAATTTTATTTAAATATTAATAATGTATTTTTGGCAACATATCGTCGCAACTGTGTTACACATTCCAAAACCTACATGCTTTTATCATTTTTTACTGTCATTTTTGTTTATTTGACATTGTAGAAATCTTGTATAATAAATTAGAGCAAAATAAAGTCTAGAAAGACAACCACCGATATATTTTCCTTATTTATTCCATCAAGTTTTTTTTTTTTTTTCCAGGAAAAAAAGAAAAGTAAAAGGTCAAATTTTTTTCACCCTTCCGTATACTAATTTAATTTATTTTTTTTTTCAGATCTCCCGAGGGATGATGAGGAATTCCGAAGAAGAAAATTGCAAGCCTAAGGAGAACAATTTTTAATCTATATTATCAAGAGAACAAGAAAAATTTTTTGTCCAGGATATTCATATGATAAAATTGCTTTTTTTAATGAAATTTAGTGTCATTGCAAAGGCCTTGACTTAAAATGACCTTGTATCTTGAGAACTATGGATATTTTTAAAGAAATAAGCTCACCCCGACATTACACTCATCGAGAGCTTTCATTTGAGTACCCACATCAATTTTTCATATATTTTATATATTTATATATATTTCAGAAATACCATATATGTAAAATATATAAAAAATGACATGTGGGTACTCAAATGAAAGGTCTCGATGAGTGTAACATCAAAATGAGTTTATATTTTAAAAAATGTCAATAACTAAGAAATGACCTTGTAACTTGTCAACTACTGACATTTTTAAAGATATAAGCTCATTCTGACATTACATTCATTAAGACCTTTCATTTGAGTACCCACATCAATTTTTTCATATATTTATATATAATATGTATATATGTATATATGAAAAATATATCAAAAATGCATATGGGTATTCAAATGAAAGCTCTTGAAGAGTGTAACATCGGGATGAGCTTATATTTTTAAAAATGTTGATATTTAAGAAATTACAGTCTAATTAAACAAAATATTTAATAAAGCAAAATTTTATTTATTTATAATTCACAAGTCACGGCAGTCACATAGTGACTGTAAAGTTGCTAGTTAAATATTAAACAATTTTTATTAACAAAGTTTTTTTTTTATTTTTCAGGTAAAGAAGAAAAAGTAGTAAAGTGTATAGTTAATAAAGCATACATTAGCATCCTGACATTCACCCTCATCTGCTCGTTGTTGTAGCTTTTACTAAGTAAATTTGTTTGGCATGTCCCGGCGCGGACCGATTGCATCCTCGAGGTCGCTTGCCGACAAGAGAGTTGACTAACATTATTTGACTTAATTTATTCCCAGGGTTCTTCGCGAGTCTCGGGTGGCACGAGGGGGTAAGACGGAGCGTCAGGAGCAGCAACGGGTCTACCAGCCAGGTCCCGGCGCCTCTGACCCCCCAGAGACGAGCCCGGATCCACTGTCCGGCCCGACACGTCGCGAGAATCAGCAATCGGCCGCTGGCGATTTCCGCCCACGACAGACGCCACGATTGCTCAAGGTGCGGAAAGTCCTACAAGAACGCGTACATCCTCAAGCGACACATCCTCTACGAGTGCGGAAAGGCTCCCTCCTTCAGCTGCCCCCACTGCGCCTTCAGCTCCAAGTACGAGAGGAACCTCAAGGCCCACATCAACCACCGCCACGTTCTCGCCAAGCCTCACTCCCAGACCGTCAACTAACGACCCTCCAAGTTCAAAAACAACCCACGCAAGTACCCACTCAAATAACACCCATTTATTATTTTTTTATTCGTCCAGCCTCCGGGGACTCCGGCTGGACGAACGTTTGCCAAAATAATTGCCAAGTGCCAAATAATCAAAGTCTCTCATTTACTTTTATTATTTATTTTTTTTTTTTATTATTTCCAATCGATAAAATTACTAGTCTTCTGTTTGGTGTGAAAATTTATAACAATTTTGTTAAATTGTTACACCAAGCTATGTTTAATTTTATAAATTTTTACAACAAACAGTCACTTGATTAAGTGATACTGTTTTTTTAGTATAATTATTTGGGGAATTTCCCAAAATATTACCAAAAAATCCATGACAATATTTTATAAAAAACACCAAAGTTACCATCGATTTTTTCTTTAATTGTCTGATTAATTATGCCAAATAATAAAAGCAATTAAATTGTACTACGATAAAGATAGATAAATACGCTAGAAATTGCAAACGCTGTTTTGTGTTGCCAATCAAAGCTTGTGAAATAATAATTAGTATACTAGTTGAGTAATAATTAATACCAAAAATATTTAGCGACTAGCAGTTGTTGAGTGCCATATATCAATTTAAAAAAGCCAAAAAATACAAAAAAAAAGTATATATAATATATATATATATATATATATATATATATATATATATATATATATATATTATATAAAATTATATTATTTAATCTTAAGATTAAAATATATTGTTGAACATTTTACGGTCTTCGGGGTTCTAAATACATACGCGGGTATTAATTAAACAATAATAATACGCTTTGAAGTTTAATCGAGCCCCGAGTCCGATATTCGCTAGTTTAAGCGCCCAATTATTTTTATACAAATTATAATTACTATAGAGGACGGAAAATTAAAAAAAAAAACTTACAAAAAAATGTCCTGAATTTTTTAGAGTTCAGCCGACCCAATTGTACTAAGGGCGGCCGCAGTTGACCAGTTATTAAATGTCTTATTGAAGTAATTATTAAACCAGTTAATCGACGAATTAATTACATAAAGGATAGAAGTTGTAGCGTAGAAACGTCAAGGGAGACACCAATTATTGTTAATAAATTGGTGTTTTTATTTTGAATAATGTTTGACTAAATTTTTGAATGGTTTAAACGTTAAAACAACAAAATAAAACGTTTCGAAGCAACGAATAAAGATTTTATTAATATTTAAGATTGATGATGATAATAAATATTAATATTAAAACAATTATTGAATTTAAAATTAGTGCAGTCTAATGAAAATTCAATTTTAATAATACACTGATAGAAGGATTTATTAACTATTGATAATTTAATTTATTTGAAGACAATTATTTAATTTATTAAATTTTAATAAATATTTATTTGGGAGATAAATAAGCTCACCCCGACATTACACTCATCAAGACCTTTCATTTGAGTACCCACATCAATTTTTTCATATATTTCATATATTTATGTATATTATATATATGTATATATGATAAATATATCAAAAATGCATGTGGGTACTCAAATGGAAGCTCTTGATGAGTGTAACATCGAAATGAAGTTATATCTTGAAAAATGTCAATAATTACGAAATGACCTTGCATCTTGTCAGCTACTGACATTTTTAAAGATATAAGCTCACCCTGAAATTACATTCATTAAGACCTTTCATTTGAGTACCCATATCAATTTTTTTATATATTTACATATATCATATATATATGTATATATGAAAAATATATCAAAAATGCATGTGCGTACTCAAATGAAAGCTCTTGATGAGTATTTTTTATATTTTAAAATATTAAAAACTTTAATTTATTTATTGAATTGAATTATTATCATGTATTCCAGCTATAGAGCTATAAAAAATCTCAAAAGAAAATTGCTATGTTTGCTTTTTATTTTTAATAAATATTTGTTAACAGTTAACAGCTTATTAAAGCTTATTAAATATAAACAAATCCTTTTATCAGACTAGTCATTTTTAAATTGTAATTTTAGTTCAACGAATAAGTGTTCAAAGAAATAAAATATTAGTTTTTTGAAGGGCTAGTTTAGAGACTCGCTGTCTTAGAGAGTCTAGTCGGAGATTTATATTAATAAATGACTAATAATAAAGCTAATAAAAATAAGACCAAAGATTGGATCTAATTAGTCAAACTCTTGAATTTAAAAACTAAAATTTTAATCTTAGTTTATTTTAGCTGACATCTAATCTATCCTTAACTATATCATGTCTTCTCTATATCTATCTATCTATATTATTAATTATTATTATAATGAATTATTAAAACTAAAATTTCTCGTCTCACTGATTAAAAATGACAAAAAAGTATCTCTGCGGCAAATAAAAATCTTGTAACCGTAAGATCAGATTGTGACCGAATTCCGAAAAGAAAAATGTCAGTTACCATAAAATTTTATCAAAAGATTGTATTGTTGCAATATTTCTTCCTTCACTGGGCATCTTAGTGTCCGTAATTACTCTTAAGCCGACACTAAATCTAACACTAAATCATAATAAAGATAATCTTTATTAAGGAGTCTTCCAAGTCTCCCGGGACTAAAAAATACACAACGGGGGTCTATTGTCGGCAACAAACTTAAATATCAACAAATTATTGCTTCAATAATTGTTAATAAAATAATCTAATTATTTGGAAACTCAATAAAACAAATAAATAAATAAAATAATTAAAAATATAAATTCATATTAAAGGAAAAATAATAAAATGTTGCTTGAAAGCAATTAAATAAATAAGCAGCAGAAAGACTGATATTTAAATAATAAACAAACACAAGTGAGACGTATTATAAATTATAAATATATTAATATACATAATGTATCTGATAAATATATAATACCCGTAAATCCGTAGTGTAAATGGTGGATTTTTTTTTATTTTATCAATTATTGTGAAGATAAATATTTATCAATATAAATACTGATCTTTTAAATAGTTATTGACAGGTTACAAGCCAAATTAATTGTTCTAAATATATTTAATTGCCAAGTTAATGGTTGCAATACTCGAGTAATTGTGTCGGCTTTTTTAACGCCGGCACTTTATATATTTATAGAATATTAACAGAAAAATATATATTACCGATAAAATTAATGTCAACAATGTATACGTTTGTTTTTTTTCCGATTTAACTGTTTAAAAAATAATTAATTAATTAAAATTAATTATTAATAATATTAGAGTAAGAAATTCTGATAATAATTAGTATGTAAGTGTTCTCTAATGGGAGTTTAATTAAACTAATAATAATAACGTTAAAAAATATACCCAAGCCATATATATTAACAAAATATCTTTCGAATTTATTTATGATGAAAATTGAAAAAAAATAAAATTGTAATGCAAGTTAAACTGTACTGGAATTAATTACGGTGAAGGATTTTGTTTGTAAAATTTATTTTCTCCGAATTAATATATTTATTATTATTGTAAACACTGTAGAAGGTTGCGTTAGAAAAAATAAAGAAAAAAGCATTCATTGAATTTATTTTATAATAAATAATCCTTGATCCTTTCTTGTGCCTTATGTGTTAACAGTGATCAATAACAAAAATTTCCGTACAACTTTGTATTTTTGATCTTTTTTTAACAATTCATTTTTTTGTTCCAGGTCGGCTAATTTGCCACTGCGGAAGAAGGTTTAAATACGCGTTTTCATTGAGCTGCCATCAACGCGACGATTGCGGAGTTAAGTTTATTTGTAAGGAGTGTAATTACCGGACTGATAAACTTAATCAGTGGATTAATCATGTCAAGTCTGGATGCACTTTTCCGATACGTATCCGATGAATAATTATGTTTCAATTAATTTTTGATCATATATTTTTTTTCAAATTATAGTAATTATTTATCTAAATATTTTATGTCATCATTTTTAAGAAATTTACATAATTTATGTTTTCTTCAAAAATTTTCATTATTATTATTATTATTATTATTATTATAATTTTCATTAAATAATTACATAAATTTTAATCTGTTGATGATAATAATAATAATAATAATTATAATAATAACTAGCAACCTTGCAGTCACTTATTAAATAATCATTATTTTTGTTAAATTGCACTTTACTTTCTTAAATATTGAATTTTTTTAAGATATAAACTCATTTCGATGTTACACTCATCGAGACTTTTCATTTGAGTACCCACATGCATTTTGATATATTTTTCATATATACATATATATAATATATATATAAATATATGAAAAATTGATGTGGGTACTCAAATGAAAGGTCTTGATGAGTGTAACATCGGGATGAGCTTATATCTTTAAAAATGTCAATAATTCACAAGATACAAGGTCATTTCTTAATTATGTATCTTGAAATAGAGTATTAATGTTCTTTTTAATTATAATTTATTAAAAATTTTTAATTTAAAAAACATTGTTGAAATTTTTGTAATTGTAATAAATAAAATAAAAATTACAATTTAACTTAAAACTTTTCTATAACAAACTTGTTTGATTTGCAGGCTCAAGAAATTACTCATATATATTTCATAATGATACTAACTAATTTTTGTGTTATCTAGGTGCTGTAAGAAGAATTTCCCCATCACAATAACATCAAATTAACCTGTAAATAATACAAGTCATTTCTTCCCTAGAAATTCTGCACTTCAAATTCACAATTGCCTATTTCTTCTTTTAAAAAAACACCCCCAATTAGAACTCATACTAACACAATTTATTTTTTTTTCAGATTTCTACGGAGCGAGTTCATCATCAAAATCAATTTTCAATTGCCCGAGATGTCAAAAAGTATACCAAAGAAGAGACAGTTTAAGGAAGCATATGCGAGTAGAGTGTGGAGTCCCGCGACAATTTAATTGTCAATACTGTGGAAAAAAATTCACACACAAGCACCATCTGACTTATCATTACGTAGCAATTCACAAATTGCAAGCTCTTTAATTTAATTTGTTATATAATTAAAAATTATTTAAAATAAAAAAAAACCAAACTTGTATTATATTTTCCTTAAATCAATTAAATTGTAAAAAAATTAATTAATTAACTTACTAACCTTTTATTTTTGTTCAAGTGGAGAAGAAGAAATAACCATATTAACGTCAACAGAATCCAGCGTAGAAGACTAAAAACAAAAAAAAATAATTTTTTAACAATTATTAATTATAGCTAATTGATTTTACGCTAACATATTTCTTCTTTTCAGATGAAGACTCGCCAAAAATGCCGTACGTAGGACGCCCGTATACTTGCAACATGTGCGGTAAATCCTACATGTGGAAAGTATCCCTTGGGCGCCATCTACGAGAAGAATGCGGCAAAACTCCTCAACACACTTGCGCGCTCTGTGGCCGAGAATTTAAACAAAGAAGTAGCTTTCAAAGGCACTCGCGCACGCAACACAATAAAATTTTTATGGGAACAAAAAAATTGTGAGCTTCTTGAAGATTATTTTTTAATAAAAATTCAGGAAGAAATTTAATTCGTCAATGAAGAGAATAAATTTAAAAAAAACGACAGATTTGAAGAAATTCATCAAAGAAGAAATAAAATTAATCTACGTCTGAAGATTTAAATGCAAGATCCAAAGAAGAAATCATCTTGAAGATTATAAAGAAGATATTTTAATTTATTTTTTTAATTAAAATAATTTTTTCCAAGCGACTTTTTTTAGTTTATAATTTTTCCATCCCTTCCCGGCGGTACTTAATTAACAATTTTATTTTTAATTATTAATTTAAGAATAATTATTATATTTTCCCCCGCAACAGTGAACTAAATAACCTCTATGAAGATTATCGGAGCGGAAGATAAAAAAAATATAATTTAAAGGTAAATTCTTCTGGCTTGATACTCTCCATTTTTTTTGTTTAATAATTAATCAATATTAATTATTATCTACAAGATGAGTTTAATTGGTTTCAGATAAAAAAAAAAATAACTTTCTTCAAACAGTAATTAATTTAAAAGTATAGAGCGCTACGCTAAACTAACCTCTGCTTTAAAAGTTGTAAATTATAATAATTATTGTAATTAAAAAATAAAATAAACTATTTTACTACTCTAAATTTTGGAAAGAAGTTTAAATAAAATTATTACTAACAGTAGTTTTATTTTGCTTGCAGTGCCAAGAATTGAGGTGCAGAAAATGAAAACAATAAGACCGTCGCATCTATGGCGGCCATTTCCCTGCAACACTTGCGGGAAATCTTATACGCGTAAAGACACACTGAGGCGCCATCTGCGGTACGAGTGTGGAAAAAATCCTCAGTACATTTGTTACGTCTGCAAGAAGGGATTTAAACAGAAGTCTAATTTCCACAGGCATAATCTTAATGTTCACGGGCTTAGATTATAATTTAGATTAATAATTATTATTAATAATTAACAATTATTTTTAATAATTACAATTAATAACTAATAATTATAATTAATAATTAACAATTATAATCAACAATTATGATTAATAATTATAATTAATTATTAATAATTAATAATTATAATTAATAATTAATAATTTTAATTTGAGAGAAGATATTTTGTAAGAAGAAAGACTTGTAAAAAATTTTTTTAAAGAAGAAATTATTAATCAAACAACAGGGTCCTTTAGGGTAATAATAATAATTAAAAAATTAATAACAATAATAACAATAATAATAATAATAATAATAATTGAGAAATAAGTTTAATAATTTGGGTTTGAAGCTACTTAATAATAAAAAAGTGTTCATTTGTTTAACAAACCCTTATAATAATAATAATAATAATAATTATTAATAATAACAATAATAATAAATTGAAACCTCACGTAAAATCACCGCCCCTGTATATAAATAAATTATAATAATTATTAGTAAGTAATATCGACACAGAAGATCAACCTGAAGATCATCACCCGAAGATCCATCTATCACTATTACCGTAGCCGTAAGAAAAAATAACTCACGTGCCTGGTAAATGACCGTAATGGTAATCCCGGGCTCTGTTATTTTCAGACGTGTCACCGAGGCTCCGGTACTCGCTCCCGGGAATCCACTCCGGAATATTCAGCTTAGAGAAGCCCTTTCCTTGCCACAAGTGCGGGAGGTCTTACCGGAACAAAGGCTCTCTCAAGCGCCATCTTCACGACGAGTGTGGGAAGCCGCCGCAGTACATCTGCAGCATCTGCGAGAAGGGGTTCAAGCAGAAGGCCAATTTCCAGCGGCACAACGCTACTATCCACGCTCATCTTTTTTCCCCGGCGCCTTAATATTATTGAGTGATATTATTATTGAGTGAATAAAAGTATTGATTGATTGATTGACGGGCTGGATAAATTTTTTTAAGGTTTTTCGGGTAAAATGGAGATTTTTTCCTGGGGATAGAAGCGAGCTGGAGGTGGAGAAATTTTTTTTGGATAAAAAAATATTATTTTATTTATTTTTAATTAAGGAGATATATTTTTTAAAATAATTTTTATGGATCAAGATTTTGTTTCTTTAATTAAATTAATTTTGTACTTTGTTAATGTTAATTTTTAAATTAGTATTTTAATAAATTAAATTACTGTCAAATTTTATAAAAAAAATTCAATTGATTCAAGAAAAAAAATCTTGATTCTGAAAATTAATTTTTTTTAATTGAAAAAAATATTTTTTCTTTCAGAAAAAAATTTTTGAACAAAATAAAATTTGTCAAAATCAAGGAAATTTTTTAAATTTCAAACAAATTAAATTTAATTGAATAAAAAAAAAATTCTTCGCCTCCAATCTCAAATAAGTGTTCAGAAATTACCAAAGAAAAAAAAAGTAATTTATTTTGATAAGAATTTTAGTGAATAAAAAAAACCTAATTATTTATATTCAATCACAAATAATTAATTTAAAAAATTTTAATTTGACCAAATTATATAAATTTAAAATTGATTGAATATAAATTACCCTTTTAATTCACTGTAACTTCTGAATGCTTTTTTAAAAATAAATTAAAAAAAAATTTCCAATTTAATCAAAGAACCAAACTTTTCTGTGAAGCAGCCCAGTAAAAAAAAAATATATATATATATATATTATTATTGTTAATTAAATATGAACACAATAGCCAGACCATAAATATCTACGTTTTAAATAATCAATGTACTACAATATCTTATCGCCTATTATGCAGCTAAACTCACATATTATCCTAAATAATAACAATAACAATAACCGATAATTATAATTAAAAATAGTTAAATAACAGTAAACCGTTCCACCATAATGAATCAATAAATAATTGTTAAAAAATATTGCTCAATCTTATTTGTATTTTACTGCGTTACTATTAAAGTTATAAATTATAATTAAAAAAAATGAGCTTATTTTCAAAAAAGACTGAAATCAATTGCACGTACTTAATTTTAGATTAGAAAATAAAAAAAAAAAATGTAGCCCCTAAGGGGTAGAAAAATGTAAAACAATTGTTAATTAATAAATAAATTATTTGATTTCAGAATCTGAATTGGAAGCTGAAGAAGAAGAAGAAGAAGAGCCGAGATCTCCAGAGCCGCTGATGATTGTAGACACTTCCGAGGCGCTTCCAGCAGAGCCAGATTCTTTTGATAATGACAACGCGTTTGATCCACCTATTGAAGAAAACGGCGAAGAAGATGACCTGACGATGAACCTCCAGAAGATAACTGCGATCTTGGACCCCCAGGATCCTCTGGAGACTCCTGGCTCTTGTTTGGACGACATTGCTAATCTGGAGTACGAGGACGAGCTTGCGGACCCTGATGATCCTTCTACTTCCGAGTCTAGGAGACGCAGGATTAAAAAACACGCTTGTCCGCAGTGCGACAGGAAGTACACTAACAAAAGCACTCTTAATAGACATCTTCGGGAAGAGTGCGGGAAGAAACCTCAGTATACTTGTCGCTACTGTCACAAGTCCTTTAAACAGCGGTCCAATTTCCAGAGACACATTTGGACTATTCACGGATGCTTGCTCACTACTATTGCTTAATTAAGTTATTTAATATTTATGAAAGTTGATTTCTTCACGGAAAAAATTAAGGAAAAATTTTATTATTAATAGAAATTAGTCGCGTTACTTATATTGATGTCAAAAGCGCGTTTAAAAAATTTATTTTTGCTTTCATTAACTTGCACAGTAGAAAATTTTGCCTCATTGCGTTAAAAAACAGTGTTAAAAATTTTTGTCTTAAATATTTAACATTTTTATGTGTAAATTTAACAATTATTCTGTTAAATTAACACTTAAAAGTGTGAAATATTTAACATAAAAATTTTTGAAGTGATGACGCAAAATTTTTTACTGTTTTGGAATGTATAAAAGTATAAATTTGGGTGAATAAAAATTCTAAAGTCAAAAAGGCGTAAGGTAAAGGTCAAAAAGACCCAGTTATTGACACTGGCTTAGTTGTTTGGCACTTGCAATTTTATTCTAATTAAAAAAATTAAATTTTCTCAAAAAACCAATTTTTTTTTCAAAATTTATAATTCAAAAATTGTATTTTTAATTTTCTCAGGGAATTTTTTACAAGTTCAAAAAATTGGAAAGTGTTTTTAGTCTAATTTCCAAAAATCAATTTTTTGTAAGGTCTCAAAGTTTAAAATTCTTTAGAAGCGATTTTGACAATTTAATATATTCACCATATATACGCCAAATTTTATAATCTTAATTTATGAAGCCAAAAAGTCGCAGGTCGATAAAAATTATTTTTTTTTTTAATTTTTTAATCAGATTAAAACTTGATTGAACAAAAAAATTTTTTATACGCCCTTTTGGCATTAGTAACATAAAGTATCGCTTCAAATTCAAAAATAAAAAAATTGCAGTTCACAATAACATTTTTAAAATTTAAACTTTGATAATTTTCACAACTTTAAATGTAATTCTTACAAAATCTGCAAAAATTACAATTTAGAACTGTAATTTTTTTCAATTTTTCTTACATAAAGCGCCATATTACTATATAGTGTAATTTTTCCCTATTTCTTCTTTCCGTGATTGATCTAAGAAGCGCAAACGAGTTGAGATTGATTTTTTGTAATTCTTTTTTATGTTTAAAAATTTTTGAGCCTGCTAAGTATTTCCTTTTTTTTTTTTTTTTTTTTTTTCAAGAATTTTGAGTAGAATTGAAAGGTTTTTTGAATTTTATCTTTGAACTTTGTAAGACTTGCTAAATAAAAAATGATATTTTTCATGAATTTTGTGTTATTATTTCAATTATTTCAATGACTAAGCTTGAAAATTTTAATGAAAAAATTACTATCTTAGTTTCTAGGATTGTGCGACGAAGAGACTGGGCGCCATAAATTTTGGAAGAAAAGTGGTTCAAGAAGAAATCAAAAAAAGGTTTATAGAATTGAGAAAGGTAAAAAATTTACTGCTACGACAAACTTTAAATATTTAAAAAAAAAAAAAAATATATTTGAAACAAAAAAATAAAAGTTCAAATTTTCTAAAGCCTAAAATTTGAAAACTAACCTGAATTAATTATAAGAATAATTTATAATATATAAAAAGAAATTAGTAATTTTTGTTGAATTTTTACTAATAAAATTGCCATTTTTTTTTATTTTTCAGGCTCTCAAGGTACAGATTATTACAAGCGCGTGGGGAAACACAGATGTCGTCAATGTGGAAAAGAATACCGGTGGATGCAATCACTGATAAGGCACGAGAAAGAAGAGTGCGGAAAAGCGCCCCAGCATCAGTGTCCTTTCTGTGGTCTAAGGATGCGACACAAGTGGCTATTAAAGAAGCATATTTTAAATTTGCATCAATTTGCATTATAACTTTTGATAATAATTATCAAATGAATAAATAAAAATGTGATGGGTAGTTAGAATAAAATATAATCAGAATATTATTTTGATTTAGGTAATTTTTATGATTTAAGGTATTCCTTAATCATATATTTTAACAAGAGGCTATGCAAAAATTTAACTGCACTGAAAAAAAAATTTATTTGAATCCAAAAAATTCTTAAGTAAAATTTACTTAAACCAAAAAAATTTATTTTGAATGTGAATTAATTTAGCAGATATTTAAAAAAAAATTGACAGGAAGAAATTTAAGAAAAATGAATAATGCAATTTTTTAAAAATAATCTTTCAGAAAACTGTAATATAATTATTTTTAAGAATTTTTTCACTTAAATTAAGAAGATAAAGTTCTTAGAAATTATTTACTTGATTAAAGTAAATTTTTTCTTATATATAACAATAAAAAAATAATTGGAATAATTTTTTTTTATTCAATAAAATTCAAAGGTATTACTACGGTACCTTTATAATTAAATTTGGTAAATATTTACAAGTGAAGTTAACCATTTTAATGTTCACTTTTTTAACGAAATTTCTGTTTAATTTTATTGATATATTTTTTTTGAAAAAATACAAAAAAATGAACAATTAAAAAAAAAAAAAAGTTGATTTATTAAAAAGTTGAAATTATTAAAAAAAATGCAAATCTCATGATAGCGAATTTTTTTCAATGAATATTTTTAAACAGGGAAGGGATGAAACGTCCAACTAAATCAAAATAATATTCTGATTCTATCTCTTCCCAAATACCTTGCATTTTTTTATTTATTTATTATGTCTGACCGTGATTAAACTTACTATTAATAAATGAAAATTGTTCCTAGCACAATTGTCAACTGATTTGTACAAATTTATCACTAAATAAAAAAGTGAATTTTTTAATTAATTAAATATTACTTTGCATTGGAATAAAATAATTAATAATATTTTTATTTGCGAGTTTCAGTAAAAAATTCTCTTTAAATTCTTACTGACAAATTTTTCTCTGTTCACAGAAAACCCAAGGGCGGATTACCACAAGCGGTACAGAGGGAAGTATTCTTGCGACGACTGTGGTAAGAGTTACACATGGAAGCCCTCCTTAACGCGGCACAAGCGCGAAGAGTGCGGCAAAGATCCGCAATTTTCGTGTCCATTTTGTAAGATTAAGATCAGAAGAAGCGGAGTTCTAAAACGGCATTTAATCCACGTTCACAAGTGGGCTTCCTACACCGAGACTTCTCATTTATTTTAATTTAATCTTACTGTAATTTATTTATTTAATAAATTATTTAAATAAATGTCGGAGTATTTTTTATGTTCTTTTGAAAAATTTCCAATTTTTGTGAAGAAATCAAAAATTTGAACGAAACTAATGAGCTTCCGTTGGTTCTAGGTAATCGGCGCTACGTGTGCGGCATCTGCGGAAGGGCCTATGTGTGGAGAGAATCCTTAAGACAGCACCGCAGACTCGAGTGCGGCATTCAGCCGCAATTTAAGTGTCGGGTTTGTGCCAGGCCGTTCAAACATAAGCATCATTTGAGAGAACATTTGAGAAGAAAACATCAGTGTGATATTTAATCGAGTACTATTCTTTTTTTAGGGATGTTAAACTAGCGTTAAAAAGAGATAAAAAGAGTTTTTATTTAATAAAGTTTTCTAAAATCTAAGTTTTAATTTTTTGCGCTAAATTATTACACTGAAAAAAAAAAAAAACTTCTTGATTTGAGTGTAAATTTTTTTGGCTCAAGAAAATATATTCAATTTATTATGATAAGTAAATACTTATACTAAATAGGCTGCATTCGGAAATGCTCTATCTCTAGATACATAATTAAGAAATGACTTTTTATCTTGTGAACTATTGACATTTTTAAAGATATAAACTCATCCTGATGTTATACTTCTCGAGACCTTTCATTAGAGTACCCACATCAATTTTTCATATATTTATATATATTACATATATGTATATATGAAAAATATATAAAATATGCATGTGGGTACTCAAATGAAAGCTCTTGATGAGTGTAACATCGGGATGAGCTTATATCTTTAAAAACGTCAATAATTAAGAAACGACCTTGTATCTTATGAATTATTGACATTTTTAAAGATATAAACTCATCCTGATGTTATACTCCTTGAGACCTTTCATTAGAGTACCCACATCAATTTTTCATATATTTATATATATTATATATATGTATATATGAAAAATATATCAAAAATGCATGTGGGTACTCAAATGAAAGCTCTTGGTGAGTTTAATATTAAAATGAGCTTATATCTTTAAAAATGTCAATATTTAAGAAATTACAGTGCAATTTATTAAAATTCATTATTTAATGAAGCAAAATTTAATTTATTTATATTTCACAAGTCACAGCAGTCACACAGTGACTGCACGGTTGCTCGTAAATAATTTTCTGCATGGTTTACTAGTGTTTAATGTCACAAATAATTTTTCAAGTAAATAACTATTGATCGTCAGGAAAATAAAAATTTTCTATAAGTATTAATTAACAAATAAAACATTTAAATTTGCAGATTTCGTAGCGTCTTCAGTGTACCCTTGCCGCCAGTGCGGAAAAATGTTTTTCAACAAGAAAACAATGTGGAACCACCTCGCGATTTGTGGAAAGGAACCGCAATTCCCCTGCGAGACTTGCGGAATCCGTTTCAAACACAAACACCACTTGACGAGACACTTGAAAAGTGATAAGCACAAAATTTCTAGCGATTGCGGGAGCCTGATCTTCTCTGACCCGAACAATCGCCCGTTTGACTTGAAAGACTCTAAAGAATGGTTCTTACAGTGATCTCTTTCATAAATTAAAATTATTAATTATTTATTAAAAAAAAAAACTTGTAATTATTTGTAAAATAAAATTTATGTTTGTTAATAACACTCATCTGCCGTACTAATTAAATTTTGAGTAAGGAAATTATTTATCACTAAAATGGAATTAATGAACAGAAACAAAAGAATAATTTTAATTTTAATTTCAATTTTTTTTTCCAGATTCGAGTAAAAATTGGAGCTGTCAACAGTGCGGGAAGAGTTATTATTGGCGCGGGTCGCTGATGAATCACATTAGGGTCGAGTGTGGTAAAGACCCGACCTTCGAGTGTGTAATTTGTGGGAGAAAATTTAAGTACAAACATCGATGGCAGTATCATATTTTGTCTGTTCATAGAATAAAAAATTAAAAATATTTTTTTAGGGCTTTAAAATTAATTTTTTTTATTTAAAAGTTTTTTTTTGTAAATAATTTATAAATAAATAATTTTTAAAAATTGTTGGAATTAAAAATTTTCAACTAAAAAAATTTTTTTACTTAAAATAAATAATTGTAAAAATTCAGTGAATTTTTTCTAACATATATTTTCTTTTGCAGATTTATTTTGGAACACGATGGAAGGCTACGAAACAGGAACCAGCGAAGAAAAAAAGACTTATCAATTTTACGACCCGAATTATCAGTATACTTGCCAGAGATGCGGAAAGTCTTACAAAAGCGCGGGCTCATTATCAAGACACAGGCACTACGAGTGTGGAATCGAGCCTAAGGAAAAGTGTAACCTGTGTGGGAAGAAATTTCCTCATAGGTTTAAGCTCACGAGACACATGGTGTCCTGCAAAGCCAAGCAGAAGTTTGATTGGAGATTAGGACAGTAGTTTTTAGATAAGGAAATAAAAGCCGTAAAAATGGCGCCTGTATTTTTAATATTTATTGTAGACTAACTGTCAAATAATTAATTAATTATATTTGTTTTGTTATTATTAATAGAACTTTGTGATGCTGGTACTGTCTTGTGTGAAATAATAAAAAGAGTTGTCTGAGAGGGGAAGGTTTACTTGATTAAAAAATAATAAAGCGAGTGGTAAATTATTTAAAAGCCGTGGAATAATCAGTGAGTTTGTGTGTCTTGTGTTGGGCTCTGACTTTTCTTACGCGCCTGGGGATCTTTAGATTGTTTTCTAGCTCTTCTCCGTCCTTCTCAACCGCCGGTAGTTTAAGACTTATCATTAGTAATAATAATAATAATAATGATAATAATAAAAATAATAGTAATAACAATAGTTGTATTAAGTGGCTTGTAATTAAAAGTTATTATAATTAGTGTATCGAATAATAAAAGGTTACTGATGATTTAAATATTTTGTTACAGATGGGGATGGATATTTGCCGGCGTCTCAGTCCTCGTCGGACAACGAGGAAATTTACCCGCAAAATCTTCTCGGTGTCGCGTACAAAACTTCGGTTAATAATTCTAAAGAAGTTAGAGACGACGACGGGAAATATGTTTGCACTAAATGCGGAAAATCATACATCGCCTCAACCTCTCTGAAGCGGCACCAGCGGCTCGAGTGCGGAGTTGACCCCGCTCAGAAGTGTCACATTTGTAACAGGCGCTTCAGACACAAATTTGTTCTCACCGCTCATATTAACAATTGCGAGAGAAAATTGCTCGGGATCGAAGTTATTGAGATCATTAAAAAAAATCCTAATAACTCTAAATCCTCTTAAATACTCTAATTTATAACCCACCTTTTTTTTTTTATGTTTGTTCTTTATTAATATTTTCATTGATTTTTTGTGTTAATCAAAATGTTTGTGCCATGGCTTTTTCAATGTAATCTTACAATAATAAATGTTTTTCAACCTTTAACTGTTTGGTTATTTAATAATTACATTAAAATTCAATTTAATATTTTATTGGCGCGCAGTAGCCTATCGGATCCGGCCCTTGCTTACCAAAGCATTGGACCGGGTTCGAGTCCGGCGTACACCAATGAATATTTTCAATGTTTAAGTGTATTATTCTGCTCAGCCCAAGAAATACAAACGAGTTCCAATCTCAAAAGTTTACCCCCTACCGTAGTCGCTCATGACCTTAGTAGTTTATGCGACTTTAAACAAATTAAGAAAAAAAAAAAAATATTTTATTTTAACTCTACAATTTTTTTTTTTTAATAATCCAATTTTTTTAATAACAAATTTAAAATTTTTTATTTTCAGATTCAAAATTAAAAATTCAAGAGATTTGGAGTTTAAACTCGTCGTTCGGGCTTCAAAAACATTTTTTTACATGCGAAGTATGCTACAAAAAATTCACAGACCAGGCAAATTTCCGCCGCCACCGGAAGTTCAGTTGTAAAGACGCGTCTCGTAAATTTGAGTGCGAAAAATGTCACAAAAAATTCCGCCGACAAGATAATTTAAGAATTCATTTAATTTCTTGTAATAAAGTTAAAAATCAGTTCCATTGTCCAAAATGCGACGCAACATTTCGTTGCAAGTATTACACAAAAAAACATACAGCTTCTTGCAGAGGCTCATAAATTAAATTTTGTAATTATTTTTCCAAATAAATTTATTTTTTTTTTTTTAATAGACAAATTTTCTACTCACCAATCGTCCCGTAGTTTTTTTTCTTCTTCCTTTCTTCCTTGATTCTGGGTTTCTGTAAAATTTTAATAAATTAAGAATATTAATAGAAAATTTATGTAAATAAATATTAAATTATATTTTCAGGGTACTGGACATTCATTTCAACTGGACCAGTTGGACCAGTTGGACCAGTTGGACCAGCAATGCCTGAATATCAGACAATTGTTCCGGCGCAGGTAGCACTAATCTCAACGCGTTCATCGCGAAGAAGCAAGGCAAAGATGAATTTCAGATGCGACAAGTGCGGAAAATATTTCCGCTCGCGTTATCATCTTAATCGTCATTATAGTTTGTGTGGAAATACATTCAAGGCTTTCGGTTGCAGCAAGTGCGGGCGAAAGTTCAGGAGAGAAGATTATGTCAAAAATCATATGACGATTTGCAATGGGCGTTATTAATATTTTAAGATGTATTTTTTTTATAGAAACAATTTTTCCATGACTTAAATTTATTAAAAATTTTTTTTTAATTATAATTTACAATAACTATTCTTTAGTTAAATTATGCGCAGTTAGATCTACGGAAAAAACTAAACTAATAAATAATAGTCGATTTATAATAAATAATAAATAAAATGGTGATTTTAACAATCACTTTATAATATTTATCATTTAAATGCTACAATTTATTATTTACATGGAAGAAAATACTATTTCAAACAGTAATATTCGCTATGTGAAAGTCCAAAATGTTAAAGTATAATAATTAAGAATTTTGACTTTGATATTTATCATTTCGTAGCTAAAAAATGATCTTATGATGTGTAAAAAATATAAACTATAGTTACTAAATTTCTATACAAGCAACGTCAATATTTACAAAGTAAAATGGTAAATTTTAAACGCAAACTATAATTATTGATTTGCTTGGACTGGTAAAATATATATTTTAAGAGTAGAATTTTTACTATTTCAAATGTTAAATTCTCCGAGTGTGAGACCTTCCCCTTCTCATAGTATAGACTATAAATTAAAACGGCAATTTTTACTGTTTGAAACTGTAATTTTTTAAGATGAGAGAGTCGTTATTTACTATAGTGACAGCTACTAATCACATTTTCGATATTAAATTATAAATTGTGGCTTTTACACTTTCTACATTAAATTTTGTAATATTTACATTTGTGCCACCCCGATGTCCGCTGTACTGTTTGAAACTATAAAAATTAACCGGAACCTGAGTGAATTTTACAGTTTAATTTTTTCCGTGGAAATTTATAAAAAAAATTTTTTTAATTAATGAATTTATTATAAAAATTAATTTACAAATTTTTATTTTAAAAAGTTAATTTTTTATTTACAAATAATGATTTTATAAATTTTTTTTTTAATTTAAAAGCACAATTTTTCCATTAAAAAAATTAAATTGATCCTCTAAAAATTCTAAGTGCGTATAAATTTCTTAATAAATTTAATTACTAATTTACAAATTAAAATAAATGTATTTAAATTTATAATTAATTTCCAACTCTGTCAATTTAAAAAAATACAAATCTACAATTTTGTACCCACGTGTAATTTTTATTTCGTAGAATAATTAATTTTCCTATCTCTAGAGTACCTTTTTAAGACAAAAAATATTCTTTTTAACCTTGAGAACAAATACTAAAAAGAACTTTATTTTCTAGCGTTCGCTGTGGAACAGTGGAACGGAACGAACTTCACGCAGTGGTACGAAGTTCCGGGGAACGACAAGTTCCACATGTGCCAAACGTGTCGCAAGTATTTCTCCTCCCAAAAGAGCCTGATGCGCCACGTTAATTCGATGTGCGGAACCAACAACGCGCAGGCGCACGAGTGCGAGAAATGCGGAAAGTTGTTCGGCAGGCGCGACAACATGAAGCGACATTACGACTTGTGTGGGAGCGCTAAAAAGTATTCGTGCTTGAAGTGCAATAAAAAATTCAGCAGGAAGGATTATATGAAAGTTCATGATAGTTTATGTTGCAGTTCTAATTAATTTTTTTTTTTTTAAGAAAAAAAATAGAATTAATAAAAAAATATTATTTTATAAAATTAAGTAAAATTTAATATTTAAATTGTATTATTAAAATTTATTTAATAAAATGTATATTTAATTAATTATCCATTAAACATTTTTTTTTAATCATAATAATAATAATTTTATTTTAATCAATTAAAAATGTTAATAATTTAAAAAAAAATTTGTAAAAAACTTAAAAAATTATAAGTGCAATTTTTACAAAATATTTTTTAGTTCTAATTTAATAAAAAATAAAATAATTAAAAATTAAAAAAGTCAGCTAATTTTAGTATTATAAAAAAAATAATTAAAAATTCAAATAATTTTTATTTTTAATTTTCTAACAACAAATTATTATTATTATTATTATTATTATTTATTTATTTAATTGGTCGTGAAGTCAAAACTCTGCAGCCATCCAAAATTGATCCAAAAAATCTTAATATAATATAAAAAGTAGTGTGTTAAACACTAAATCACTCAATTAAGAAGAAATTAGGAAGAAATACTAACAAGTATTTTTTTTCAGCTTTCGGGTACCAATTCTGGCCAATAAAAACAGAAGAACACCCGGAAGAAATAGTAACAGAGGAATCTAACCAATCAACGAGCCCAAAGAAGCGCCGCGGACGGAGATGTGTCCTCAACTTGAATTACATTTGCAATTCTTGCGGGAATAAATACGCAAGATTGAGTTGTCTTCGCCGGCATCAAAAGGAGTGCTGTTGCGAGCCTACTCTTCAGTGTATTATTTGCCAGCATAAATTCTTCCGCAATTACCAGCTTAATGCTCATATGAAACAATGCCTTAATCGCATTTAAATAATTTTATTATAAATTATAATCAAATATTTTTATCATCAAAAATTTATAAAGTTACCAAAAAATTAATATTTTTTAATTAATTGTTATGTTATTAATTGTGCTATTTTAATAAATGTTAAAACTAATTAATTAACTCCTTCTTTGTAAAACTTATAAAAATTAATTTCTTCTTAGATTGCACAGCTAAAATTAAATTAATTAATTTGAAAAATTTTAATTAGTTAATTCAAATTAATTAAATTTTTTTAAATAAAATTAATTATTAATTTTTTGTAAATATTAAATAATATTATCAATTTTGTTTAAAAAAAAATGTAAAAGTTCCTAAAAAAAAATTTTTAATTAATTTTTTATTAACAAAAAAAAAAATTGAATTTTTTCAGACCCAAAAAACAATCGAAGAATTCAAGAGATGAATTACTTCCTGTACCCAGAATTAAATTACCAACGCGACGAGCTGGAAATTCTGAGACCGAAAAAGCTGCGACTGCATTACTGCAGCGGATGCGGGCGATCTTATACACGTGTGGACAGCTTAAAGAGACACCAATTAAAATGCAATGAGTATTTGATGACTTCTCTGCAAGACAGCGGAGCTGGAAGGAATGACGACCGGGAGTATTTCTGCGAGAACTGCGGAAAGGGCTACAGAAGAAGAGATTCTCTTTTAAGACACCAGAGATTGGTGTGTTACAGAGACAAGGCTTATGATAAAAAGCGAGAGAATAGAAACACATGAAAAGAAAAAAAATAATTGTAATTAATAAAATAAAATAAAAAAAAATAGATCTGAATAAAGAGAATTTTATAAAAATTTGTGATTATGATTATGATTGTAAATATTGGGATATTTGTGAGTTTATTCAGGGAAATTTGGTTGAAAGAAGGGACTAATGAGGTGTCGTTGGTTGCAGAGATGCTGGAACAGTACGAGCAGTACGAGCAGTGGTTCCCGGAACGAGTGAAACCGAAGATGGGCGCCAGAACGAGCGGGACGTATGTGTCGGCATCTGTCGACAAGCCGGCGCAGTTGCACATCTGCAGCGCCTGCGGGAAGAGGTACAAGTGGCTGGACAGCCTGAGGAGGCACCAGAGGGTCGAGTGTGGGAACAAAGAAAAACGATTTTCTTGCTACACCTGCTCCAAGAAATTCAGACACCGATACGAGCTCAAGAACCATATATCTGCTTGTCATTAGCCGCTCGTGATAATCTGCTAGGGAGTCTGCAAGATAGAAAGATTTTTTTATATGTAATATTTATTAACTGTTAAATGACCTTGTATCTTGCGAATTATTGACAGTTTTGAAGATATAAGCTCATCTTGATGTTACAATCATCGAGACCTTTCATTTGAGTACCCACATCAATTTTTCATATATTTTATATATTATATATATTTCACAAATACCATATATGTAAAATATGTAAAAAATGTCATGTGGGTATTTAAATGAAAGGTCTTGATGAGTGTAACATCGGGATGAGTTTATATCTTAAAAAATGTCAATAATTAAGAAATGACATTGTATCTCGTGAACTATTGACATTTTTAAAGATATAAGCTCACTCCGACAGTACGCTCATAGAGACCTTTCATTTGAATACCCACATTAATTTTTCATATTAAACATAATGTGTAATTTTGAACGCTTAAGTAAAAAATGAGCGGGAAGTTGTAGGGATGGTCTTTAGGGTCAACTGTCGTCCTAATTTTCTTATATCCGTTTTTCTGCCATGGCAGAACCGCATTATTTATATTTGTTAAAAATGTGGTATTTATATTTGACAAATATAAATAATGCTGTGAAGCGGGAAAGAATAGGAGTTACGGATAATTATTACGTGAAGCGTTCCAGCATTCACGTAACAGGATAATTGGTAGGAAAGGATTGAGAAAGGATTGTGGAGAGGATCATCTTAATGTGAGTGTATAGAATATTCGAGAAAAAATTATTAGATAGCTCGGACTGGGATTCGAACCCAGAACCTTCCGAAGACATGTCGGCTACTCTACCATTTGAGCTATCCGGTCTATACTATATATATATATGAAAAATATATCAAAAATGCATGTGGGTAGTCAAATAAAAGCTCTTGATGAGTGTAACATCAGGATGAGCTTATATCTTTAAAAAAATCAATATTTAAGAAAGTACAATGCAACATAACAAAAGTCATTATTTAATACATCAAAATTTTATTTATTTATAATTCTCAGCAGTCACGTAGTGACTGCAAAGTTGCTCTTATTTATTAACTGTTAATAAATACTTATTAATACCCGAAAAAATATTTATTAAAATTAAACAAACTAAATAATTGTCTACAAATAAATAAAATTACTAATAGTTAAAAAAATCCTTCTATCAGCGTGGTGAAACTTTAACCGGCCGAGGATTACTTCCTCCTCCAAGTTAATTTATTTATTTGTACCTGTACAATCATGAGTTAATAAACTATTTCCGATGAATAAAAATTTTAATTTATCCCGTTATTCTTTCGCATGTCAGTCACTAGCCAATTATTATACAGAGCATCATAATTTTGTCGCATACACTTTTGCTTTAATGACCTAAGACTATATCTAAACGGACAATATCAACTGTACTGCCGATTAAAACCAAACCGGTTTAATTGTTGGTTAATTGTCATTTTAAGTAAATAGAGAGTTTACTTTCTGTTACAGCCTGGGCTTCTTTACCCAAGATGACTTCTATGGGCTTTACTCTTCTAATAGCATCTAATTTAAATAATAAAAAAAAATTCTAATAAATTTTTTTTGTCTTTTTTTTTCAGGATGGCTGAAACCTAAGCGCTATACTTGTAAATTCTGCGCCAGAGATTTTGGCTGGAGATTCGAGCTAGAGGAACACATCAGGACCTTCTGTTTTATCAAAAAATTCTATATAAAAAAGTAAAGTTTATGTTATTACATCGGAGTTACTCGTGCTTGGCGGTTTATAGTCAATGTTTGTCTGTCCTAAATTCCGGAGTTTAAAAAAAAATTTTTTGAAGAAAAATTTTTCTAATAAGATAATTGTTTTTTTTTTTTTTTTTTATTTTCTTAGATACTAATTGGCGGCGCCAAAGTCTTCTTTTGGACCAACAGTCTGCGGGAGAGCTCCTCAGAAATTCTCCTGGGGGTTACTTCTGTCGGAAGTGTGGGAACAGTTACTCGAGACTACACTCGCTAAATCGGCACATTAAATTTGAGTGTGGGGTTGAGCCCCAGTTTGAGTGTCCTTTGTGCCATAAACGCTCCAAACACAAGCACAATCTTTTGCTTCACATGCGAACTCATCAGAAACGCTAATTAATTATTACCAATCTTCCATTTTATTATTATTTTAAGTATTATTGTTATATTACTATAAAGGCCAAAAGTTTGTTTTGTAAATATTTTTCTAGGTAAAAAATACTTATTAGTTAAGTAATGTTATCTGTGATTTATATGAATCCGGTATTAAAAAAAATTTTATTTAAAATTTTGGTAATTTTTTAGCTCCGATTTTTTTTTTACTATAAAAAAAATCACAATTTAAAGATAAAATTAAAAAAAATTGTATATTTTTTTGCAGTTAAAGAATATATTCTAAAATTTGTCTATTATAAATTTTATGGGACTTGAAAATTAATAAAATTTTAGTTTATTACATAATGATTTTTGTTAAATTGCACTGTATTTTCTTAAATATTGACGTTTTTAAAGATATAAGCTCATCTTGACGTTACACTCATCAAGAGCTTTCATTTGAATACCGACATGCATTTTTGATATATTTTTCATATATACATATATAAATATATACATATATAAATATATATAATGTATGAAATATATGAAATATTGATGTGGGTATTCAAATGAAAGGTCTTGATGAGTGTAACATCGGGATGAGCTTATATCCTTAAAAATGTCAATAGTTCACAAGATACAAGGTCATTTCTTAATTATGTATCGAGAGAAACTATTGAAATTTTTAAAGATATAAGCTCATCCCGATGTTATACTCATCAAGAGCTTTCATTTGAGTACCCACATGTATTTTTGATATATTTTTCATATATACATATATAAATATATATAATATATATAAATATACGAAAAATTGATGTGGGTACTCAAATGAAAGGTCTCGATGAGTATAATGTCGGAGTGAGCTTATATCTTTAAAAATGTCAATAGTTCACGAGATACAAGGTCATTTCTTAATTATGTACAATTAAGACAATTTGAATTTTTTACGATCGCACGTTAAAAAAATTACCAAATTTTTAAATTTATTCAAAAAATAATTGTCAACCGTACAAAGTATTAAATATATTATTTAATAAATATAATAATTAAGTAACCAAACAGTCTGATACCAACAAAGTTTATCAAACAATCAAAAAAATAAAATAAAAGAAACTATTTTAAGCAATTAAAAATTGTTAAGCAATGTTGAGAGTGTCCAATAAATAAAAATGAATACCGTACTTTTAATAAAAATTTAACTGAGATCGATTTTTTTCGCATGTTAGTAATCCACTGCATTAAAAAATAACATCACGCTAATTAAATAATTAATTTACAATAAATGTCAGGTTGATAAAAAATGAGTTAATTTTTTTGTTACAGTTTGGGGCCCGCCTCAGGTCAATATCGAGGTCCAGCTTCACACCTGCCCAAAGTGCGCGAGGACGTACTCGCACAAGTGCAACCTTATGAGACACCTGAGACTTGAATGCGGAGTAGGCCCGAGATTTCAATGCTCAAGCTGCGAAAAAAGATTCAAACATCGGCATCATCTTCGAGATCATGAAAAACTTCATACCCATCACTGGGGCTTAGATACTCATATGTAAATTATGAAATTATCTTATATTTGTCAATACTTAAATTTTTGTGTTAATTGTTACTGTAAAAAGATACCTCTATGCGCCAAAATATTTATATATATTCATTTATTATATATGTAAAAAAATTAATAAATTATTTGAATTAAATTTTTTATTTTTAACTAGCAACCTTGCAGTCACTATGTGACTGCCGTGATTTTTTAACTATAAATAAGTAAAATTTTGCTTTATTAAATAATGAATTTTGTTAAGTTCATTATTTTACAAGTCAACACCTTTGCAATGACATTAAATTTCACCAAAAAAACCGATTTCATCATATGACTATCCTGGACACAAAATTTTTCTTATTCTCTTAATAATATAGATTATTATTTTTTCAATTAATTTTTATTCAATTACAGGGTTTGAAAGTTAAGAAGGTAAAAAATCTATAAATAAATTAATTTATAACCAAAAAAAAAAAATATTAAATCAAAATTTTAAATTTGGATCAATTTTTTTAAATTTATTTACAGGAATCTACAGGTCAAGAAAAATTCTATAAAAAGTTAAGGTGGTAAACAAATGCATAATGAATTTCTACGAAAATTTACTGAGTATTTAATAAACTTAAAAAAAAAAAAATTTCAATTAACAAATCCTTAAATTTATGTTTCAGGTTTTGACCTCTCATTAATGATGATGCCGCCGCCGCGTCTGAACTTAGAATTAAAATTGCCTGGGACTCAAGGGCCCGTTGGTCGCTTTCCGTGCCCTAATCCGTTCTGCAAGAGTGTTTTCAAGGAAAAGCGGCACCTGGGGACTCACATAAACTATCACTGCGGAAAACCTCCGCGGTTCCAATGTCCCTATTGCGAATATCGCTCGCACCTAAAAACTAACGTGAAAATTCACGAACAAAAGCGACACCCTGGCCAACATATCTGGGTCGTTGAACGATATAGATAATAATTACAAAAAAATTTTGATAAAATTCACGTGCAATATATTTTTAATGTTAAATACTCGCAATGTAATTAATAAAATATTAAATATTTTAAATATTAATAAAAATTTCTACTGCTATAATAATTTATGAATTACTATTGTATTTCGTTAACTAATGATGTTTTCAACTATATAAGCTCATTTTGATGTTACATTCATCGAGACCTTTCATTTGAGTACCCACATGTACTTTTCATATATACATATATATAAATATATGAAATATATGAAAAATTGATGTGGGTACTCAAATGAAAGGTCTTAATGAATGTAACATCAGGATGAGCTTATATCTTCAAAAATGTCAATAGTTCTCAAGATACAAGGTCATTTTTTAAATATGTATCTTGAGAACTAATAACATTTTTAATGATATAAGCTCATCCCGATGTTATACTCATCAAGAGCTTTCATTTGAGTACCTACATGCATTTTTCATATATTTTTCATATATTCATATATATAATATATATAAATATATGAAAAATTGATGTGGGTACTTAAATAGAAGGTCTCGATGAGTATAACATCAAAATGAGCTTATATTCACGAAAATGTTATTAAAAATTTTAGGTTTAAATTTTTTTTCAGGAAAATTGTAAATAATTCAATGGATAAATTTTTGTACATAATAAATTAAAATTTCCCGGCATGAAAAGAATATTTTCTTGTCCAATAAAATTTTTTGGGACTTCAAGGATATTTTTAAATAAAATCAAAACTTAATAACTTTACTAACCAAGTAAAATATCTGTTTCAGTTTTCCAAGGCGCCATTTTTGCGGAGCCGTACCAACCTAGACGCCGCACTACAATAGGCCAATACCCGTGCCCGAATTCAAACTGCAGAAGTGTCTTCAATTCGTACTACAATTTGCGAAGTCACATAAACAATCATTGTGGAAAGCCTCCAAGATTCAAGTGTCCTCACTGCGACTACCAGACAACTTGGCGGAACGATGTCAAGAGACATGTTATAAACAAACATCAAGACGCGGTTACTCCCGTTGTCGAACTCTACAAGCCGAATTCTCAAAGAAGAGACAAATTTATTTGTCCGACGGAAAATTGCTTCGAGATTTTTAGGCACAAGAAACTTTTGATTTATCATTTACAAAATCGCTGCGGAAATGGCTCTTAAGATTTTTTTTTTTTATTAAATTATGTAGGAAAAAAATCTCTTGGATTTTGAGATTATTAAGGGGAAATTTAACAGTCAAATTTTTCGTAATAATTTTTTTTTTAATAAAAAAATACTTAAATTAACAAAATTAATGCTTTATTACAATTTTACTACTCCTAAAATTATAAAAAAATTTTTTTTAAGTCTTTATTTATTTATATTGAAGAGAAATTAAGTTTTAAAGTCGGGAGATGAGGATTAGAAGACAAAATGGCGGTAAAGGTTATAGCGCATGAACTTCAGAGGGCGGCACTTGTTAATTTTTAAATTATCGGCGGGAATTTTTAAAATTTTGTGAAAGTTAAGTATTTTAAATACTTAGTTTAATAAAATTTATTAATAAAATTTTAAAGAGAATTTCTTGTTTTTTTTTAAATAATTTAAAACTAAATAATAAAATTTCCTCTTAAAAACCTCAAAAATAATTAACCAAATTACAAAACTAATTTTTAATTAAAAAAACTATAATTATAATAAATAAATGTATTAAATTGCATAAAATAAATACTAAAAATAATCTTAGAGTATTTTTTGCAATTTAGAAGCATGTGTAGTAAATAAAAAAGATTTTTTTATTTAATTCTAACAATTAAAATTGACAATTTTCGTTTTCCAGAAATTTTCAAGAGTAAGGACGAAAAGTACGCCTGCTTGAACCCAAATTGCAAGAGCGTGTTTAACGACAAGAGCAATCGCAATAGACACTTTAAGCACCAGTGCGGTAAGCCTCCGAGGTACAAGTGCGGTTATTGCGACCAGCAGTCCCACTTCAAGACCAACATTAAAGAACACTGCAAGCGGAGGCACCCAAACTTCGATATCAGTATTATCGAGCTCTACAAGCCGCACATGCTTGGGATTTATTGAAATTTTATAAATTATTATTTAAAATTGTTATTTAATGTGTTAATAAAAATTTTATCAAAATTTTCCACATAAATTATATTTATTTTACACAGTAGGTGCTTAGACGCTTCATTAATATTTTTGTAAAAATTTTTACTAACTTTTATATTTGTTTGATGATTAATAATGATTAATTTAATGACAAAATTAATTTTTTTCAGCATTCTCAAGCCTGTGGCTTGCCGGAAATTTGATGGAGTCGAGCATCCAGATCGGACCTCCGCAGTACGCCTGTCCGAACCCGAATTGCAACAGAGTTTTTAGCAAAAAGTACAATCGCAATGCTCACGTTAATCTCTACTGCGGAAAACCTCCGAGGTTCAAGTGTCCTCACTGCGATTACAAGTCCTTGCTCAAGAGAAATATTAAAGATCACGCTTTTAGAATGCACTCTGATATCGATGCTAAAGTTATAGAGCTTTACAATCCGGCTGAGAGTAATAAAAGTGGGGGAGAGACTAAAAAAGTAGTGAGTTTTTTTTTTTTAAATTGAGAATTAATTAATTTTATGTAGAATTATTTTAATAGATTAAAATATTGTTTCAGGGAAAAGTTGTAGAGACACTTTGCGAACCAGACATTTCACTTTTGACAGAGAACCAGCCTGAATAAATTCAGTTTGTTTTAAAATTTCAAGCCTGATAATTACTAATTATACTATAAAATTTATTGGACATTAGTCATGATACTGAAAGTACCAGACAATTTACTATTGAATAATTAATAATTTTTCTTAGTGGAATTTTGAGTTTTTATTTTATCAATAGTTGATTTGTTTATTTAAAAAGTTTAAAAATAATTATATGTCTGGTACTTTGTAGATAATTATTTAAGTCTCTGGACTGAAATTTATCCACAATATTTATTGTAGTTAATTATTTGTATTAATGGACATTTGCAGAATTTAACTGAAAAAATTTGCATTTTCAATTAATAATTATTGCAGTATAATTTAAGATAGAAAATAAAAGATTTAATATATTATAATTTGAAAAAAAGTTTCAAATAAAAATTGATACTGTCTGATTTAAATTTAAATTTGCAAATTTAAATATTAATAATGTTTCATTTAAAAAAATTATTTAATGTTAAAAATTGATTTTTCAAATAATTTCGTCATTATTTAGTTTAGTATTGAAGATTTATCATTACAAAAAAACTTCTTTAAATTTTGAAAAACCAAATTATTATTAGGCACGATTAGAAATAAATTATTTTATTTAAAGTGTAAAGAAGTAATTTAATAAATAAAATTAATTAAAAAAAAATTGATTTATTAGTTTTGAATTAATTAATTATTTTTTTGTAAAATGTAAAAAGTGTATGTTTGTAACTAACAAATTTTTTGTGTATAAATATTAAATATTAATCCCTCAAAAGAAAAATTCAATTATTAATCATCAATAAAATTGTTTCAGAATTAACCACCATGGTAACGATCTTCAACGACATCCCAGGCCACGAAGAAATTTTCCCAGTCTTAGAGGACAAAAATTTGAACAAGCTGACGATAAAAAACATAAAATACGCGTGTTATAATCCAAAATGCAGCTTGACGTTCAGTCGCGAGAGCTCACGTGATAAACACTATTTTGATTGTTTGGAAAAGGATTTACAGCCTGAAGAAGAAACTCTTGACCAAAGCGCGGAATTTAGTGACGAATCTAAAGAGAATAAGGAAGAAATTCCCTTAAAAAATTTTACGGAGCCCGTTAAACCAAAGAAGACATCCAAAAAGATTGTGGATAGTTCTAAAACTGCCAAAAACCGCTTCTCTTGCGCTACTTGTTCACGGTCTTATTCTGTTAAATCTACTTTACTTCGACATATTAACGAGTGTGGCAAAGAGAAGAAATATAGTTGCCCGTATTGTAAAAATTGGAGGACACATCGCAAATATAACTTTAAAATTCATTTAAAGTTTGCTCACGGCAGAGATTTATAAACTCAAGTCATTATTTTACTGAATTTTCTTCTTTTTCTGTACTTTGAAAAATAATTAGACAATTTTTTCGGTAAAAAATAATTAATATTTGTTCTTAAGAACTTTAATTAATGAAAAATATTGAAAATAATTGAATAAAAATAACTGATTATATTTAAAAATTAATTAAATAAATCAAAGAAATTTTTTTTGAAACAAAATTTTAAAAAATAATCAAATTTTTCCATAAAAATATAATTAAATGGTTTTTTTCTTCTCAAAATATTAATTATTGAATTTATTAGAAATTAGTCATGATACTGAAAGTACCTAACAATTTATTATTAAATAATTAATAATTTTTCTTAGTGGAATTTTAAGTTTTTATTTTATCAATAGTTGATTTGTTTATTTAAAAAGTTTAAAAATAATGATATCTTTGGTACTTTGTCGATAATTATTTAAGTCTCTGGACTAAAATTTATCCACAATATTTATTGTAGTTAATTATTTGTATTAATTGACACGCAGAATTTAACTAAAAAAATTTCAATTGTTGCATTTTTAATTAATAATTATTGCAATATAATTTAAGATAGAAAATAAAAGATTTAATATGTTATAATTTTAAAAAAAGTTTCAAATAAAAATTGATACTGTCTTTGATTTAAATTTAAATTTGCAAAATTAAATATTAATAATGTATCATTTATAAAAATTATTTAATGTTAAAATTTGATCTTTCAAATAATTTCGTCATTAGTTAGTTTAGTATTGAAGATTTATTATTACAAAAAAACCTCTTTAAATTTTAGCTTCAAAATTTATAAAAACCAAATTATTATTATGCGTCATTTGAAATTAGTTATATTAATTATTTTATTTAAAGCGTGAAGAGATAATTTATAACTTGTCTTCCAAACCAAATAATTCAATTCTTTATTTTTTCTCTTATGTAAATTTAAATAAATAAAATTTAATTAATTGAAAAAAAAACCGAGTTATTATTTGCTAATTAATTAATTACTTTTTTTGGGAATTGTAAAAGTGAATATTTGTAACTAATAATTTTTTTTTTTGATTATTATTCCCTCAAAAAAATTTAATTAACCAAAAATAAAATTGTTTCAGAATTAACCACCATGGTAGCGATATTCAACAACTTCCCAGGCCATAAAGTAACCTTCCCAATCAAAGATGAAGATGATTTGAACCAACTGATGATAAAAAACATAAAATACGCGTGTTATAATCCAAAATGCAACTTGAAGTTCAAAAGCGAGCGCCATCGTGATAAACACTCCTTTGATTGTTTGAAAAATAATTTACAGTCTGGAGAAATAACTCATGACCAAAATGTGAAATTTAGCGATGAATCTAAAGATAATAAGGAGAAAATCTTCTCAAACAATTCTGTGAAGCCCGTTAAGCCAAAGAAGACATCTAAAAAAATTATGCATCTTTATAAAATTGTCGACGGTCGCTTCTCTTGCTGTAAATGCTCGCGGTCCTATAAATATAGACAAGGTTTAAATTCACATATGAGGACCGAGTGTGGCAAAGAGAAGAAATTTATTTGCCCGTTTTGTGAAAATTATAGGACTTATTACAAACATACTCTTAGAAATCATTTAAATATTATTCACGGCATAGAATTATGAACTTGAGTCATTATTAAACTTAATTTTCTTCTTTTTTTGTACTTTGAAGAATAATTAGAAAATATTTTTAAGTGTCTAAAGAATTTTTAAAGATTGAAATTTTTATAAAATAATATTAAATATAAATTTTAGTTAAAAAAAATTCAATATTGCATTAAAAATAAGTAGATAAAAAGAAATAATTACATTTTGGATAAAAATTAATTCAGTTAAAGAAATTTTGTTTAAAACAAAATTTTAAAAAATTATCAGTTTTCATAAAAATATAATTAAATGGTTTTTTTCTTCTGAAAATTTTAATTATCGAATTTATAAGACATAAGTTATGATACTGAAAGTACCTGTCAATTTACTATTGAATAATTAATCATTTTTCTTAGTGAAATTTTGAGTTTTTATTTTATCAATAGTTGATTTGTTTATTTAAAAAGTTTAAAAATAATTATATGTCTGGTACTTTGTAGATAATTATTTAAGTCTCTGGACTGAAACTTATCCACAATATTTATTGTAGTTAATTATTTGTATTAATTGACACGCAGAATTTAACTAAAAAAATTTGAATTGTTGCATTTTCAATTAATAATTATTGCAATATAATTTAAGATTTAATATGTTATAGTTTTAAAAAAAATTTCAAATAAAAATTGATACTGTCTTTGATTTAAATTTAAATTTGCAAATTTAAATATTAAGTATGTATCATTTATAAAAATTATTTAATGTTAAAATTTGATCTTTCAAATAATTTCGTCATTATTTAGTTTAGTATTAGTGTTATTATTACAAAAAAATCTCTTTAAATTTTTGCTTCAAAATTTAGAAAAACCAAATTATTATTAAGCATTGTTTGAAATTAGTTATATTAATTATTTCATTCAAAGTGTGAAGAAGTAATTTATAACATACCTTCCAAACCAAATAATTCAATTCGTTATTTTTTCTCTAATGTAATTTTCAATAAATAAAATTTGATTGATTGAAAAAAGAATCGAGTTATTATTTTTTGATTAATTAATTATTTTTTTGTGAATTGTGAGTGCATGTTTGTAACTTAATTTTTTTGTTTGAATATTAATCCCTTAAAAAAATTTAACGAAACAAAAATTAAATTGTTTCAGAATTCACCACCATGGTAACGATCTTCAATGAGTTCCCAAGCCCCGAAGAAATCTTCCCAGTCAAAGAAGACGATGATTTGAACAAACTGTTGATAAAAAACATAAAATACGCGTGTAATAATCTAAAATGCAACTTGACGTTCAATAGCGAGCGCCAACGTGATAAACACTCTTTTAATTGTTTGAAAAATAATTTACAGCCTGAAGAAATAACTTTTGACCAAAATGCGAAATTAAGAGACGGATCTAAAGAAAATAAAAAGAAAATTTCCTTAAAAAATTCTATAAAGCCCGTTAAGCGAAGGAAGACATCAAAAAGAATTTTGCTTCGTTATAAAATTGTCAACGATCGCTACTCTTGCTGCAAATGCTCGCGGTCCTATAAATATAAACAAGGTTTAAGTCTACATATGAGGTTCGAGTGTGGCAAAGAGAAGAAATGTATTTGCCCGATTTGTAAAAATTGGAGAACTTATCACAAACATAATCTTAGACACCATATGAGTACTGTTCACGGCAACAAATTATGAACTTCAGTCATTATTAAACCTAATGTTATTTTTTTTTGTACTTTGAAGAATAATACGTAAATAGTTTTGATAAATAATAATTGATATTTTAAAATGTCTAAAGATTTTTTGAAAATTGATGAAAAATATTAAAAATAATTAAATTAAACGAAATAATTACATTTCAGATAAAAATTAATTAAATTAAAGAATTATTGTTTAAAACACAGTTTAAAAAAATTGATACTGTCTTTGATTTAAATTCAAATATTAATTATGTTTCATTTCAAAAAATTATTTAATGTTAAAAATTTGATCTTTCAAATCATTCCGTAATTATATAATTTAGTATTGAAGATTTATTATTACAAAAAATATCTTTAAATTTTTGCTTCAAAATTTTGAAAAACCAATTTATTATTGAGCATTACTTGAAATTAATTATGTTATTTAAAGCGTGAAGAAATAATTTATAACTTATCTTCTGAACCAAACAATCCAATTGTTTATTTTTTCTCCTATTTAATTTTCAACTAATAAAACTTAATTGATTGAAAAAAAACCGAGTTATTATTAACTAATTAATTAATTATTTTTTTGTGAATTGTGAGTGAATATTTTTAACTAAAAATTATTTTGTTTGAATATTAATCCCTCAAAAAAATTCAATTAACCAAAAATAAAATTGTTTCAGAATTAACCACCATGGAAATGAGCTTCGTCTTCCCAGGCTACGAAAAAACCTTCACAGTTAAAGAAGAAGATGATTTGGACGAACTGAAGATAAAAAACATAAAATACGCGTGTTATAATCCAAAATGCAACTTGACGTTCAAAAGCGAGCACCAACGTGATGAACACTCCTTTGATTGTTTAAAAAATAATTTACAGTCTGAAGAAATATTTCTTGACCAAAGTGCGAAATTTAGAGATAAATCTAAAGATAATAAGGAGAAAATTTCCTCAAAAAATCATGTAAAGCCCGTTGAGCGAATGAAGACATCTAAAAAGAATGTAGATCTTTGTAATACTGTCAAACGTCGCTTCTCTTGCCCTACTTGCTCACGGTCTTATAAATATAGACCAGGTCTAAGTGCACATATTAACTACGAGTGTGGCAAAGAGAAGAAATTTATTTGCCCGATTTGTGGAAATTTTAGGGCTTATCACAAACAAAATCTTAAAAGCCATTTAAAAAAAGTTCACGGCAAAGAATGATGAACTTTAGTCATTATTTAACAAACTAGAATTAAATTTTGCGCCTAACTATAGAGTTTGCATATATTTTCATGCTTATGATATATCCGACCAATCACGTTACGAATAGTTTGATGCCACATACATTTCATCTCAATTTTATATTAGGATTTTCTTCTTTTTTTTGTACTTTGACGAATAATGAGAAAATATTTTCGGTAAAAAATAATTAACATTTTCAAATGTCCTAAGAATTTTTAAAAATTGAATTTTTGCTTCAAAATTTAGAAAAATCAAATTATTATTAAGCATTATTTGAAATTAGTTATATTAATTATTTTATTTAAAGCGTGAAGAAATAATTTATGACTTGTGTTCTGAACCAAATAATCTAATTGTTTATTTTTTCTCTTATTTAATTTTCAACAAATAAAATTTAATTGATTGAAAAAAAACCGGATTATTATTAACTAATTAATTAATTATTTTTTTGTGAATTGTGAAAGTGAATATTTACAACTAATAATTTTTTTGTTTGAATATTAATCCCTTAAAAAAATTGAATTAACCAAAAATAAAATTGTTTCAGAATTAACCACCATGGAAACGAGCTTCGACTACTTCCCAGGCTACGAAGAAACCTTCCCAGTCAAAGAAGAAGATGATTTGAACCAACTGATGATAAAAAACATAAAATTCGCGTGTAATAATCCAAAATGCAATTTGACGTTCAATAGCGAGCGCCAACGTGATAAACACTCCTTTGATTGTTTGAAAAATAATTTAAAGCCTGAAAAAATAGCTCTTGACCAAAGCGCAAAATTTAGAGATGAATTTAAAGAAAATAAAGAGAAAATTCCCTCAAAAAATCCTGTAAAGCCCCTTAAGCCAAAGAAGACATCTAAAAAAATTGTGCAACGTTATAAAATTATCGAAGGTCGCTATTTTTGCTGTAAATGCTCGCGGTCTTATACTAATGGTAATAATGTACGTCGACATATTAAATACAGGTGTGGCAAAGAGAAAAAATATATTTGCTCGTTTTGTGAAAATTGGAGGACGTATTACAGATATGACCTTAGAAAACATTTAAAAAATATTCACGGCAAAGAATTATAAACTTTCCTCATTATTTAACTGAATTTTCTTTTATTTTTGTACTTTGAAGAATAATTAGATAATTTTTTCGGTAAAAATTAATTAATATTTGTTCTAAAATTAAAAAACAAGTATTTAATATTAAAAATTTAATCTCATAATTTTATCGTCATTATTTGGTTTATTATTGAAGAGTTATTACAAAAAAAATTTTTCGTTCAAAATTAAAAAAAACCAAATTATTAAAAAGCGTTGTTTGAAATTATTTATTATAATTATTTTTGTTTTAAGCGTGAAGAAATAATTTATGACTTGTCTTCCGAACCAAATAATCCAATTGATTTTTTTTTTTATTTAATTTTCAATAAATAAAATTGAATTGATTGAAAAAAATCCGGGTTATTATTTACGAATAAATTAATTAATTTTACGGGTTTGTGTTGTCATAAAAGGCGGTATAAAAGTTTAAATAATTAATCTATAAATTTTTTTTTGTGAATTGTGAAAGTGTATATTTGTAACTAACAATTTTTATGTTTGAATATTAATCCCTAAAAAATATTAAATTAATCAAAAATAAAATTGTTTCAGAATTAACCACCATGAAATTGAGCTTCAACGATTTTCCAAGCCAGGAAGAAACCTTCTCAGTTAAAGAAGACGATGATTTGAACCAACTGATGATAAAAAACATAAAATACGCGTGTAATAATCTAGAATGCAACTTGACGTTCAGTCGCGAGCACCAACGTGATAAACACTCCTTTGATTGTTTGAAAAATAATTTACAGCCTGAAGAAATAACTTTTGACCAAAGTGCGAAATTTAGAGATGAATCTAAAGAAAATAAGGCGAAAATTCCCTTAAAAAATTTAGTGAAGCCCGTTAAGCAAAGGAAGACGTCTGAAAAGTTTGTAGATCTTTCTAATACGGTCGAACGGCGCTACTCATGTTCTAATTGCTCAAAGTCCTATAAAAATAGAAGAAGTCTAATTTTTCACATTAGGACTGAGTGTGGCAAAGAGAAGAAATTTATTTGCTCGTTTTGTGAAAATTTTAGGGCTTATCACAAACATAATCTTCAAAAACATTTAAATACTATTCACGGCAAAAAATTATGAACTTGAGTCATTATTTAACTGAATTTTCTTCTTTTTTTTGTACTTTGACGAATAATGAGAAGATATTTTCGGTAAAAATAATTATTGCAATATAATTTAAGATAGAAACTATATTTCCGTCTTTTTTGGTACTGTAAACAATAATTAGACAATTTTTTTAGTAAAAAATAATTAATAATAGTCCCTAAAAGAAATAATTACATTTAGCATAAAAATTAGTTAAATTAATTAAAAAAAAAAATTAATTCAAAAATACCAAAATTTTGCATTAAAAAAAATTAAAATAGTTTTTTTCTTCTTATAATTTTAATTATTGCTAACTAAAGACTTGACCATTAATAACGAATGTAATAAAACAAATTATTTATGTAATAAAGGTCATTGTAATTATTTATTCTTTTTTTTTTTAATTAATTTTTAAATCTACTTTTTATTTTTCAGGATAATTAATTCCAAAGTATCTAAAATATTCTAACACTGCCTAACTTTATATATTGGAAGCATGAAGGTTCTAATCACACTTTCAATTAGCATGTCTAATTACTCATTACTCTAGCACCAGAAAAAAAGAAACTAAAATCTTCAATTAATTTTTAAAAATAAAAACACTCAAAAAAAATCAAATCTAGAATATCAATAGTATAAATTAAAACTAACAAAAAATAATTTCTGTTCCAGGAAACTACCCGCTAACTGTGCGAAGATTTGACGATTATTATTCAGGGCTGCAGAATTTCCATTCAAATATGAACCTGAATAAGTACCCTTGCGTTAATGCTCACTGCAACAGCGTTTTTAAGGACGAAAACACTTTGCGCAAGCACGTTAAGTATATATGTGGAAAACCGCCGAGGTACCAGTGCGGATACTGCGAGTACAGGTCCCACTGGGCCCCAAATGTCAGAACGCACTCAAAGGCGCTTCATCCTGATTTGATGACAGATGTAATTGAACTTTACAATCCGTACCCTGAAGAAATGGGGACCTTTGTTTGTCCAAACTGCTCACAGAGATACAAGTTCAAGAAGGGCCTGGATGCTCATTTGAAAAATTTGTGTGGAAGATAAAGAAGTTTATAAAATTTTAATTTTTAATTGTAATTTAATACATTTTTTTAATTAAAAAAAAAAAAATTTTTTTTATAATGAAGATGGAAATTTTTTATAAAATTTCAATTTTTAATTTTAATTTAAAACATTTTTTTTATTAAAAAATTTCTTTTTTTTCTAATGAAAGAAAATTTTATAAAATTTCAATTTTTAATTGTAATTTAATACATTTTTTTTTATTAAAAAAAAAAGAAGAAGAAATGAATAAATAAATAAATAAATAAATAAAATGCAAAAATAAATTAATGAATGTGAAAATTTAATTTCTCCTTACTAAAATTAAATTTTTATTCAATAAATTAAATAAAATTTTTGTAATTTATTTTTTTACAGACTCCGGAAGCAGCTTGGAGGACACTATGACGGAGGAGGAAAATCCTAGAGCTAAAAGAAAATCCAAAACTGATCGGCGGGGTAAATTCGAGTGCTCTAAGTGCAAGAGCACTTTCAGCACCAAGAACAGCTGGATATATCACGGGAAATACCACTGTGGAGTACCACCGAGGTACCAGTGCTCTTACTGCCCCTACAAGTCCCGCAAGTCTGCCAACGTGAAGAAACACTCGATTAGAATGCACAAAGGAAGTGACCCGGTGATTGTGCAACTCTGGAAGCCTGTCGTCAAATCTGGAGAGTTTCCTTGTCCTAATAAAAATTGCTGGCGGGTTTATAAGTTGACCGATAGCTTGAAGTATCATTTGAACTACGAGTGCGGGAAAAAATTACCTACTAAATTCAGGCGGTGCGAGTAATTAGGCTCAGTACAAGTTTAATGTCAAGCTTCACTTGATTAAACTAATTAATTTATTAATTTATTTATCATAAAAATTAATTTGATTAAAAAAAAATTTTTTTTTAATCTAGAATTTTTCTCTTTAATTAAATTATTTTTTTTAAATTAATTTAATTATTTTAAGTATTGAGAATTTTTGCTAATTAAAATTCATTAAAAAATTTTAAATAATTTTTTTTTTTAATTTTTATTAATTAAAAATTATTTTGATAAATTCCTAAAAAAGTTTTGTTTTTTTGTGACAATAATTAAATTTTTTTAATTTATTAGATTAATTATAAAATTGAAGAGAAATTTATTGACTTACTTAAGTGAAGTACTAAGAAGAAAAATTTTCTGGATTTTTCCTGAAATATTTAATAAAAAAAAAAGAAAAATTAAATTGAAAAAATTGTTAATTTATGTTTCTAGAACATATGGGCTAAAAGTGAAACTCTGATATTTAATAATTGCACAACTCACCACATTTAATTTCATACTATCACTCAATACTTGTTTTTAACAAAATTTTAGGTATATAAAATTTTAAATATAACTTTTTATTACCGATAAACATTTAATGACTATAGCTAACTAAAAAACGCAATTTGTTGGAGTTTTTGATGGGAATTAAAATTGTTATTGACAATTGATGGAATTTTTAAGATAATTAATAGTAATTATTATTATTGAGTCTAGAAAATTAAATTGAAATTTGTACTTTTAATTGCAGACAAGTTTATTTAATTTTTAATAAATTTAATTAATATTCAAAAAAGTTTTTTTTTTTTTACTAAAATTAATGTTAAATATTTAATAATTTTTAAGAAATTTTATTCAATAACAATGTCATTAATTAAGTTTTATAATTTACAGGAGCGCAAAATAAATAATTCAAATTTTTATAAAATCTTCATCTTAAAAAAGAAATTTCAATAAAATATTGAAAGAAAAAATAGAAATTAAAGTATTTAAAAATAATCAAAATTAATTAATTTAAAATCATTAAAAATGTCAATAGTTCACAAGATACCAGGTAATATCTTAATTATGTATCTACAGATAGAGCATTTTCGAATGCAGCCTAAATACTTATCATTATTATCTTAATAATATAGATTATTTATTAAATAATAATAAATAAATTGTAAATTGTAAATATAAATAAAATCAAAAAATAAATTTCTTCTTTTCAGATGTAAATTTTGTCGAATTAAAAATAGAAAAATAAATATTTGTGTAAAATTAAGATTTTATTACAGAAAAAAACTAACAAAAAATGTAATTTAAATTTTTTCAGGGATCATTATCCTGCCGGGAGGATTAAGACTGATAAAACAGATAACAGAGCCGCTGAAAAGGGCCGGATTGTTCTATTGTCCGAACGCGAACTGCCAAAAAGTGTTCCAGCACGCGGACTCACGGAACAAGCACGTTAAATATTACTGCGGGAAACCGCCGAGGTACATGTGTCCTCATTGCCAGTACAAGTCGCTGACCAAGTACAACATTCAATTGCACGCCAAGAGAATTCATCCTAATCTCAAGACGGATGTAATTGAACTCTACGACAACAAACCCTCGAACAAGAGCAGTTTCTTCCAATGCCCGAACAAATCTTGCAATAAAAGATACACGCGCAAAGATAATTTTTATTATCACATGAAATATGAGTGCAAGATAAATAATTAATTAAAAAAATTTATTAATTTTTAATTTTTTAATTAATCTTCAAAGTTTAAACTTTAATGTTAATAATTTAAATTAATTTATTTTTTTTTTTTACTTAATTTATAAAATTTTTATAAAAATTAAACATAAAAAATTTTTTTTATTAAATTAAAATTAATTAAATTTTAAGGTTCAAATTTATATTTAAAAGACTGTATTAATATTTATTATTAAATAATTATTAAAAAAAAAATAATAATCAAATATTACCGAACAATTATAATTATAAATTATAAATGAAATTATTACCAATGTATAAAAAATTTATTAATTACTAATAAAAGAAAATCAAAAATTCTAATAATTTATTTAAATAAAAAAAAAAAGTTGTAATTATTAAAATTAAAAGTTAAATTTAATACTAATTAATTTCTATTTTTTTTTTCTAGTTCGACCGATGATTGTCTGGATGGAAGAGCCCCCAATGGTACCAATCGCAGAAGAATCTCAACCAGATCTGCAAATAGAAGCGGTGAAGTACGCCTGCCCGAACCCAACTTGCTCAAGAGTGTTCAGCGACAAGAGCAATCGCAATACTCATTACAATTACCAGTGCGGTAAACCTCCCAGGTTCAAGTGCCCGTATTGCGAGCACAGGTCTCATCGCAAAGCTGATCTCAGGGCGCATGTCAGCGCGAAACATCCTGGGTTCACGAATTTTGTTATTGAGTTGTATAATCCTTGCAAAAAAATTTATATTACTAAATAGGGTTTGATATTTGAGATTTGAATTTAAAAAGGAAGATCTGGAATTTTTCTAAGGAATTTTTTAAAATAGACAAAAAGAAGAATAGCGGAAAAATTAAATTTGTAAATTTTTTTTTTGTCCTCTTTCTTAAAAAGTAAAAAGTAAAAGTAAAAAAACCAAATATTAAAATTAGTTACTGGTAAATATTTCTTCTTTCCAAAATTATAAACTTTTAATAACTAGACAATATTTTATAATTTAAATTTCGAATTTATAAAATTTTTTAATTTAAAAAAAAAACTTTTTTTTTTAATATTTTTATACTTAATAAAAATTTAAGATCAAATTTTTGTGATAAATAAAATAACTCAGTTACTTAATTAAAATTTTAATTAATGTAAAATGATTTTCAACCCTGTACTAAGTCTCGTTAAATTAAATTGTAAGATCAAAAAATAAACATGAATATTTCTTCAGCAAAATTTAATTATTTTTATTTAATAATTATAATTGTTAGCGCATGTGTTCGTGTGAGTGAAAAAAGAGAAGCATACTAACAAAAAAATTTTTTTTACAGGATACATCAGCCTGAGAAGACGGAGGCCGGTCCAAAGATTGGGTCTGACCCACGGGTACTACAAATGTCCGAATAATAACTGCGGGAGAAGTTACAAAGCCAAGGGAACTTTGTTAACGCACTTGAGGTACGAGTGTGGCCAAGCTCCGCGGTTTATGTGCGCGTATTGCGGGTTTATCACCAGCTTCAAGAGCAATCTTCGGAGACACTTGAACCATCGTCATCCTGGCATGGAAATTCGCATAGTTGATCTAGTCAAATCAAGATGATTTTATTATTTTTTCATTCCATTAGTTTAATTATAATTTTATTGTACAATTTAGATTTTTAGTGTTAATAAATTATTTATTAAATAAATAAATTAATATTAATTAAATTAACATTTATAATAAGTATTTATGCTGTTATATAGTTAAGAAATTACTTTGTATCTTGTGAAATATTGACATTTTTAAAGATATAAGCTCATCCTGATGTTACACTCATCAAGATCTTTCATTTGAGTACCCACATCAATTTTTCATATATTTTATATATTTATATATATTAGATATATGTATATATCAAAAATATATCAAATATGCATGTGGGTACTCAAATGAAAGCTCTTGAAGAGTATAACATCGGGATGAGCTTATATTTTTAAAATATATATGTGTATATATGAAAAATATATCAAAATGCATGTGGGTACTCAAATGATAGCTCTTGATAAAAGAAACATCGGAATGAGCTTATATCTTTAAAAATGTCAATAGTTAAGATAGTACAGTGCAATTTAACAAAAGTCATTATTTACTAAAAATTTTTATTTATTTTTAATTACTTAAAAAATTTTTTAAATAATCTTTAAAATTTAAACTTTATTATTATTTAATTATTTTTTATAAAATTAAAATTTATTTAAAAATTTAGAATCATAAATATGCAAAATAATAATTTAAAAATTAATTATTAATTAAAAAACTATTTTTCTAGGTTTTGTGGCTTGCAAAGTTTTACCGACAAAATGGCGACTTGTTTTCTCACAAAGTGATGGAGTGTGTTGCACAATAATTTTTATGTGAATTATTTTAACAAAAAAGTGTGAAAATTTAGCACCGCACTTGATGAATAATCTAAAAAAAAAAAAATGTTATTTTACTAAAAGAATTTATAAATTTTTATTTTTACAGTTTACATTTCTAACGTATTTATCGCAGATAAATTATACCGAAGATTTGTAGAGTCTCCAGAACTGGACTCAGGAATTACAGAGTCAAATTACACTGACAATTTTGAGATCAGCAACAATTCGCAGTTAGTTCCAGAGCCGGTAAAAACCAAAACAAATACTAAGAGAAGAAATACAAAGAAGAAAAGGAAGAAATACTCGTGTTCTAATCCTGGATGCAGCAGAGTGTTTAAAATGAAGGGTTGTTTGAAGACTCACTCAATGTACTGCGGAAAACCCTTGAGATTCATGTGCCCGCTCTGTAAATACAGGTCCAAGTGGAACTGCTATGTAAAGTCTCACATTTCTAGAGTCCACAGTGGAGAAAACGCGAGTGTAATTGACGTTTATAAACCTTCGGAACAGTCTGAGGGGAGATATTTGTGCCCGAATGACGAATGTAGGAAGAAATGTAGCAGCAAGAAGATTTTAGAGAATCATATTAATTTTGAGTGTGAAAAATTGACGCAATTTAAGTGCTATTATTGCTCGTTTAGAGCGCACTTTAGGGATGATGTTAAAGAACATTCTATGAGAGAACATAAGGACAAAGTTTGTCGGGTTAATTTGGTTATTGCTCAGTAAAGTTTTAGGATATTAATTAATTAATTAATTAATTAATTTAGGGTAACCTTGTGAAGAAATATAATTTAAAATAATTAAAAAAAAAAATCAAAAAATAATTAAAATTAATTTAAAAAAATGAGAAAAACAATTAGTAATAATTCAAAATAATTTAAGGTGACTACTAAAGTAAAAGATTTAATTGTTGATACTGGCCTAGTTATTTCACACTTGCAATTTTATTCTAATTAAAAAAATAAAATGTTCTCAAAAAAGCAATTAATTTATTGAAGTTGATTTTTTTTAATAAAAATAAAATTGCAAGTGTCAATAACTAGGTCAGTGTTAATAACTGAGTCATTTACCTATATTTATATTTATAAATATAAGAAAATTAACTTGATTTAAGAGATAAATCTTAAAACAAAAATACCATTTTGAAGAATATAATTTTTTTAAGGCAAGAAAAAAAAATCTTTAACCAAAAATTTACTTAAATTAAGATTGATTCCTTCAAGATTTTTTATCTTGAATAGCGTTAATTATTTTATATCTTTAAATATAGACTTTAAATTAATTGAATAATTTTAAATATGTTTTTCTTAACGAGGGTAATTTATTTAAGGAGTTATACAGAGTAATCATTTTTAAAAAATTAAATTTTTTTTTGGTATTTTCAAAATAATATGTATTTAAGTATAATATTTAAAAATTTCAAATTTTTAGACTACTTAAAGTCTGAAAATTTTTCTAAATTTGCAAATTTTTATATTTAAAAAGTCAATTTTTTAAAAATAAAAATTTTGACTATTTCTTCAATTATTTATTAAAAAAAAAAATGGATTTTTTGAGCTTGCAATTAAGTATAACTCCTTAAACCTAATATTATTAAGATTTTGTGTTATCTAGTCATTGCTCAATTTTTTTTACTTAAAAATTTTCATTAAAAAGTCTTAATTAAGGAAAATATTCATGAAAAAAATTTTTTAGCAGCAAAAAAACTTAATTTTGATAAAATTTTATAAATTGAATAATTTAATTAGATTTAATAAGAAAAATTTTTAAAAATTTATTTTAATAAAAAAAAAATACAATTAATATTTTATAATCGCTTAAATGTTTGTAGCTTTATTTTATAAAATTACAAAAGCAATTTTTAGTCGATAAGTTATTAAAATAAGAATATATCTCGTGATTTAATGTGTGATAAATAAAATTGTGTGAAACTATAAAGTGCAATTTAAAATTACAATATTAAAATATTATAAAATTGTAATAAAAATTATTCTTCTTCTCTAAAAAAAATTAATTAATAACTCAAACTATTCTTCAAACAACTTTCTCAACCCTAGCATGTAAAACCTAGAGCAGAATAAAAACTCACACCTTCTCTAACAAAATTTGAATTATTTTTAGGAATTTACAGCGACAAGGACTGCGAAGTTTCTTCTCGGAATTCCCGAAAGGCCCCGGATTACTCGATAAATTTATCCACGGGGAGGTTCCACTGCCCCGCATGCAATTGGAGCTACACAAGAAGAGATTCAATGCTCGCGCACTATCGCTACGAGTGCGGAAAACCCCCGCGTTTCAAGTGCCCGTATTGCCAACTGTGTAGCAAAAAAACTTCCAATGTCTACCAACATGTCAGATCTGTTCATCCCAACGAAGCGGTCACGCTGGTCAAACTATATTAACTAATTAAGAATACATAATCAAATTAACTAATTAAAAATATATCAAAAATTTTTTTATTACAAGCGAAGTTTTAAAAAATTTAAATAATTTTATTATTAAATATTTTTTAATTAATTAAATAGTAAATGTAACTCTTGAACAAATAACAATATTTTACATAAAAAAAAACTTACAAAATTTTTTTTTCCACACAGAAAAAAACGAAGAAAATTGTAAAGAAGAGTGAAGTTATTTAAGAGCAAAAAAAAAAATTTTTTTTAAAATAATTTTTTTGTCTAAAAAAAATTTCTTAAATAATTTTTTTAGTACCAAAAATTTTTTAAATAATTTTTTTAGACAAAAAAATTTTTTTAGCCAAAAATTTTTTCTTAAAATAATTTTTTTTAGACAAAAAAAAAATTGTAAAGAATTGTAGCGTTAATCGATAAATAACGGGTTATTTTTCTCTGACACTTGCACAGATCTCCATCCCGAGTCAATGATGATTGCGGCGATGAAAAACTTATCACCCGAGTGGCCTGCGGATCAGCCGCAGATCCAGTTCCCGTTCCGCTGCGGAAACTGCGACAAAAGGTACCAACACCGCGCAACTCTGCTCAGACATACCAGGTACGAGTGTGGAAAAGACCCGAGGTTCAAGTGTCCACTCTGTGGCCACCGGACCAAGCAGAAGGGGAATCTTTACAAGCACATGCGATCAAATCATCCTGGAGAGATTTATTACACTTAAGATAGATTTCTTCTTTAAATAAACAAAAGAAGAAATGATTAAATTATTAAACATAACTTATTAAGTAAAAATTAACCGGTTTAATTTAATGAATAAATATTAAATTGAAAATACTGTTGGATTGTTCTTATTAAAAGTAAGGTTGCTTAGTAATTATTTCTAAGTACTATTTTAAGCTTGCAAGATTGTAAGATATTGTAAGAGCAGTTACTGATGAACGGGTGGTTGTTTTCAGGACTGTGGGCGAACTACCCCCCGCAGGAGTTCCCGCGAGCGGAGAGCTACTCGACGCACCTGGGCAGCATGAGGATGATGCGAAGCTCCCGACGATCGATGACCCACCAGGTGTGCCTCGACAAGAGACCCGGGTGCTACTACTGCCCGAAGTGCGGCAAGGGCTACCGGTGGCTCAGGAACATGAAGAACCACCTGAAGGTCGAGTGCGGGAAGGAGCCCACCGAGTTCTGTCCGTACTGCCCCCACAAGACCAGATACAAGCGCAGCCTCCAGAAGCACATCCTCAGAATTCATTCCTCATAATAACTAAAGTCTCTCCTTTAAAATTTTTTTTGTTACAATAAATTTATTATCTTCTGCTTTACGATAATGTTTTATTATTATACACAAGCATTCATTTATAATCCTCAGTTCCAATCAAGTTTTTTTATTATCGCTCATTTATTTCCTCTCTGTTAAAGCTACTGTATCAATGCTTCGTACTTTCATTTATATATTGCCTCAAAGTTTACACTTATCCAGCGGGTTGTTTTTTCACTACTTACTAATTCATTTTTTTTGGTTCCAGGCAACGTGTTCCGGTGTCACTTTTGCGGAAGATCATTTACATGGATCGCAAGTTTGCGTCTTCACCAAAAAATGGCCTGTGGAAAGCCCCCGAATTTTTACTGCTCGCTGTGCACTTACAAATCTAATTTTAAGGGTAATCTAAAGCGGCATATGTTCAACGTCCACAAAATAGTCCTGTAAAATACTAAATAATATTTTTGTACGACTTAAAATAATATTAATAATAATAAATACAACTATTAGTTTATCGGTTTTAAATAAAATAAATAATTATTGACCTTAGGTGGGTTTTGCGCTTGATGTCGCGTAATTTAAAAATCTTATTTATTTCAGACGCCGGTTTTAGTTGTTTTTAAAAATATTTCCAGCGGCAGACCCGGAGCTGAGAGAGAGAGAGAGAGAAAGAGAGAGAGTGAGCCCTTTAAGTATTCTGGTAAATAATAATTGTTGTTTATTTAAAAATGCCGAGGCATGCGCTTGGATGTTAGATGGTAGCCGTACTGCCGGTAATTATCACAACCAAAAGTATTGTTTTACCGATTTAGTAATCCCGGCTCGTAAACTCTGTGTGCTAAGTAATAATAAAACCTTTAAGACACTTACAGTTGTGTTAACACAATAATAATAACTGGTGAGGCTGATGACAATTAAATCGGGTATTTTATTGCAGACCCCCGGCTATTTCCTATCGTCAAGCCCCGGCTCCACGTGTGTCCTCACTGCGGGCAGATGTACTCCTGGGCATCGAACCTCAGGAAGCACCTCAAAATGGGCTGTGGCAAGCTCAACAACACTCACTATTCTTGCCGTTACTGCCCCTACAAATCCAGAGTACCCGCCAGTTTCTTCAAGCATCTCCTCTCTGTGCACAACATCAAGTGAATATATCATCTAAAAATACGTAAAATAATCAAAAGTTTGTTTTTCAGCCGTTCTATGTACTAGTATACTTCTAACAATAAGCCATGTACTTATCTGAAATAAAGTGACCAAAATAAGAAATATTTCTTCTTTGTAGATCCTTTCTTCGTTGTTTTTTGTTGTCTTTCATCGTCGTTGGTTTTTGTCGTTTTTTCATCGTCGTCTTTTTTGTACAAATTATATTTTTATACTTTTAAATTAATTGAAAAAGTCTTTTTTTGTTTCCAGAAGTCCATACTTTGCCCAGCACCGGTCCAGGGTCTCACTCTCCCCGTTATACGTGCCAGGTATGCAACAGACAGTATCGTTTCAGAGGCAATTTAAGTAAACACATGAAATTGGAGTGCGGTGGACAAAAAAAATTTAATTGCCGTTTGTGTAATCGAAATTACTCTCAGAAGGGCAGTTTGCACCGGCATTTAAAAGAAATTCATAATTATCGATTAAAATAAACATTTGTGACGAAAATGGAAAAAATTTTTAGAAATTTTTCGTGTGATTAATAATAAAATAAATTTTTACAAGCATTAAGTGTAAATTTATTTACTAGCAACTTTGCAATAAATAAAATTTTGCTTTATTAAATAATGACTTTTGTTAAATTGCATTGTACTCTTTTAACTATTGATGTTTTTTTAAGATATAAGCTCATCCCGACGTTACACTCATCGAGAGCTTTCATTTGAGTACCCACATGCATTTTTGATATATTTTTCATGTATACATATATATATATATATATAATATATAAAAATATATAAAAAATTGATGTGGGTACTCAAACGAAAGGTCTCGATGAGTGTTACATCAAGATGAGTTTATATATTTAAAAATGTCAATAGTTCACAAAATACAATGTCATTTCTTAATTATTGACATTTTTAAAAATATAAACTCATTTCGATATTATACTCGTCGAGACCTTTCATTTGAGTACCCACATGGAATTTTTTATATATTTTACATATATGGTATTTGTGAAATATATATAATATATAAAATATATGTAAAAATGATGTGGGTAGTCAAATGAAAAGTCTCGATGAGTGTAACCTCGGGGTGAGCTTATATCTTTAAAAATATCAATAGTTCACAAAATACAAGGTCATTTCTTAATTATGTATTCAGATTTTTGAAAAGAAATCCAAGGGAGGGGGTAATCTTGCAGTAACCGAAAATACAAATTGGAATTTCCGGCCGGGAATCGAACACAGACATAGTCTGTGTCCATCAGATATTCTCCCTCTACGCTATCCGAGATAAACTAATATAGGTGTCCGTCAGCACTTACATAAACTCGCTGTACAAGGTTAACACACACTAATTGAGAAAAATTACAATTCAAACTATCGTAAAATTTGTTACTTTTATTGGAAAAATACAGAGGCAGCACGGAAAATTTTCGTCTAAAATATTTGAAAGTTACCACTGGTAGAAATATCGTCCAGTATTACGATAGTCGTATTGAAAATTTTCGTAGAATTTTTTTGCTGTATATTATTGTTGAAACATATAAAGGATTAGTATGCACTCTTATTATAATTTGGATAAAAAATATGAAAATATATCATGTAAATAAACTATTCGTAACGTGATTGGTTAAATTAATTAAAATCGCTTTTTTTGTTTCCAGAATTTCATACTTTTCCCGGCATCGGTCCAGGCTCTCAAGCTATCTTTTACATGTGTATGGAGTGCAAAAGAAGATATCGTAGTAAAAAAGGTCTTGAAAAACACGTAAGACACGAGTGCGGCGGAAGGAAAATGTTTAAATGCCAAGTGTGTAACCAAGAGTTCACTCAGAAACACAGTTTGTTCCGACATTTTGGCAAAAAGCACAATTAGAGTAAAAATATTTATGATAAAAATGAACAATTTTTTTCGTGTAATTAATAATAAATAAATTTTAACAAGCACTTGTAATTAAATTTATTAAAAATTTTTATTATTTCAACAGGTTATGGGCCCAGGCGCAAAAAGTAATTTTTAATTAATTTTTTTGGTGATTAATTGCATGAAGTTAATTATTTGTAACAATTTTAATAAAATTAATAATTAAAAAATTATTTACATCAAATAAACAAAATTTTGTTTTAGATTCGCCTGAAAATTCAAGCTGCAGCATCACTAGATACGGCGTCGTTATGGTCCAACTACCGGAGGCGCCGTCTGCCGATTTGACGATAGACCCAGTCCCGATATTAAAATCAGATCCAGCGACGGACCCGCTGGATCTTCCTGAGAGTAAAATTGTGCAAGTTGTAGACAATAAAGCGCAAGCACAAAAACCTAAGCCCAAATTGCCCAGTAATTTCTGCGAGCCCTGCAGGTTCTGCGAAAAGAAGTTCAAGGTTAAAGCCGACTTAATTCGGCACATGACATTCTGCTCGAAACTTCACCCGAAACGTGATGTTAATGCTTTGTACTCTTGCTACCGCTGCACTTTCAAGAGCCAAAAGAATATTAACATTATAAGGCACATCAAGAATGTCCATGAGTCTGATGAAAAGTCCAGATTCAAGTGCGATTTGTGCGGTTATCATAGTAATTTTAAAGCCCACGTCCGGCGTCATCTCAATGCGATTCATCAATCTATTGAATATAACTATATTGTTGAAAATAAGTAGCCTCAGGATTTTTTTTAATCAAGGAGATCCGAGTACCCTCTTAGTGTAAAGAATGTCATTAAAAAAATAATACGTAGAAATACTTTTGTTAGGCATCTTAAAATTAATTTTTAAATTAATTAATAACACTTTTGAGGAAATTTCTAAAAAATTTACTCATTAAATAATTATTTAATTAATTTTCAGGAAGTTTTAAAAATTTTACTACTTTGCGTAGATAAGTACTTCTTAATAAAGGATGACATGTTTTATAATTGTATTTTTATATCCTTCATCACCTTTACAAACATAAAATGTCATTGTTATCCATATACATGGTTGTAAATAAAAATAAAATTATTTAAAAAAGAAAAATTAATTTTAAAATTAGTTACTTATAAAATTTATATTTAAATAATATAAATTAAAATTAATTATAAATCAGTTACAACAATAAAAAACTTAAATTTTCTACAAAATAATCAGAGAATAATTAAGTAACTATCAACTCTTAATTGGTGTGTAATAACTAAACTATAACACTACTACAGCACCATCTAGGATAACTATTATTATTTACAATAAAAATTCTAGCTTTCGCTTTAATAATATCATTATAACATTTATAATGTGTGTAAATTTATTTAATAAAATTTTTATTATTTCAACAGGTTATGGGCCCAGGCGCAAAAAGTAATTTTTAATTAATTTTCTTGGTGATCGGTTGCATGAAATTAATTACCTGTAACAATATTAATAACAATAACAATAAAATTAATGATTAAAAAATTATTTACACAAAAAAAACAAAATTTTGTTTTAGATTCACCTGAAAATTCAAGCCGCAGCAGCATCACTAGATACGGCGTCGTTTTGGTCCAACTACCAGAGGCATCATCTGCCGATATGACGATAGATTCAGTTCCGATAGTAAAATCAGAACCTGCTACGGACCCGCTAGATGTTCCTGAGAACAAAAATGTGGAAGTTGATGACAATGAAGCGCAAGCGCAAAAACCCAAGTCCAGATTGTCCTGCAAGTTCTGCGCAAGGAAGTTCCATGTTAAGGCTCACTTAATTCGGCACATGAGACTCTGTTCCGAACTTAATGCCCATCGTGATGTTAATGCTTTGTACTCTTGCTACCGCTGCGCCTTCAAGAGCCACATGAATATTAATATTGTGAGGCACATTAAGAATGTTCATGAGTCTAATGTAAAGTCCAGATACAAGTGCGAGTTGTGCGGATATCATAGTAATTATAAATCACATGTCCGGCGTCATCTCAAGGCGATTCATCAAGCTACTGACGATCACTATATTGTTGAAAATAAATAGCTTTTTTTTAGTTTTAATCATTGATAACACATGTTTTATAATCGTATTTTTATATTCTTCTCTTCATATTAAAATATTTATATATTATATAAATAAATTTTATGGAGAAATAATTGTATTTAGAGCTACATATGTTTAAAAATTAATTCTATTGAAAAAAAAATTTAAAAATTATTATTATTATTAGTAATCTTAGAGTCACTATGTGACTGCCGTGGCTTATAAATTATAAATAAACAAAATTTTGCTTTATTAAAAAATGACTTTAATTAAATTACACTGTACTTTTTTAACTATTGACGTTTTTAAAAATATAAGCTCATTCCGATGTTACACTCATCAAGAGCTTTCATTTGAGTACCCACATGCATTTTTGATATATTTTACATATATTGTATTTGTGAAATATATATAACATATAAAATATATGAAAAATTGATGAAAAAAATTTTTTTTTTAATGAAAAAAAAAAAATTTTTTTTAAATGTTTGTATTTCGTTATACCACTCTGAAAAAAAAAAATAGAAAGAAAAAGTTTACCACTTTGAAAATTTTAGGGAATTTGCAAAAAATACTGAAGTTTTTTATAAAAAAGAAAAATCGAAAATTAAAAATGTCAATCATCCCGAAATTTTCGTTTTTTTCCAAAAAGTTAAAAAAAAAAACATTGAATCTGAATCCGAATTATTATTTTTATTTTTTTTTTT